TTTAAATATTTTCCGACACCATAGAAGCATGCAATTACCGTAATCAAGAAACCAGGAAAGAACAGATATCATCAGTGAGCAACAATTCAAATTCCGAAGAGGTTTCTTAACTGTCCAGCAAATCTCAGGAATTTATCTTCGAATTTATTTGTGACAATTTAAATAAAAAAGATACTGTGGCTGGAATTTTTCTAGACATCGAGAGGGCATTTGATAAGATTTGGCATTATAGCCTCCTTATCAAACTTATATTTCTCAACTTTCTAGCGGGCATTATCCTACTGTACAAAGTTATCTTACTGACAGATCCTTTCAAGTAAAAATCCGCAATGATCTTTCAACGTCAAGGGAAGTAAAGCAGGTTTGCCGCAAGGAAGTATTCTTGCTCCTCTGTAATTTGTTCTATTCATCACTGATTACGATTGTTTTACCATGTTATGCACGGCCATATTGACAAAGTCTGAAAGCTCGATTCATGCTAGAAACAAACTACAAGAATTTTAAAACTACATCTGTCAATGGCATAAAGTCTGGAGAGAGGGGAGGGGAGGAAAAAAAAAAAAAGAAAAAAAAACCAGGAAAGCCATTTACTTTCTTAAATATCCTATGAGGTCCAACATTTGAGATATTCAAATGAATGCAGAACTTGTTCCAAAAGTGAATATTGTCAGGTATCTAGGCGAAAGACTTTCCTTCCGAAATCACATCAATATATGAGAAAAAGCCCATAAAGCACTTATGAACATTTTACCCTATCATTTGCAGAAATTCACACCTCACCACCAGTACCAGTAGAAGATCAGGCCTATGCTACTATATGCAGAACCTGCCTGGGCTGTGACTGCAAGATCTAAATAACAAATTTTAGAGCGTTTTCAGAATAAAGCTTTAAGAATCATCTTAAATGCACAGTGATGTGTACGTAACACGATTAAGCATGCTGATCTTTAAATAAAGCCACTTGATTGTAAAAAATCTTCAATATTGTACATAAACTTTTTCAAAAATGAGATGCAAACTCTTGCCATGTTATTAGAAAATAAGAGACTAAAATCGAACAAACGATAAAACGACTTCGCACTATTCATCATAATCCCAGATGGTAGTATGACGTAACATTTTGTATTTCTTTGGCAGCTCTTTCTTATAATGGATATGTTGTTTCTCAGTAAAGGATAGCCGAGTGTATAGATTGATGATCTGCTCTAAGAAGTTCGAAGGTTCAATACTCAAAACTTTTTTGAACACAACAATATTCTCCTATAAAATTTTACCTGTAATTTTTCTAGATTATTCTATCAACGTAATTGTATCTTCACAAGCAGATATTCAGAATTCTTCATTTTTACTAATGTGATGATGTTCTTTTCTATCTGCTAACAGATGGCAGCACAAACTTATATCTCTTTTAGAGACTAACTTTTAAACAAAGGCTTTTCCAATTTTTTTCGATTTCAAGAAATATTTTAATGGTCATACTGATAACAAGAGCTTTAAAGGTCACCAGTTTACCGCTGACTCTTCTACACATTGACGATCTACGAATCGATAATTCTGACACAACTGGTTTAGTTGGACCTACACAGATCTTTGGTTAAATTCCCGGTCATTCTGAGAGAGCTGCAAGCTTTGTTGGCTAAAAAAAAAGTAAGTAAAAAGTTTTAAAGTAAGTCATGTTTCATTATTAGTATATATATTTTAAACAGAGAGATGTCAAAATTTCTCTTTTTTTTTTATAAACCTAATTGTCAAATTCAACCATCTTATATAAAAGCGGCTTAAGTGTTTGTCGCCGATAGTTTATTGGTTGCTTGCATAACTGTGAATTGTTTTATTCCCCATGCAGTGCAGCGCGTGACTAATATTACGAGAAAGCTAAGCCGGAAACTTTAAAAATACAAGAGAACGTGCATTTAACATTTAATAAATAAATTTAACATCTATATATGATAGAATTCGGAAATATGCAACCGGCAAAAACTAGCACTGATGAAAAAACAAATATAAATGAAATAAATAAATATCTTTATTATATGCGGCTTAAGTGTCTGTTTGTCACCGATAGTTTATTGGTTGCTTGCGTAACTGTATTAGCCAAAGGGGTGAAGTTGCCATGGCACAGGTTTGCCGTTTCAATTGAGACATAGACAATTTCCTGTTAAACTTACCTTTGCTATGACCATCAATAAATCTCAGGGCCAAACGCTTAAGTATGTTGGCTTTCTAGTATAGTAGTATAGTATAAGCTCACTTGTTTGTTAAAAATCTTTGGCTGTTTTGAGTTCTTACATTTAAAACAGTGAAACTGTAAACTTCAAAGTTACTGGCAATATACTACTTTCACAAACTTACGATTTTGAACTTGATAAAAAATAAGTTTTGTTTTAACATTAATTTTAAAACAGACAAATGTAGTTTACAAAAATACTTGTAATTTATTGATATATATTTTAACTTTTACAAGGTTAAATTAATTTAATTAGTCTAAATAACCAAAGGCTAAATAATATTGTAAAAAGCACTGTAAATAAGCAAAAAAAGATCATTAAAAATATTGCTTTTTTTGTAAGAATGTTCAGCTAGGTGTTTACAAATTTTTACACTCTATTTATGCTAATTTAAATTACCATACTTTCAAAATGATTTTTAACAAATATTGTTTATTGGAAAAGAAATATTTTCCCCCTCTTAAAAAAACTGTAAGATATATGACATATTTTCAAACCTTTTATCATAAATTACCAAATGGAAAATTTCAAATTATTTATGCTAAAAAAATGGTGTAGTCACTTAAGATGTAGTTCCTTGCCTCAACTAATTTATATACAAAATACAATTATTGGTATTATGTCTATGCATTTAGTTTTAATATTTTTTCATTAATCAGCTGAACAAAATCAAAGATATAGAAATGCCTTTTTTTATTATTATTTTTTTATTGTTCTTTCATTACAGAGTTTTCAACTATTTTACACATACACTGCAATCTGGTTTTAAAAGAAAGCTAATGGAAAAATTATATAGCAACAATCCCTATTTTTCTTTCAAAAATTCTCAATGAATAAACACATAGCTTCTAATTCTTTTTGAGTAGTATTCTTAACTGATATACGTGACAGTACAGGCATTTTGTTTATATCGCAGTTTTGAATGCTATGTATATATATAGACCAAAATTATGAAATACAATAAAGCAACAACAAATGCATTTTAGAAAAGATTTTTGAATTATAGTTGCGATTACTGGACCTTTAGGATATGAGTGGATTTCTTCCCTTGATTATGTGACAGCTGATAATTTTGCTGAGTCCGGATGATGCATTTTGTAAACTTTCTAAGTGTTGGGCAATGGTATAGTGAGGCTCTTGCGGTTTGTATCGACATTTTCAATGTGAACTTGGAAATATTTTACGCAAAAGGCATTTTTTGGTTGTGACCGGAACTTAAACACTATTTGAACTAGAAAATTTGAATGCTGATGCCACATTGACAAATCTAAGCATGAGAACACACATCATTACTTTTATTACTTGTGAAAGTATACAAGAGTACTAACACATTCCAATTTAGAAAAAGCAATTAAAAAAATCACATTCAAAACTACAGAAAATGTATGCACCTTGTGGATAAAAATTCATGTAATAAATGTTAAGTTTAGAATAATTATGCTTTTCAAATGTTTAATTTAGTTTATTTAGAATAAATTTAATTACATTTGCACAACTGCAAGAATTTTTTTTCTTTTACAAGTGTCATGGTGGAACTTTAATCATAGTTATAATAAAAAATATTACAGTAGTACATATGTTAAATTTCAACACATTACTTCTTTTAGAAAAACTATCAAATAAAAAAAATAAAGAACATAACCCATTTTCTGTCAAAATGAAAATATTCCTAAATAACATGAACAAACTAATTTTAATTAACATATAATACCATTAAAAATAAAACATTATAATCATAATATCATGGCTTCAATTCTTAAACTCCTTAACAAGGTTATATAAGAACTAAACTCAGCTGGATTTTTCTAAGATTGTTAAAAACTAATTAGAGTTGGCTCTTTTTCTGTCTTGAGAGGAGACAAAATTTCCTTTTATAAAGAGCAATCTATGTTTCATTTTTGTTTAACTGTTATGCTCATTTTCAACATGAAATTATCTGATGTTTTGAACAGAAGTTTATATTTCAGGGGTTCTCCAAAAGGGAAGAATTACCCCCTACATGGGAATTTAATAATTTAAGGGAGATGTAGTCAGCCTTTTATTTAGCTGTTAAGTATTTAGTTTTAGTTTAAGAATAAAACATCGACTTTCATTCAAGTTTTGGTATTAAACAAAATTTTCTATATTTTTTGTTCTTTAATTTATAAAACATATTAAAAGTCACCTAAATCTAAAATGTATATATGCATTTTTCACGTTTTCAAAAACGCTTGAGAACCACTTTTATAGTTCTTATACATTGATAAGACTTAAATATGTATCAAATGATGAAGACAGGATGTATTCATACACTCAGACTTTCCTATCAGAATTTTAATACAATTAAACAAGAGTAATAAGAATCGAGAAAAAGTTTAATTTCAATATCAGAAACTGAAATTTAGAATCCTATTTTAAAGACTTGGGAATAAAATTGGGATGTAGAGAACTTGCACACATAGGCATATTAGAATATGAATTAATCTTGCCACACATATATTTGGTACAAATATATATATCTCATTGATAATGAGTATGCAACAGAAGGCCAAATTTTCTATATTTTCATGCACATATTAACATCAATAATAATATAAACATAAAATTTTATTTAGATATAATTTTCAAGGAAGTTTAACCATGTAGTCTTTTAGTTCATACATCAGAGCTGCAATCTTAAAAATAATAATCTTCATTTATATCAAAACTTAGAAATGAAAATTATTTATGTTTTCAGCTAAAAGGCACATATATTATAATTATTATAACAATATGCATCATGTATTATAATAATATGCAGCTAAATAATTTACAGTAAATTTTTAGTTCAATATAATTAAAATGAGAATTTCTGAGAACATTTTTAATATTAGAAACAAGTTATTCATATTTGCAAATATTTAGATATTGAAAAAAATACACATTACAGATCTATGATTAAAATCTGTCAACATTTTCTAATTGCTATAATGAAGACTGCTACCCTAATTATGCCTATTTATGTAATGTAAGAAAAATGAATTATACAAAGCACAATTAAAAAAATGAGATAATTCATTCAGTTACAGACATTACTATAATGATACAACTATATCCAAGAAAAGAATCTAATTTATGTACAAATATGTTTATTCTGTGTTATTCTGAAAACAATCATAATAAATATAAATATTCAAATACTTCACTAACAAAATGTATTTGGAACCCATGTAACTATGTTAGTACGAACTATAAGCACGGTAAGTAGCAGTTTCATTAGCACTGCAGATTTGTGGACTTGTGGTGCATCTATAACAACAAAATATGCAATTAAAAAAAAAAGGCCTTCACAAATTTCCCCAACAATAATAATAAGACATGTTCTATGATGCATTATAATCAAATTGATAAAGCTTGGTTTATTTACAGGTGAGAAAATTAATACTGATTCTAGCAAACTTAAAATTTACTACAAAAATAAGACTAATCACAACAAAAATACTGAAGTGTGAAAAAATTTAACAAAATATTTACAGAGCTGATCTGATTCTAATTATAAGAACAGTTGCTTGCAATCCTTAGTACATTTCTTAATGTATGGCACTTAAAATAAAGGGGAAGAAAGCATTCAAAGATTATTTGTATTTCACTCTTCTACAGTGAAACAAGAATTGCTCTATAATTATATAATAATAATAATTATAATAATATTCACACATACTTGGCACAAAAAAAAATGCAAAACCTTATTCATGTAACCTGAGTTAATAATAGTCATTTGAAAAGTAAAAGTCACAATATGATACATATCAAGTCATGGTCAAGCTCAATTTTTCAAATTAATATTTTGTATTTTAAAGTATTCTAATAATTATTGAATAACAGCTCAAAGATTTGAACTATCGATTTTGAAAATGAAAAAAATACCATTCCCTAATAATAATTATAATAAAAACGGCTAATAATTTAAACTCTCCATATTTGCTTCTCTTCTATGGTATCTTACAAATTACCTTATAATTCTAAATAATTACGAAAAGAACTGCATTTGTAGCTTCATGTAAACTTAAAAAAAGTTTACTAAAATATTTGTGTTTAATATTTATATGCTTCTACTACTGACACACTTTCTTTTAAGGGATCATTTTTTTAATTGTTATCTGTCTTATGTAATACAATAGGATCATGCCCACATGAATTTACAGTTAATTTTGAATAGTTAGAATTTATAGTTATAGTTTACTCCACATGAATTTATAGTTAATTGTTATCCATATAATACAAAATACAGTAATGTTTCTTAAAAAATTATATTTTACTAATTTTAAATTTTAACCTATAACATTTGACAGCAGTAAATTCAAAATAACAAAAGACAATTTTATATGAATAAAACAATTTTTTTACAGCTCTCAATTAAATATATTATGTTTACTGAATACGATTATATTTCACAATACATTATGATCGTTGAATTAATGCTTGATTAACTTTTAATTTAACATGAACTGACTAACTTTTAAGTACAAATGTACTTATACTATTTTTTCAATGGAATTTCTTTTATACTTAAAAATAATTCTAAGTTATATTAATTCTTTTCTGCATTCTTTAGGTAAAATGAATGCTGTTAGACTTAACTGAGAGCTTTTAGATGAAGAACTTCAGAAACTTTTTCTTTAAAATTACCATTAGATAAGAAACTAAATAATAGAGGAAGTTTAGGTGGTGAAGTTTTCATTGAGAAAAAAGTTTAATATACTTTTATTGAACCTTATTTAGTAGTTAGCTAGAGACACCTATACTCAAAGCTAGGCTGAAAATAATAAGAAATTATATGTTGGAAGAAAGCATAAGTACAAAATTATCTTGCTCAGATTTTGCACAAATTACATCTTTAAAAGAAGCTAAGAAAGGAGTTAGATTGAATTTAGCACTTTTTGAATAACAATTCTTATGTGTAAATAAAGTTTTTTTTAATGGTATGGTATAATAAAATTGTATATATATGGTATAAAAAAGTTTAAAAAATACACCTAATAAAATAATGCTGATACAGTTAAATGGTATAATTATTATTTTCTTTTACATTTTTCTCAGAAACTGCAAACTGAATTTTATGAATCAGTGAGACCGATAACAATATATCATCTAAAAGTATTGAGGGTACATCCTCGTTGGAACAACTTGCTTTCATGATCACTGTCATGGTTTCAGTAAGATGCAAACTGCCCATATTCCAATATTGGACTCAGTTTAGTTGTGGCATATAAAAAATGGCCAAAGTAACAGAATGCATATCACTCTTTATCAGTTAAGTGATATTACTATTATTAAAAATCTAAGAAATTTCTCAATTTAGTAGTAAATGATATATAAATAACTTTACATAAAAAAGCTATAATATATTTTAAAAAATGAGTTTCAGAAAACAACTAAATATGAAAAATGGGGAAATCAATCAAGAAATCTTTTTAACTTCTAGTTCCTATTTTCTGTAACTTAAAAAGCTCCTTAACTCACACATCTGCAAAATGATGTCGTCAAAACAATAAAAAATTAACAATTCTCTGTTTTTACATAGATACATTTTTTTTCTTTTTGCATTCTCATTTAATATGATTTAAGAAGAAATCCAATTATCTTTTTACATTATTTATTTTGATTTAAGATGGCTTCTTTTTAAAAATCTTTACCTGAATTAAATTCTTAAAAAAAAAAAAAAAAAAAAAAAAAATTTTTTTTTACACCCTCCCAAAAACATATTTAAAACTTGTTATTAATCATAAAGATGTTATTTATGAATTATAAGTGTTACTATTAAATTCATACTTTGAGAAGAAAAACTCCTAGAATAAAAATTGCACATCATCAATATATGATTAAATGTATTTTCCGTATTTTACAGTTAAACACCAACAAAAACAGAACTTTTTATTTATAGAAATTACTTTAATACACTAGCTTAAAGAATTTTTTTAAAAAAAGCTGATGATTGATAATAAATAGGGAAATGTGTAGTAAAAAGTATAATTTATTTAAAGAGAATTAAAATAAAATGGGAAAAAAAATAAAATCTTATTAATAAGCATATACACATGTTTTTTGATAACTTTGTATTCTTAGATTATTTATTTTCGAAGTGATTATTTATTTATATATATATTTATATACCTTTTCAGTTTATCAGATAAAATAAAGGTATATCTATTCAAATGCTTAAAATACCATTAAGTTAAAACATCTTGTTATCTTTTCAAAAATTTCTTTTGTTTTTCATAGTTTTTTACATTTAAAACCAATCTTTAACTTTTCATATGCACTGTAACTTTTTTCTCCCCATATTTCAAAAGAATCAATCTACTATATATAAACAGAATTGAGAGCATATCTGAAAAGTCAACAACTATTTATAATGCTCAAATTCATAAAAAATTATAATAAATGAAATAATGGCATTTATAAGGAAGCACGGAGATATATAAATGAAATAATGGCATTTATAAGGAAGCATGGAGATGTATGACAAGCTAATTAAAAAATGTTTAAAAAATAATACATAAATTTTGAAATAAAATTGATATTTTTTACATAAAGATATAATAAATCTGTCAAATCTTAGATATTAAATGTTATTTTAGTATCATATACTGTATTAATTACAATAGTTAACTTTTAGTATTTTATACAAATCACACATACATACACAAACACACACACACAAAATAAACTATACATCAATACATTTCTACAGTATCAAACATATTTTTTATCCAACATATTTTTTATCCAATGTATCTATATCACACTTAATAAAATAAAGAAAGCATTCTATCTGTCTCTCTCTCTATATTTACATATGCATAAACAATCAATGTAATTCCCTTTAACATAATATTTTACACTTCATAATGCATATATTTAGTTCTACATATAATTCAAAATAACTAAAAAAGCATAGTAAACCTTCAAAATTAAGCACTGGTAAATATTTTTTCCCCTTAACAAAATTATTAAACAAATCTAAATCAACATAGTTGAAAATTTATGCAAAGGGAGGGGAAGAAAGAAGAGAGAAATATACACAACACTGTTTGTTTAAATCATTTTGCCTGAAGCACAAGAAAAGAATAAAGAGAAGTTTATTTTAAGTTGGTAAAAGCTAATATACTTAATAAACACTGTAATTTAAAGTTACAAATAAAACAACTGATACAAAACAATTGCATTCACTAGTCCTTACAGAAAAGTTACAGATAAAGAAACTCATGAAATTCATGCCTAATCACTGAGTACTGTCTCTTCCTTGTATAAGTACTAAAAAGGTCTTAATAAGCAAATACTTACTATATTATCCACACATTTCATCACAAATAAATTAAGCATAAAATGACTTTTCTTAATTATTTTTTAAAATAAAGTTCTTTTTTTTCATAGTTAAACTTTTTTCAATAGTATATAGTTAATGTTTTAATTAAATTAAAGCAAACATAAATTTTCATCAGAGCAATTCATTTTTCTATAATGCAGTTTTGATCTTTTTTTAAATACACACACAAAGTACTTTTTCATAGAAAACTAGCATTATAAAATGTTGAATACAAAGTGAAACAAATAACAATTTCCTGGATCATCTGATTATCAGCCATTAGCTTTAAAGTCTTCAGTTTGTACTGAAAAAGGAAAAAAAAAGTCCTGCAATGATTTTATATTTTGCTTTGAGCTTTTTCAAAAATATTTTAAGTTTAGGAACAAAATAACATATTGTATTTTTAACCACTTGTGATAAAGTAACTCACACTCTGAAACATGCTAAACTAATTAATCTAACATTAACAGTTGTTAGGAAATATGTGACTGAAATTTAGTAAATTAATTATTTCACATTTGAGTTTTATATTGAATTTATAATCCAAGCAAGTGCTTCCATGCTTTCTCTCCAAGATGAAACTAATTCACTTTGGTACAACTACAGTAAACAAGCATAATGAGGGATATGTGTAATTAAAACATAAATGCTCAGTACCTGCAGTGGCTACTAACAGGTTTTTTTTTTTTATTTTCTTTAAGATGATAAAAGTAATCAGAATAGGCTGCTTGAAAACTACTAACTAGTTAGAAAATGTTTTAAGGACATAATGAAAGGAATGTTCTTGGTCAGAATAACAGAGTATTAAAATTTTTATTAATAAGCCTTAAGCATTTGTTGAATTTAAAATTTCTCAGAAAACCACCTACTAGTTTAAAAGCTAGGGAATTACAGACTTGCAGAGAGATTAGTACAGTTTTAGCCACTGAAATTAACCCCCTTCTTTTTTAAATTGCTATGACAAAGAAATTATATCAAAATCTGAGTTACAAAATCACCTGTGCATTTCTACATTTTTAAGTTTACAATAATAAAAATTCATTTTAACCTCTAGTAGTCCATAAATGTTTAAAATATCACAATTTAAAAAAGAGAATACATTTACTTTACTTTTCAGGAGGGCATACGGTTTAATCCTTAAGTTCTTCAAACATGTTCTATGAAATTAAAAATTCATTCACATTCAAGCTTCTGTAATAAATAAATACTATACATATTTATACTTAATGAATAAATTTTCATAGAGAGGCTATGCATTGTTTTATCAAGCAACTTTCTTATAATCCCTATTTTAATTTAAATTTAAAAAATAATAAAGCCCCACTATAAATTTCTAGTGAAATATTTAAGTAAAAATAAAACTAAATATTTTACAGTTAAATTCTAGGAAATTGTGCAAAATTAAATCCCCCCCTTAGTACTCAGTTAAATGTATTAAACTACAATATTTAAATTCTCCCATTTTTGAGTCACTAACCTAGATACACACTACTTCATCATATTTCAAATAATTACTAAAAACAGTAATAATTTACTGTTAGAAACGTTTAATATTCTTATTAAATCTATATAAAATACATGAAGAGGAGAAAACCCTGCAACAGTGTTGTTTTAGAACTAAGTTAGACTTCAATTTATTTTGTAAAATTTATATTATAAAAATTCTTCTTAATGTCATGTTTTCAGTTTCACTTAATTTCCCCCCTCCAATTCTATGGCATTTAGCCCTTGGAAATGAAATTATATTTATTTGATATATAAAATTATAATATTAATTATACATAAAATTAAGATAATTATGAAATTATATTAATTTTTGAAAAGATAATTCATTCAAACAAAATTTAAAAAAATTATAAAAGTTCTTTTTGATGTCACAAATTTATATTATCATGTTATTTTTCTTCTTCAGTTCTATGGTAGTTTAGCCCTTGTAACGAAAATTATAGTAATTAATGAAAAATAACTCAAATTCATCAAACAAAATGAATAAAACTTAAAGAAAGTAAATTGTTTTCTTGGTTCTCCAAGCAAAACAGATAATCAGGCCAACACAGTTTTATAATATTTAAAAATTAATCTTAGAACTATACATAAAACGTGGGTTCTTTTACTTAAATAAAGTCTTTATTTATGCATCTAACATTTCTTATAAATATACAGCACCAAAATACGGAACTTTCACTAGTGTTCTGCATTTAATTTATCAATATAAAAAGTAGTGCACTAAATAATCTAAATATTTATATATTTAAATAGGTGAATCATATATTACAGTGGCATAGACAAAAAACAGTTTAACACATCCTGCAACTGTGTAGCAGTTGTGTTTAATATGACTTAATTTAGCAAGTTTAATATGAACACATCAGGCAATGATTGAAGTCCCTGGAATGTTAAAAAATAGGTGAAAATTAAAGAAACACCAAAACATTTGACTAACTGGCACCAGTTTCTCAAACATGCAGGCCATCGAGTTCACAAAATTTCATAGAGAAAAATAAAAACAGACTCCATTTTTATATAAAATAATATTTAACTTATCACATACTATAATATAATCTGCATTATATACAAAATGGCACTAATTAATGCACATCTTAAAAGTTCCTTTGTTTTCAACTGCAACAAGTCAAGCTCTCTAATAAAATAATGAAACTCTTAACATTGCATTGGATATATAAATGCCTCATTAACTATTCCAGTTCCTGAATTTTGCATCTTTTTACATATGGCACAGCCATCATACGTCCTTTCTTCTTTCAAAGCCATAAGCATTTCATTAGAATAAAAATATTTGAAGGACATAGGGAATGCATTTATATAAAGCTTTCTCAGGTAGAGAAAGCATAAATCATATAAAAAGCAGCCATATCTAAACAAGAAGAATCAAGTTGATTCTTTATTGTCAGTGCTTGATGGACCATCCTTTTTGGTTACATCCCGGAGGGAAGACCATGTTTTATGCAACCATGTGTTCTTTGAAGCTTGAATTTCAGCAATGGCACTATTGAGTTGGTGAATAAGATCCTGCAAATTAAAAAAAGGACCACTTTTTAATATTTTTAGAAATATAAAACATACATTACATAAAGAGGAGAAATTATTTCAGTAATTTCATTTCAAAAATAAATTTAAAACTTCTGGGACACAATAATAATGTGAATGAGAAAATTTCTTGAATAAAGTTTATTATGTACACAAAAGAGTCTACAAACTTTTCAAATTAAGGAAATAAACACGCACCTTTCACAAAGAAAAATTCAAAAAACTGAAAACTACTGTTATTTGAATTTTGATTCTACAGCAATAATGCAAAATCAAATAAATTTTTATTTTTACAGAATGAAATTTAAATATAAATTACACTGTACATTTACATATATATGTAAATGTATAATACGGATGTATATATACATATAGAATTAATTAATATACATAAATTCCTTAATATATACAGGATTAATTAATGTACATAAATTCATTGCATTCTATTATAAATTTTCAATAGTTAATGAGAACTATTAAGATATTTAATACATTAATGCTTGTATATAGAGTTCTTTTCTTAACTTAAGAAAACAGCCAACTGCTAGTTTAATTCTTAATGCCTTTTCAAACAGGATCATAGTATTGGTTAGTGAGAGCTAAGAGGGAGATATTCTTATTTCTATATTTTACTAGCATTCCTTGACTTCAGATCTCATGTGTAATGAAGTAAATATTAATAATATATAAGACATAAATTAAACATAACTACAGTTATGAATTGGCATTGGTATTAGATAAAAGATCTATTTTTTAGTAGTTACAACATCATTATGATCTGCAGTACAAATATAATTGAATGTTATCATATGGACATAGTGAGATATCTTTTCTTGGGGTCATTATGTAAATGATAAAATACAAGTAGAAACTTCCAATATAATTTTAAAATTCCAGTACAACATTTAGATTCATCAAAATACTGGTAGATTAAAAACAATATTTCTACAGATTCTTTGATAACCACAGTTGTAGACACTTCTGTGCTTAATATAAATAAATAAATAATCAATACATATATACTATTATACAACAAAACTTCAATGCATAAAAGCAAGATGACTTGGTAGCACTATAAGTAGCTGAAGTAAACTTCAATCAGCATTAGGCATAGCCAACTTAAGAATTATAAAAGAACTGTTGCCAAAAGTAGTTTAATATTGCAGTAATTTGAAATAAAATTTGAATGTTAAATTGCATACTGAATGAACAAAAACAGGAATTTTCTAAATCTACAATTGTACAAATTATTTAAAAAAAAGGGGAATAGAAAGTAATACTTATATGAGATCCACAAAAAATGAAAAGCTGCATGCTGAACAAAACTGCTGAAATATTCTTTACATTAATACTAACAATAAATATTTTTTAGTATTAGATATGAAAGTAAACTGGCAGAAGCCATTCAAACCAAAAGAATAGTTCTGTGATTCATTTTCACATTTCAAATGCCTTCTTAAATTCATCATATGTGCTTCCTGATTTAACTGAGAATCAAATTTTAATAAGCTCAAAATAATAACAAGATAATTAAATCATAATGCTAATAAACTGCTCATTATTAATTACAAAGAACCTAGAATTGAACATTTTTTTTTATCAACACAACAGTTTTTTTAAGAGAAACCTTTGCAACCCATATACTGTAAAAAGTATTTGGGTATTCATATTATGACTGTATTAATTCACATGATTAAGCCCTTAATATAACAATATATAATATATTTCACAGTGTAACTAGCCCTATAAACTTCCACAAATGACTGTAATTATACATAATGACTAACTGAGAAAATAATAGTATTTGTACACTAAAATCAATTAATTAAGCACACACACATTAAAAAAGAAAAAAAGATTCTTTCTCTAAAATCTAAAATACTAAGCATAAAAGTACGACAATCAAAAGCTTACTGGCCAAAAAGAAGAGACAAAGTTTTGCCCTCTCTCAAAAATATAATAAACATTGGGCACTGCTGCAGAGAACATATAACAAACAATACTACCATAAAACTGAAAATCATAAAAATGCATAACATAGAAATTACAATCATAAAAATGCATAACATTAACAACTATGGCTTGTGTATCATCATCTTGTTTAAAAACATTCTGTTTGCAAGCTTAAGTTTATGAGTTAATCTGTCAATATTTTACACACACATAAAAACTGAAGATTAAAAACATTATGACGACCGACCGACACAATAACACACTGCATGACATTTGGCCTGCAAAACAGTTGCAACTTGCCTTGGCATGGATGCCAGAAGTTCTAGGTAGATACTAGAAACAGGTTATACCAAATGTCTAAACAGAGTCATGCAAGGTCAAGATATTTCAACATGGTGCTTTTTCAGCTCTGCTCAATCCTGCATTTTCAGTCATATGCCATCAAAATTTTTTATTGAACACTCTGCAGATACACCAAAAAAAGGGGGGAGTCAGTTCTACTTCTCCCATTCTACCAGGCCGATTGACGAAATTTAACTTGCGTTTTTCATGTCTTGAAAGTGCAACTTAGGATATGTGTTAGATTTATATATAGTATTGTTCTAACATAACCATTTTGACAGAAAATCGGGCTTTTAGAATAACTAGAAAATCGTATCTGAAATAATATATTTTTTTTCCGTCATTCATTTCATTTCGATCCTAAAACTCAAACCAAGTCAAAATATTAAATTTTGAAAAATTTGATGAAAATTTAAAAAAAAAAAAAAAATAATCTTAATGCCCTTTTTTTCAGTTTGCACCAAGAATAATTCATTCGGAGAAATTTTTAGTTTATGCTAACCTATTTTCCTTTTCCTTTAATTGTGCAAGAGTGGAAAAAAAAAGCTGCAATGTTCATTCTTTCAAATAACTCTAAGTGTATAAACTACATTTGGCATTAATTATTGCTTTTAATAAATGTGCCAAATAAAAAACAAATTCAATACATAAATTCATGTGTATCATAGCAAATTTTGAATAAAAAATTAATTTTTTGCAATTTTTTGCATTAATTTCGTAGGTTATAGTTTAAAAAAAATTATCAGAATTACTAAAAAATACAAATTAAAAAAATAAATCGGAAAATATCAGCAAATTTTATTTGGACTGAACCTAAATTTTGATTGTGCTTTCAAGACATGAAAAATGACAAGAAGACATGAAAGTTAAATTTTATCAATCGGCCCCGGATATGCAGAACTGTCCCCCCCTTTTTGTTCAAGGTGTACCTAGTTCTTCTTTTACACAAATTTAACAGTAATTCAAAATTAATAATTCATTCCCTTTTTAACACCTGTCATTTTGACTTAACATGAGGGCCAAGCCAATTTCTAAAAATTCCCAGCCCCCAAATCTTAAGAAAGCAGTTTTTATTTGTAGTGTGATAGCACATATAAGCTCAAACAGATTGCATATCAGCTAGTGAAGGACAATGAAGTACTTCTCTATGCTGAATAATAAGTCACGTAAATAAATGTATTAAGTTTTTACTTCTGTTTCCAAGATGTGTATGTTTAGAATTTGGAATTCAAACCGACATTTCGTATCTTCAGAAAACATTTAGTGTGTAACTCTCTTTTAAAGTGAAAGAATCTTTAATGAAATTTGTGCACATGCAAATTCAAGTTTATTACTTTTTCCAGAAGTCAACATATTGCAAGTTTTCAAATTTTTCATATCTCATGGGATTTTTTTTTTTTTTTTTTTTTTACACCTGGCTTTCCTATTTTGGAATATTCAAACATACAAATTTCATTTCTGTCACATAATATTACATTTTTGTTTATAACTGCGAGATCAAGGTATAACAGTGACATATAAAACACGCTACATAAAAAAATAAGCATTCCAATATATTTTGGACAAACTGAATGAATGACTATGTATGGAAGAAATTCTCAATTATGGATTGTATCAATCAAGTTGGATTAGTGTTAATTGAATTAAATCCAGCAACTTTGAGTACTGATGGAAAGCACAACCACAATGTGTAAACCACAATGTCTAAAAAGCAAAGTTCATCACCCCTAATATGACTGAATTTCCCAGCATTATCACAATGTCACACACACTGGTGAAGAAGGATTCAGTGGTTTATCATTTGAAGATACTTATTATCTTCAAACAATTCAAGTTATTAAAGACTGTTTGAAAAGAACTATTAGTCAACTAACCCCTAGGCAAAGCTGAATTACCATATTTGATGGCATATAAGACACACCCTTAATTAGAAGGCCACACACAAGGAAAAAATGTTTCAATAGTCCGCGCAACAGCGCGGTACCACAATAACTTAATATGTGGTTTCTTTTAATTCTCATGTTTCATAAAAGCCAAATAAAGAATCATTGAATGCAATTACCAAACATATTTTTATTAAGGACAATTAACAAACAGTAAGCTATTTTTTTTTTGGTAGGTGATGGACCGAAATGCCTTGCTATTGCTTTGTTTCCATGCACTTCGGTGTAGTTTAACATTCCTAGTTTATACTGAATTGTATAGCTTAATCTCTTGTTTCCTGTAGTCATATTTTCCAGTGTATTTTTTTAAAACAAACGGTTCTAAGCACCGATACCGACACGTTTATACAGAGTAGCACCGATACCAACATGTGTGTCGGCTGAGTCAAAGAAAGTCTATGTAAAGAAGGAAAGGCTCCATAGATGTAATGTGACTGTCAAACCTGTTCGAACTTCGACATCAGCTTCGAGCTTTGGCGCTTTTTGGTGCAGATATTTCACGTATGCGCAAAATAATTATGACAGATGTAGAAAAAGTTATGTGTGTCTAGACCTTTATTCGGGCTAAAAATAGCATTCAGTATTGAAAGTTAACCTGTGTCCTTCACGTATAAGACGCAGGTAACTTTTTTGAGACCCAAATTTAGGAAAAAAAAGTGCGTCTTATATGCCGTCAAATACGGTATTTGAAGTTGTTTTTGAGATTCCTAATCCTAAAGAAGGCAGTAATAATGACAAAAAGCTCCAGTTCTAAACAAAGATTTAATAAAATAAGGCCTGGAACTGGGCAGAAAATTGGGTAATCATTTTGTTAAACATGAACCAATAACAAAGTCCCCAACATTTCTAGTGATAGCAGTGATATTCCAGACATATGCAAACATATGTGCCATTTATTATCAGAAGGTGAAAATGAATAAAATCTTGTTACATGCAAAACTTTTTTTTTTAAAATTTCAAATGCAAATTTACTTTAACACATATGTATTTTTCTGAAATAAATTAAGCTGAAAGCACTATAATTTCAGGTTAACACGAATAATTTCAGGTTTTTAGAAAATTATTTTAGCTCATTCTTTTAGAACTGGAACCAGTCTTCTTTTCTTCCACAGATACTTTAACACATTTACTTTTTCTTTACCACATATTCTTTAGAAGCCTATCTGTCATGTAAAAACAGAATTAGGTGTAAATGTTATACATGTATATATATAATGAGATACTGTCTGCCTAATGCCCATTAATTTTTTAATGCCAATATAACATTCAAGAGTTGTAAGTAGTAATTTATAACTGCAAAAAGAAATTTTTGTTCTGGCTAAAATAAATGAACATCTCCAAATATAATTACTAATATTTGCCCATGCATATAAATTTATTTACATCATACATTTTTTGGATTATTATGTAGAAACCACACTGATTGCTTTATACACATAACAGTTCAAGAGGAGTTTCATAGTTGTTTTTCTTTTTCTTTTTTTTTTTTTTTTTTCTTTTTTTTTTTTTTTTTTTTTTGGAAGAAGGGAGAGGGAATGCAACGAGCCTTTTATTCAGCCAAGAATTTTAATTCAAGTTTTGGTGTCTATCAACATTTTCTATACTTTTTCTTGTTTAATTTATAAAATACATTAAAAAATAATCTAAATTAAAATAAAATGTATATGCATTTTTTGAATTTTAGAAAAGGAAGATGACCTCAAAGCATCATTGAAAAGAAGAGCATGGGGCAAAACAGATTGAGAACCACTGTAAGAATCCATAGCTGAACAAACCAGAAAGAAAAATGTCTTTAAACTGATGGTGAGAAATGGGACCTTTTCTGAGTATACAGGTTTTTCTTCTTTCTTAATAGATATCACCAAATTTTCAAAATGCGCCAAATACTGGGAATTATGTATTACTACACTCAGGCATTATAATAATTTAGGTACCTGAATTACTATTATGTTCAGGAACCTGATTAATCATAATCTTTACTACTATATAACAGGATATTACTACATTTAAATTTTACTTTACCTTAAATTAAATTGATAACTCAATACTTTACAAGCTTTGCTAACATACCAACAGCTTCTTTTAAAAATGAGAATGAATGCTTGTGTTTTAAGCATGAGTTTCTTAGTCAATACTTTAACATGTTTTTAAAATTAATTACAGGAATAATAATTAATTAGTTTACAAAACAAACAGTTAACAAAGGTGTTTCTCTGTGACATCATCATCAATAAATTATTGTATTGACTTAAAAATTATGTTTATAGTGTTAATTTACATATACAAATGCAGGATTATAAAACTTTTGACTTTTTTAACTATAAATTTAATTCACTATAATAATTCAAAAAATTTAATTTTCTCTTTATTTTTAATGAATAATGTCATTTAAAAAATAAAAATCTTACCTGGTTTTTACATTCTGCTTCCACTAATGCTAACTTTGTCTGAGCAAGTTCAAGCTCAAGTTCTCGAATTTGTTTATCACTATCAACAGCATCGATACTTGACTCATTAGTTACACTGTTACTTTTCTTAATAAGTGAATAATTTGAGGCAAAGATTTTTTTGCAGCAAATTTCACAATCCCCAATTTCATTCTAAAAATTAATCACATATTTATGTATAAACAAATTATACAAATTAAAATTCTGCAAATATGCTAAAATCAGCAAATACACTTAAACAATTATTGAATAAGCATACTATACAATGTTTTTGTATATCATTATTTTACAACATGAGCATTATAATTTAAGACAGATTGTGCATGAAATAAATACTATTTTAAAACAAAATATTTAAAATAAAACACACTTTTACAGCTTGGAAAGGAATTCTATATTAGAAAAGAGAAAAAATTAAAATGCAGTTTCATTTCTAATAATTATAACCTAATTTCTACTATTTTAGTGTTCAGTTCTTAATGCTGCCAGAGTTGATAATGAGATCATACCAGAGAATAAACAGTTTTCAAATAGTTACAAATATAATGAATATCTCAATCATTCTAACTTTATGAAGGACATATGCATGACACATTTCATGTAAGTAGTGAAAATTATTACTGAATGGTCTAAATACAGACATTAAAAAACAAACACTGAATTTATTATGAATCAATTTTAATTTTCGCTTACAATAAGTTACAATTTGTACTTTAAATATTCCTTATACATCTACTCATTATAATTATGTAGCAAACATTAAATATAATAATAAAATTTCTATGTTCTGTCGAGCATAGGACCTTGTATATACAGTATTATACATATAATATATATCTATATATATATAACAGTATTATATATATATATATATAATTTAATCTTAGGAGATAATATAATCAATATTCTTTAGTAAATAAATTATATATATATATAAAATTCCTGCCACTCTTTGGGGATGGTATTGGTGGCAACTTGAAAACTGCATACAGTTTAATGCCTCAAAGAATTGACTAATAAGGTTTTAAAAAGTTAATACTTTTTCAAATTATGGACTTTGTATTGTACTATGGAATGAGTATAGCTTACAAACCTTTACTGTGTTTATGAAATCTTGAAAAAGCTTTTGTTCCTTTTCCAACCTCAAATTCAACTGGCTGCAAATCTATAAAAGAAACAGAGGACACTGAACACATATTATTTTAAAACATATGACTTTCTTATTTAATTTAATACACTGAACAACTGAATTTATATATTAAGTATAAATGTACAGTCAAGTCTTAAGCATTAATCCTTTTTCTCTCTTTGCTGAATTTCAAATACAAATTATAATATAATCTCTATATTAACCTCTATCAAATAAAACAAATAAACTTACATCCTACTAGTTTTAACTAGATTATAGGGAAAAATGAAGAAAAAGATTATATATAACACTGTGTCCATCACTAGTGTTACATATAAAAGAATAGATAAATGAAAATTAACTAATAAAATGCTGTTAATGTTTCTTAATGACATGCTAAATATAAAGACACAATCAGGACTAAGAATCAGGATACAATGAGGACAAATATAAAGACTAAGAAGCATTAGTTCTTTTTCTCTCATCATATTTTAAATAAATAAGCTAATAAAATTCACCTGTTAATATCTATCAAATAAAATGAAAAAATAATTCCTTAGATTAAAAGAGACTTAAATCCCACTAGATTTAATGGAACTTACATATCAGTAACTACTTTTGTAGAAATCATCATATTTTCAGAATATGCCAAATTCTGACAACTATGCATGTAACAGTTTTAGTAGTTTTATCCAGAAATGTTGCCATTTTTGTTGGCCTTCTCATCTGTTACATTCCAAGTTTTACCAGCTTACTCACTTAAATAACCTTATTGATTAATTTTGTGGATAAATAGCAATTTAACACATAAAACACATGCATAGTAAATTTTTTTAAAAATTATAAATCCTCATTTTTTCCTTTCTGTAAAAAAATCACCAAATTGTGCCAAAATGGCTGTTTAAATACATAAGTACCAATTTAATTAATACTAAAAAATAAAGAATAAGGTTATGTGTGATACTGTGTTCATCATTTGGATTATATCTAAAATAATAACTAAATGTATAGTTTTAAATTAACCAATAAATACTGTTATTTGCTTCTTGAATACATCTTTTGCAATATGAAATTTATTAAATCCATTACAGGATGAATGTGAAAGCTTGATATTTATCTTTCTTTAACTAAAATTATGCCTATTTTGGTAGATTTTTATGGTCAAATTAAACATAAATAACTGCAATTAAGTTTAATTAGTATTTTTGTTGCCGCTAGATGTAGCTGTATGTCTGTTATGGAGAAATGTATCGAAAGTTAAGTATGTGTACCTTCATTTCTATGCAGTGTTTTTTATTTTTGGTATTTTGTTTTGGAATGAGAGGGAGATTCGTGGGTGGGTGTTGAGCAAAATGTAATGTCTCTTTAACTAAGTGCATTGATATAAACAAAGGCACACATTATTCTAGAATGAGTATTTTATAAAATTTTTAAGGAAAATATAACAATAAAGGTTTAAAATTAATTCTGACAACTACCTGAATGTTCTTCTCATAATATACCAAAAATTGGAACAATTGGATGGCAAATTTAATTCATATGGATTCCAAAGTTAGGCTTAGGAGCGTGAATTGCCCGTCCCCACAAGACTATGTATCCAGTTAACGTGCCGTCTCAAGACAACGCTTCGGTAATAGAGGTACTCATCGTGAATGGGTTAACTTGGGAATCCCATCCATTCGCATCATCCACTATAGAAAATTTTTTCTTATATACTTGCCAGGAGGTCTTCCCATCATACATGGATAGCTGCAGAAAGGAAAGACTAAGCATGGGTAAATATTTAAACGAATTTCTTCAGGGTCAACTTTGCTGACTGCAGAAAGCCCGTCATCAATTTGTTGTTCCTTGGTAGAAACTGTCTCTTCTATTTGTTCTTTCACAGAAGAAAGTCTGTAATCAATTAATTCGCTGTTCCACGGCAAAAACTCTCTCTTCTATTTGTTCACTGAGAGAAGAAACTTTCTCTTCAGTTTTTCCAACTTTATTTTCAATTAAGTCTATTCTGTTTTCCATAGCCTCAAATTTGTTTTCAATTATGCAGGTAATTTCTCTTTCCATTTTTTCTTGACCTGCTTGAATCTTTTCTTGACAAGCATCTCCCCTTTAACGGATACTTGACTCTCATTCATCTCTCCTTTAACAGAATTCACGGCACCTTCCATCTTTTTTTGGAATGCAGCAAACGCAGTCACGAGCTGTTTTAACTGTTCTTCCATCACTCTTGTAGCTGGCATTTAACCCCACTCCTGACACCAAAAAGTGTTGTGTGCATTATATGGGTTCCTAATAGATTGAATGCCCAAGTCCAATAAAAGGATAATAAAATGTATTCTTATCAAAAGAAATTTAACAGAATGTCGGGATTTTTCTTCAGAGATATTCATACAATAATAGAATGTTAGATTTTTCTTCAGAGATATTCATACAATAATAGAATGTTAGAATTTTCTTCAGAGATATTTATACAATATCAGAATATCAAAACAATAAAATCAGTAGCTATACTTTAAACTACTAAAACGTTAAATGGTACACAATCCACAGCACAGAGAAAGCTAATCTGAACAACAATAATAACAGTAGCTCACTAAACCAACAATGAGATGAGATGTTCTCTGTCTAGCTTTTTATAGCTTTAAATCAACCGCACAAGATAGTTCCAAGAATTTCTGGAAAGCAAAAAAAGAATAGAACTACGATTACAGCTAGCATAGTAGTCAATTACATTTTTCAATTTAAATATAAATTACGAGATATCTATTTATTAAATGCACGTGCTCCTGTATTTTTAAATTTCCTTCATTGCTTACTCTTAAAATATATCTCGTCCTGCATTGCATGGGAAAATAAAACAATTTTAATTATAATTCTACTAAAGATATCTAACTAAATATAAAATTCATAACAATATCATTTTAGTTAAAAAAAAAAAAACATAGGCATGATTTCTCAAGAGTTTTTGTTTGGATTAAAGTAACTTATATTTCCTCACCATCTTACATGGACAAATCTACCAAAAACTATTCTTCATTATAAAAACACTGCTTTGTAATTTTTAATGCATTTACATATTTTACACAGCATGCAAGTTTATTATATCTTCAAGATCTAAAACTGAATCTGCATCAGTGCGAGGAAAAATGAACTTTCTGTGAATGTCATTTACACCCGTGCGGAAAATTTCGTTTTAAATTTGTCATATGAACATACTAGATCAGCGATTCTCAACCGGTGGTACGCAACAGAAAAATAGGTGGTATTCAAAGAAACAAAGTATTTTTAACTATTAAATTCAAAAATGAAACACCCCAACATCCTGTTTAAATTTCTCTAACACTAGTAAATTTATGCGATCTGAGCTTTGTTTGAGGTCAATAGCTGTTCATACACTTTAGCAAAAAAATCTGCTTTTACTTTCATGAATATTTTTTTAGCCATAAACATAAAAAATGTGTCATAAATGATGTTTTTAAAAGGAGCAATAGAAATGAATATTGTATTTAACAAGAAATAAAAATAAGTTCCCATAAAAAGATAATAAAGTTGATTGATTTATTATCATGTCTACACTTTATGGGCGACCATTTCTGGGCTTATATTGCTCTATTTTCAATTAGAATAATTTTTTGTGAAAATTCTCAGGTGATGGATCCAGGATAGTCTACTAGCACTAAGAATAATAAAAATAAAATAAAAATTGTTTATAGAAAATATCATAAAAGTTATTTATCATTTGGGTTTCCTTGGAATGGAGATGAAATGGACCCTCAATCTCAATGTGTTGTTTGCGGTGAACTATTATCCAATCAAAGTATGAAACCGTTTCTTAAAACACATCCTGAATCTAAGCATGCCAGTTTAAAGGGTAAGTCTGAAGAATAGTTTAAGAGGAAATTATCAGAGTTCAAAAATAATAAATAAGTCATGAAAGGTTTTGGTACTTCAAGAAGAGAAGCTTTGGAAGTACTAGTTAACTAGTAGCCTTACAAGTACTTAGTAAGTCTAAGAATTGCCAAGTTTAGGCAGGCTCACACTATTGGAGAAAACCTTACATTACCAGGTGAAGATATTTAACATTATTCAATGAAAAAGCGGCTAATGAACTTGATAATATTCTGTTTTCAAATGGTACAGCAAGCCAATGAATTCATGAAATAGCAAATTCCATAAAAGAAACACTTATTCAAAAAATAAAACACAAGTATTTCGCACTGCAATTGAATGAAAGTACTGACATAACAAATTTTGTTCAATTATGAGTTTACTTCAGTTTTGAAGAATATAAACAAATCTCAAAAAGTACTTCTTTTGTGAATCTCTTTATGCTAGAGTAATTCCAAATAAAATTTTCAAAGTAATTGACAGATTTATGTCTGAGCATAACATTCCTTGGAATAAGTGCATTGCTGTATGCAGCGATGGAGCTTGGGCTTTAACAGGAAAATATTAAGGAGTTATTTCTCAAATAAAGAAAGTCGCACCTGAAACTAAATTTACTCACTGCTCCATTCATCATGAAGCTTTAGTCAGCAAAACAATCCCCCAAAACCTGAAAATTGTTTTCAGTTAAGCCATGAAAATCGTTAATTTTCTTAAAAGCCAAGCTTTAAATTCAAGAATATTTATGATTTTACATGAAACACTTTAGTAAAATTTCAATAAGGTGGTTATCTAGAGGCTAAGTTTTAAATCGTCTTTTTGAACTTCAATCAGAAATTCAAATTTTCCTCTGTGATTCCAATTTTGAATTACAAAAATGGTTATTTAGTGAATTATGGTTGGTGTGTTTAGCATATTTAGCTGATATTTTCGAAACAATAAATGAATTAAATTTAGGATTACAAGGAGAAAGTGTTAATTTGTTTATCATTCGAGGTAAAATAAATGCAATGATAAAAAAACTCGAGTTAATAATCAAGGAATTAGATAATAATATTTTAAACTTTTTACCACTTTTAAAAAGTTTTCTAATCGAAAATAATTTGAAAATAAAAGAAGAAGTAGCATCCAACATTAAAAATTTATTGTTTTTTGGTGATAAATAATTTCAACACGTATTTCCCTGAGGGTTATGAAAAAGAAAATTGAATCTAATTTGTTCAAATGTACCTCCTGAAGAAAAAGAGAAATTGATAGAAATTTCCTATGACTGAACTTTAACTGAAGATTTGAAAGGGGGTAGGAAAACCTTTGGCTAAATGGGAAAAAAAAAATTTAAAGGCATTTCAAATAAAGCCATTAAATTTTTATTGCTGTTTTGCACAACCTATTTGTGTGAACAAGGATTTTCTTCCATGTTACATTTGAAAAATAAATACAGAACAAAATTAAAAGTGGATCCTAATTTACGGTTAAAATTAAGTTAAATAAGACATAAAGAAATTTATCTCTCTTAAACAGGCCCAAATTTCACACTAAATTATACAATTAAAGTAATATAACTTAAATTTTGATAATTAAAATTATAACCAATTTTTATCTAACATTTTTTATGTGTGCATATTTAATTCAAATGGCCAATAGGTTGTGCAAATGCAAAGCATGTATTTTTTTAATATTTCTAGTGAGACATTAAAAAATAATCATTGCAAAATGTAATGGTGGTACTGAAGTTTTTCAATTTTTGTTTAGATAGTACGTGTTAGTCAAAAGGTAGAAAACAGCTGCACTAGATGGTTCTTTGTGCCAGATGCTTGGGGAGTAAGTGCACTTCCAATTTATCTTCTTGTCTTCAGTTTTATGCACAGTGTCTCTCTATGATATTTATGTTTCATGCACTTTTGGTTAAAAGTGATTCACAATGGTTATTACATGCATACTTGCTTCAGTGAGAAAAATTCACAGTATTTCAAAGCCCTCAAATTTACTTAAATAAGGTGCATGATGATGAAAAAAACCAAAAATGTAAGTTCCAGTGTGTGTATGGAAAGGGGGAAGCAGAGAATAAAAAAAGCACTCCTAGTTTCAGGAAAATGAAATACACAATTATAAGATATGCAGTATTTTCTTGCATATTTTCCCCCTTGCATTTTAGTGCCAGGTTCTGAAATATTTAAAAATATTTCTGTAATTTTCCCTTTCCTTAGAGTGTTTAGAGAATGAGGTATCCTAAATTTTAAAATTAATTCATCCATGCAGTGATTGTTTTTGTCTTACTAATGAAGACAAATTCTTGCAAATACTTGTGCAAATCATGCCAAACCTTTCCTTCTAATTGTTAAACTTTATGCGAGTCTAATAAAAGAAGCAATCAAATAAACACAAACTGACACTCAGTCAACACATTCACTAAGTCATATGCACATTCACTTTCTCTGATTATTTGTGGATGATATGAGACCTAAAGAACAACAGAGACAACAATACACATGGGAGAGATTCAAATCACAGTAAAGTAGAAATGATGATATCTTAGTATTAAAATGTTAATATTACTATGGCTTCTTTTTGGAATGTAGGCTTCTTTCATAGAAATAATATCGTGATAGATACCTGTATTTCCCTAGTTTATCCATGACTACTTTTAAATTTTCATGTTCTTTTTTTCAATTGTGTACTGTAGAAATAAAATTTTTCGCATACTCCTCCCCTAAAGATTTTTGGATGACAAAATTACTAAAAAGAAATCAAAAAATAAAGAGGAGGGGTATAAGATATATTGTATTCAGAAAATAGAACATAAACATGCAATTTCAAAAGCACAAATAAAAATAGTACAAGAAAAAAATGTCAGTTGCAGGAAGAAGTTACCCACCAATCTACTAATAACAGAAGCTTCTGCTTTGCTCAAACTGACAATGAACATATCTTCATACCAACTGGCCCTTTAATGCGAAAATGCAGATAAATCAGACAGATGTCACAAGAAGTGATGATGCAGATAAATAAAAATTTCTGGATGAAAATATCCAGATTAAACACAAGAACAAATGGAGTATTACAGAAGTAAAAATGGGTCAAAAAGCTATGCATGATTAATTCACACCTCCTAAAATCTTCTAAAATATAATTATTCCAGCCTCACTAAGAAAAGCTCAGAATTAGATAGAAGGGCTGTTGCATTATCTTTTTGGCCTCACTAATAGAGCTGTGAAATTTTTCAGCATCTTCAGCAGAATGAATATAATCAACATGATTCTTGTCAAATAATTTTGTTCTCAAAGTTGCTGAAGCAATTTTTATGGTGGGATGTTTGTTCAGTAAATAACAATATAATTTCTTTTTTAATATTCAGATTTGATTGAAGTCTATGGCCACATGGAAAATACAACCTCTGAACTCAGTTTTAATTGACTTCCACTTTCTACTTCAGTGACTGAATGTAAAGGTGTGAATTTAACCCGGCGGAAGTCACACCAAGAAAAGTTACTAGAGTGGGCGCGTGGGGTATCACATACCACAATATTTAAAATGCGATAAAAAATAGTTTTATTTAGTTTAAAGCTGTTTTTCTTGTTCTCGTATATTATAAATATGTGAATAATAATTGGGTTTCAAACAATTAATTTCAAAAATAATCTTAGAGTTAAAATTAAGATAAAAGAAAATAATAAAAAAATAAACATCACGCCTCTAAGTTTCATTGCATCTCTAATACACAATGCTTATTTTATTTCTTTACACTTTGAACAAAATACATTCATGTGTTCTTGGCACAGAATATTTTTACATTTTAAACATTGCATTCACATTCTTCTGTCCTTGGCGCACAGGCAATTTATCACATCTTTCACACTTAGTTGTTTCGAATTTCATGTATTCGTTTTAATTCTTCGTCGAAACTTCTGCTTTTGTTTTGCATGCAGTACGTCAGTTTCGGTAAAGTATTAATCTCTGATCTTTGTTCAATACTTTCATTAACTGTAATGCTAAGTCCTTCAAAAACAGACTTCTGTTTCTAGTTGGTGGACTAGCAGTTGAATATAATATAGTTCAAGCATTTAATTACAGCAACATTAAGTGCAGGAAAGAAAATTACCTTTAGCCATTTCCTGGTTATTCTGGCAATTGAATAATTGGCTGACATTTCATCCCCCCATATTCACTGCTCCTTTAGTCATATTATAAAAACATTTAATTCCTGACGTTTTATTTTCTCCAATAGTATCATCTGTAGTATGATCGTTATATAATGTTGAAAGCATAAGAACAGTTTTTCCTTTTTTTAGGAACATTAGGAATTAATGTTTTATCTTTTTCGAAACCAAAACAGTGTAGAAAATATTCCTATTTCATCTTCAGTTTCCGAAATGCAATCTTCATTGCTTTCAAATATTTCTAATAAATCTCACAAGCATTGCATATCCAATTCAAAGGGAGTCATTCTTTTTACCATAATGCGGTTAGAAATTTTTAAAAATTTAATGTCAAGTACTTTAAAATCATTTGCGAGTAGAAATATTTACTGTTACACGCTAGAAATAAATTTCTGAACTAAATATTCAGTCAGAAAAACACTTACGCGGACTGGCGTGTGGGGTGTTTCATACCCCAGTTCCAACAAAATACCGATAAATCTTTTTCTGAAACACACAGGCAAAGAAAAAGCGGTTCTGAAAGTCAACCACAACTAGAAACTCAGCTACTGAATGCAGCACAGAATTTCAGTTTCACAAGTTAGGAATATTCCACTTTTATGTAGGGGTGGGGTATGATACACCCCACATGCTTTCCCAAGGGTTAACATAAAGCTGGAATCTGAAAATTAAAGACAAAGATTTCCTGGGAGTAGGGGTAGTAATATGAAAATTTCTAACAGAGGAACATGAAATTAATTTCAAAAGCCTTACTTGCTTATACTCTGATATTATTGTATTGTTGCGAGAAATTTCACTTTCAGCTTGTTGCAGTTCTCTTCTACATAATTCCTTTAGCTGCAAAAAAATAATATATCAGCTCTTTATGTAGATTCATTCTATGGTAGAAAATTTTATAAGTGAAATTATTATAACAAATTCATATTAAAACAATAGGTTTGAAGAAGATAAAAGCTACAATTTGAAATATATTAAATAGAAAATATAAATGTTTCTTAGTAATGTAAACCAGTTTTTTTCTTAGAACATTATCATTTCCCTTTATTCCTTCAACATGATTTAGAAATTCTATGAATAAAGTCAGGACAAAAATTTTAAACACCTCAAAAGAAAATAATTTACTTATTTTATGTGGGTGTAATTGTATTTTAAAATATATTGCTAACATTAAAAAATTCTAAGTTAAAAACAAAATTAAAATTTATTATACAGAAACAACAACAAAATTATCACAGAACAAAACTCAACATATATATATTAATACCAAATTATCTTCCTTTAATTTTAAAGACAAAACATAAATTTTAAAATTTCTATTCCACCAAAGTAAAAAATATGCAATATTAAACTGTACTTGGCAACAGTTCTTTCAGTACTGCATGAAGTTCCAAAGCAAAAATGGCTCAAATGCAACCTTTTCTTTTTAAAACACTTTTATCTATTTGTTATTATTATTACTTCTGTAATAGCTTCACATTAAAATTTCAAAACACTTAGACTCGAGTCCATCATAATTCAGTACTGCTTTTCATAAACTGAACTATTAATGAATTTATTTATCAAATTCAATTTAAAAATTAGGTATGCTTTCCTGCAGTAAAACTGCATTTGAGATTTTTTGCTTCAATACTTTTTAAAGCATATTATTGGCGGAGGGGAAGAACTTAATAAATGTTTACCTACAAATATTTATTTATGCATACTTTCCTATTATAAATCATCCATCAATATATTATATTGTTCAAATTTTGGTGTAAAATTTAAGTATCTGCTTCTATTGTAACCTGTTCTTTAAGCTAAATATTTAAGTATTAATTTTGATTTTAGACAATATACAGAATGTACACTTATATAAACAAAAATTAAATACTTGATTGACTTCAGTTTCCAAACGTCGTTTTTCATCTTCTACTTCTGCTAAAGACTTTTTTGTAGTGCTAATTTCTTTACAGTAGCTTTCTAATTTTTCAAGAGCCTAGAGATGTGTTGTGAAAGTATTTAATACAAAAATAGAAACATTAAGTTTCAAATATAGAACAAATAAAAGATTTATTCTAATCAAAGTTTTGAGATTAACAAAATATAATCTACATGTAAACTATAAATACAAGAAAGTATAAGATCAGACTTAATATTTATTTTAATTCTTCATGTTCCATACAGTTTATGAAATGATCTGTTTACAAATACTTGCAAGTGATGTATATCGGTTCATTCTCAAAATCAATAGTTGTATTTAAAATTTGTACCTATTTAATCCTTTTCTTTTTTCCTTCCTTTTCTTGAAGGGCCTAATTTCACAAAAGAACATAATCCCAAGAAATGGGAATGTATAATCTTATTTTTTAATTTTTTAAAATATATGCTACATGCAGAACCCACCACTTATTAAACTGATTGGTTAATAAACTCAGCCACTTATTATGTTCAAATTTTGAGACCAAAACAAATAGATATTAATCAATAGAAAAACCACCACTTATTAAAACCCAGCTTCATGCTTATTACATTCAGATCGACAAAAGACTGATCCTTCAGTGCCAGAATCTTACTTGTACATATCAAACCTTTTGTAGTTTATTCATTTAATGAATAATGTACAACGGCTTTATCATTCAGGTACATAATACTTCATTAAAATGGGTTCAACTAAAAATTTCCACCCCTGTTCTCTGTAGTAATTTGCTTTACACACACAATACTTTAAATGGTACTTCAAAGTCTTTTACGCCAGTTTCCCATAGTCCTCCAAAATTTGGGGATCGGGGGGGAATAAGATTCCATTCAATAACTTCTGAAGCTAGATATCCCACTAATATCTCATCTGGGTTTTTAATAATATTGTAAAATTCCTTTCTTTTATTGAAAGCTTTAATAAATGTTTTAGCATTATTGCTAAATAATTTGCTACTTTTACCACACTTAGAAAAGAATCTCTTTAAGGTAGTTATAAAAGAGATAGATGTATAACCAATTCTAAATGTCTGGCACGAGTTACAAAACAAATTAAAATACAAACATAAATTTTATTCCAAGCACCTTGTCTTTGGTGTTTATATTTGATAAAGAGAGGAACACAAAAATCAATGCTTGTACAATTAAATTCATAATTTTGAATTACTTGATCTCAAGGTAAGTTACATCAAAGCTGATTTGTGATAAATGGCTTAGCCTTGAAACAAGAAATATATTCATGCACAATATTTCTACAACCATTTAACAGCCAGAAGACTTGCCAATCATGATATAATATTCTTACGAAATGTACAGGTGCGGTAAGATATCTTCCTCGCAAAGCAGTTTTAGGGTTGCCATAAAATGGCAAGGGAAGGCAGGGTCGCGATATTTGGTGACAAAATTGGCAATATGCCATGGACAGATGGAGAAGTTTCTGGAACGAATTCTTACCGGTTTAGCCCAGAATGTTTTTGAACACAAGCCGAAAGCTATATAAACCCTGCTGGTCCGCAGTCAGCTAGTATGTGTGCCTGATAACCTGGAGGCTGTATCGCTGATCGTGTCAGCGTGTTTATAGTAATTCATCGACAATTGTAAACATGTTTTGGAGCTGCCCTGACAATACTGTCCAATAAAGTATGTTTCAATACTTCATCAAGTAGTGCCGAAATCTGTTAACAGGAAATATGTTTTAAGTAGCTTTACAAAATTAATTCTTTTTTCGTATAAAAATAAAAATTTATCAGAAAATTGCATTCTTAAAAGTGTGATTAAATTCATTTAATACATGTAACTGTTATTAAATACTAGTGCTTTAGATTTTAATGTTAAATTTCATGCATGCTTTTGTTAAATTTGCAAGTACATTTTAAAGAAAATCAATTTGTTCATAAATTTGTCGAAGATCTCATGTTCAGCTAAATCAAATTTATTTTTGTGTGATCTTAAATTTGAGGCACCGATAGTGAATTTGTTTTGGCATATTCATAATTTTGATTGGAAAACTTAGTGCTACTGTGAAAGAATGATCAACTGATTTTTACCTTATTATTGTAATTGACTTGCAGGATTTTTCATAATGTGATGTTGCATATGTTTTCATAATGTGATGCCTCTTCTTTGTTATCAAATACATAAAAAGAGTATATTCATAATCTGATATTTCTTCTTTTGTAAGAGTGTAATACATCATAATGTTATACTTGGGATTTGTTTTTAGAGTATATAACAGTATTTTTTATTTACTTGTTGCTTTAAAACAGGTTTTAAATCAAGGCTATTTTTTTCTGCCTTAGTATGCACATAAAACTTACTTAAGCTATATTTTTAACAAGTTAATGAAATATATTAACAAGTTAATAGGTCAGCTGCTTTAATAGAAAAAGAACTAAAAATGATATACCTTGAAACATTTTATTGAAAATAAGAATATTATCTTAGCAGTGTTGGCTAAGATTTATTCAGACCTTTCTTTTTCTTTTTTTTTTTTCATTTATTTTGATATTTCCATATACATTAATTTAAATAAGAATCCAGTAAGTAAGATCATGCTGTATAAAGCTGTCGATTTACAACAAAAATATCAAATTACTGCTGTATTTTAATAAATTTTAATATAATGAAATGAATTGCACTACATTAGGAAAAAGAGTGAAAAAATTTCTATTTTTGCATTATTTTCACTATATGTGTTTTGCATATGCTTGTTACAAGAGGCCTTATTCTATAGATCTGTAGCTAAATGATATTTTTATGTTTTTATATATGGAAATTAATTAATAAGAAGAACTGTGATTTAAGCATTGTCCTTGCAGTGGTATAGATTGAATCTTATATAGGTTATGGAATTATCATTAAATATTCAGATAAGTGTAATATTAACAGCATATGTATGTTTTTTTCATCATTTAACGCATGTAAATTCTTATAAATTTATCAGTATTTTTTTATGTATTATAAAAAGTAGCTATCAATAACAAATAATTGATTAGTAAATAATATCTACAAATTCCGTATGTAAAGGTATTATTTTTATTTATTTATGTATATATTATTTTTTTAATTTCGTTTTACCTAAATAAAAGTGAAAAAATGTTTTTTGATGTGGAATTTTTACTCTACTCTTTTTTACTACTCTAGATATGTTAATACGTCAGCATGCACTTATTTATTTATCACGCAAAAATTTATTTACAATTTTAGAAAATTATCTGTTGATTCAGGAAAGCTTTAGAAACTTAAAAATTACTGAAGTTGTATTCATACTAATTTGTACTCACAGCTTTAATGGCCTCTAAATATTTTAACATGTAATGTAAATAAAAGTAATATGCTTAACTCCATCATTACTGAAATGCCATAGCTGAGAAATTAAGAATTATCAAACAAATACAGGACTGAGAGACTTCTAATTTTTATATGACACATGAAATTACCTTGAATTCTAAAAGAAAAAAATTAAATAAATATGAAAGTATGATTATAAATCCAGTACAACCTCATAAAAATTTAAGCATACAGCTGCGGGAAATTTATTGTCAAAAAATAGATTTTGAGATGCTTAACATTATGCATGTATTTCAAAGTAGAAATTGAAAATTCAATAAAGGAATTCAAAAAGGAAAGTATTTTTAACTAATATACAAATGTGAAATATAATATATTAAAATGTTTTAAAAACTTTTAAAATAACTTAAATCATATGAGAAATTCAGCAGTTTAAAAAAATACAAGAAAGAAGCTGAGCTGCAGAGAAAAGAAGGGGGGCAAAAGCCACACATCTTTATATGAATGCAAAAAATCAGAAGTTTGGATACCCTAGAATGTTAAATAATAAAGTTTTAGCAAACACCACTAAAGAGCCAAAGATGGCACCCCAAACCTGAATTACAACCCTAAAGCATGGCTACAACACGAAGCCTACGTTAGAACATAGATGACAAGCAGCCTGTATCTCTAGTAGCTGTAATATGATTGGCTTACTTAACGAACTTCCCCAACTCTCAAACGAAGGTTACTTACCGTAAGGATCTCTCCGACGGTTGTTGTGACAAATGCCAATTTAACCAACAGTCCTTACGGTTACTGGAGTCATAAAATTTAGCAGTTGTCCGTTAAGAAAAGATCGTTATTTATGCTCCGTCTCGTGAATAGGGCCCTAAGAGAGACTGAAATTCATTTTTAACTTGTATACAATTTAAAATTGTTATATGCTTAATTTGTGTATATAACTTAGTGTAAATAATTGTTATTTGTTATGTTATTTGTTTTATTATGCTTTGTGTATCGAATTTGGCTTCTGACCAAGGGTTGTACTGCCCGGGACGTACAGTCCTTGGGAGGGGGCAGTGTTACGAAATATACAGGCGCGGTAAGATAGCTTCCTTGCAAAGCAGTTTTAGGATTGCCATAAAATGGCAAGGGTAATCAGGGTTGCCACATTTAGTGAGAAATCGCTCATTTGGTGACAAAATTGGCGATATGCCTTGGACAGATGGAGAACCTTCTGGAACGAATTCTTACCAGTTTAGCCCAGAATGTTTTCGAACACAAGCCGAAAGCTATATAAACCCTGCTGGTCTGCAGTCAGTCAGTGTGTGTGCCTCGCCGAGAGGGTGAGTCAGAGTGCGAGTTAGTATCAAGTTGGTGTCTCGTCTAGTGAATCAATCGAGTTGACAGCCAGGTAGCGAGTGCCGAGTGGGTCGTCCAGTGCACCGAAAGAGTCTCGCAGTGTATCGCCGAGAGAGTGTGTTGAGCTCCGGGAACGACTGAACCGAAGAGTCGGGAGCTGTGCTCTGAGTGTCGTCAAGTGCATCGCGAGTTGTAGCGTGGAGAGTCTTGAGAGTATGTAGAGTTCCGAGAACGACCAAGCAGAGTCGGTAGCTGTACTCTAGTACTTTGCTGTGAAGCTGTCTCCACCATGATAGCCTGATAACTTGGAGGCTGTGTCGCTGATCGTGTCAGCGTGTTTATAGTAGTTCATCGATGACTGTAAACGTGTTTTGGAGCTGTCCTGACAATAATGGCCAATAAAGTGTGTTTCGATACTTCATCAAGTAGTGTCGTCAATGTTCACTCCAAATCCACACGAACCCCGTACAAACGTGAAGGAAAAAAATAACGTAACAACTGGTGTCAGAAAAGAAAAACGTAACAATATCAATGACTGAGTTCAAGCATTCAAATATTTCTTTTTATGAAAATACTGTACAATATGTTTTGTTAGAATATGTTTATCAGATAAAATAGTTGGATGCTTCAGGTTTTAAGTTACCATTTTGCAACTTATCACTTTCAAAACATCAACACCTAATGGAAAAGGGTACAGATTAAGAAAGTATGAATTTGTAGGTAATGAAGAAAGGCTCAGATGAAAAACTTCTTGCTTGCAGTTCTTTAACACAACATGAAATTCTGTATTACAATTCCTTCATACTTAAAAAAATCCCAAACGTCTTCTGGCAAGTGACAATTTGGCATTGTTGGCAAATCCTAGAATCATGTGATCACTTTTTGCACTTTTACAAAACATAATTGCTTTGATATCAAATGTAACTCTTTTAGGCCTAACATAAATTACTGCAGCATAACCTTTCTCCAGTGCATCACAAAATCCATGCAGTTGAATCTTAAAGGCTTGGTAAAAGAACATTTATAAGAATGCAAACTGAATTTAAGTACTGAATTTCTTTACACACAGTCTTCCATTTTTTCCCAGTTTTTTTTTTTTTTTTTTTTTTTTTTTTTTTTTTTTTTTTTTGTTTTGTTTTTTGAACTGAATTATCTCAGACAGGTTTAAATTTCTAGAGTTCTTGAAGAAGAATTTTCGCTGATATGGACAAAAGGTGCAATCCAATCCAAAGGAATGAATAATTTTGCTATTGATGATAATATAGAACATTTTATTTGAATATCCTGACAATTTAACTTCACAGAATTACAGAAAAATTCATTTTGATTAGAGTCTCAGTGCAGGGCAAGCAATTTTATAGCATTGTTTTCCATATTCATATGAAGTTTATCATTAGTTAAGATTTTTTAAATTTGCATTTTCTAGCAGTAATTTTTCATTTGCAGATTATTTATGGAGTTGAAACCCAGTCTTTTCTAAGCATTTTGTTCATTTCAGAACCCTCTTGAACACTTAATTCTCACTTTCTTCAGTGCTCCTTCAATGCTCTCACTGAAAAGTATGATGTAGAAGCAGTTCCATGCATAACAGCATTAAACCAAGAATGAATTCAAAAAACACATTGGAGAGATAATTCAAGATGCTGCTTTGAATTATCTCTCCAATGTGTTTTTTTAAATTACCCTATGACTAGCCACAATTTTAAATTGCCTATACACTTTCTCAATATCAGCAATTACAATGAAGGATCAATTTCAAAAGAATATTAATCAGATTGTCTTGGGTTTTTGGACTAACTATTAAAGTGTTATACCACCTGCTTAAACCTGATGTGCCAAGTAACTTAGATATTGTGACCAATAGGGTTGAGAGTCAACCACTGATATTCCAAACATTGAAGAAACTCAGTCTGCTATAAATAAGCTGAAAAAAAGAACAAAGCAGCAGGTCCTGATGTGATTCCCGTCGAGTTATTAAATATAACGACCTCACAAATATTATACGAAAAAGAACGGCATCTATATGGGAAAAAGAAATCCTAACTACTGATTGGAGGTCAAGTATTCTATGTTCTGTAGACAAAAAGGCAACATAATGAACTGTGAATAATGGCACTTTAAAGGTTATCATGTGCCAAACGAATGGTGAGAGTTTTGAAAATACACAGGTGAAAGGTAAAAACAGTCTTAAAAATATGTTCATGACGGTGATAAAATGACTAATCATTAGGATGATCGAAACATAAAATGTAAATGGAAGCATGAAGACTAGAAACAAACAAGGTATAAAACACACATTATTTGGAACATTCATTAAAATTCCAAAGCAGATCAATTTAAGTGATAAAAGCCAATCTCTTTTAGACAAGAAAACAGGTTACTATTCAAGTCTTTCCCAATCAAACGGAGAAGAGATACGTCATAGGTATTAAAATATTTACAGCGAGTTCTTATACTAGTACGGGATATGGAAATGGTTATAAAACTCCTATATTAAGGGATTAAGGTGCGAGTATTGATATAGTTTGTAACAAATACATCACATTAGAAATACTAACAGATGAAAATGTATGGGTGCAAGAGTCATTAAATTTGAATCCAACTTGTTTACCATTGGCTGAAGTTGAACTCGGGCAAGTAATAACCAAGGCTGTCATTATTAGAAAGGAACTCCACAAAGGAAGGTATTTATTAGGCAATTGACCTTTTGCACTGTTGAACGAACAAAGAAAAGAACCTATTAGTTGTCCTCATTAGGTTAATGCTGATCTACTAGAGCTCAAAAGAAAAGAGAAATAGTTGAATGCGATGAAGAGAAAATCTTGGAACCGATGAAGGAAAAAATGAAACATCCAGAGATGCCTTTGAAGGAGAAGTTAAATTACCGGAATTAAGCACGGAAAATGAAGCTCTCATGAAATTAATAAATGTTAGCTTAAACGAGTTGCACGACTTCAGCATACTGATAAGGAACTACCTAAAATCATTTATGAAGTTAAGGAAGGTACACTGCCGGGGGGGGGGAGGTACATTTCTATATCTCCCATTCTACTGGGCCGAATGACAAAATTCAAATTGCGTTTTTCATGGCTTGAAACGCGACTTGGGATATATATTAGATTTATATATAGCACTATTCTAACAAGTATTTTGACACACATTCAGACATTTTCTGAAATAACATACCAATATTTTTTACATATTTTGAGTCTACAACTCAAATTATGCCTAAATATTAAATTTTGTAAAATTTGGTGGGAAATTTATGGAGAAATTCAACAATATATGTTGGCGTTTTTTTTTTTTTTTTTTTTTTTTTTTTTTCAGTTTACACCAAAAATAGTTTACTTGGCGAACTTCTTAATATGTGGCAACCTATTTTCATTTACATTTTTACATAGTGCGTGAGAGGAAAAAAAGGCACAATAGTTCCTTCATTCAAATAACATTCTTTATATAATATTTTTATGTTACCATTTTAAATATTTTTTTTTCTGTTCGAATTTCATTTTAATTGTTTAAGTTGCATGGTTTCTTTCAAATAACCGTTTTAAAAATTTCTATTCACTCATTTGAATTGCATAGTTTAAATAAAAGTTGCATCGTTTATTATATTTTTTTCAAATAAATTTCTTTATACTATACTTTTTTAGTCATAGTTACTATTTTAGGTAATTTTTGAATTTTTAAACTTTTATTTTAATTTTTTGTGTTGCACCGTCTCTTCAGGTAATTGTTTTAAAATTTTTTATTCATTCATTTGAACTGTGCATTTTAAATATATTTAATATAAAATTTCCATAATTTGATTTTATTTATTTGAATTGCTTTTCTTTCAGAAGAATACTTTGTGACTACAATGCGTTTGAAACAGCATACATTAAAGGAGAAGATACAGTAAAGCACAGTTAACATGCCTTTCAATGTTCCATTCAGAAAAGATATATAAATAAGAGAGATATGTATCTGACATTTTAATTTAGAATAACTTGCATGATTTGAGTATATCTTTCATCTTGTGAAATTAATGTGTTAAATAAAGTCATTGCTGTATTCTGTGACTGAGTTTGCTTCAACTGCGAAACAAGTATCACAGGAATTGAAACCCATCATTTGTTTGTCGACCTCAGGGCAACCTATGATACCATTGCTAGAGCTTAGCTACTAAGCTCTAAATGAGTTTTAAGTTCCAAGAAAGTTAAGTAAGCTTGTGAGGCTCACTCTAACTCATTCTGGCTTATGCTGATGATGTAGAAATATCTGCAAGATCTACAGCTGTGCTGGGAAAGATTTTTTTGGCACTAGAGAATTCAGCCAGGAAAATGAAGCTCAGAGTAAATGTGGGAAAAAAGTATGTGCTGTAGTAAAAGGGAAAATTCACCACTAAAATATTTGAGACTGGCCCATTTAAATTTGAATCTGTGAAAAATTTCATTACTTGGGCTCTTAAAATTAACTATCAAAATGATATTAATATTGAAATCAGAAAAATTATTATTGCTGCAAATCACTGTTTCTTTAGTTTAAGACCTTTTCTGAAATACCAGCAAATAAAAGACAAGGATAAAAATTTTATTATACAAGCTATTAATGAGATCAATCTGAACCTATGTCTCAGAGATGTGGATTCTGACTATACGGGAAGAAAGAGCCCTGGTGATCTTTGAAAGGAAGATTCTAAGAAGTATTTTCATGCTGTTTTGGAGAATAATATATAGCATATATAGTATAGCTTTGAACTCTATAAAATTCATAAAGATGAGGATATTATTAAATCCACAAAAATTAAGTAGAATGAGATGGGCAGATTATCTCTTGAGAATGAATGCAGAGAAAATGGTCCAATCGTTCTTTTAAGGTCTTTAATGCAACTTCACAGTTTTTATCACTATAACTTACCACCTTCAAAGATGAAAACTTTGCTTGATACTCCAAACTGGCATGAGTGTTGGTAGTCTCTCTTTCACTCTTAGCTCCTTCACTGCAAACTCTGCCCATAACCTCCTGCTTCACTGCAACTATATATGAGTAAAAATATCATGACATCACTGCTTGTGATGCAACATTATGAATTATTCATGAAATGGTTGGAGAACTTCTTGTATATCCCAAAAGGAAAATTTGAACACCAAGTCCTCAAATGATGGGATGCAGAAGTTGCACTTCCATCTTCCACATCAGCTGGAATTTGAGAAGGATTACTCACACATTTATAATACTAATACTTTTAGAAGTGCAATGGTCAAAATTTTGGTTAAACTGGATTCATTGAAGTTCTTCATACTTGAAGAATAAATAAGATGCAGTCCTCAATAAGTTAAAAACAGATAAACATCAAACAGCTTTGAAAGTTACCGGTACGATACTTTGGTACTGAAAGAGTCTTTTGCCAATCTGTGTTTTACAGTGGCCACAGTTTGTTTAATACATGCTGGTTTTATTACTGTTTAATACATTATGTTTTGGTTCCTAGGTGTTTGAATATAAAAAGTGGAAAATTTTATTAATAAGTGAATTTAATAAGCAAGATGAGGACCATTAGTCTTTTGAAGCAGTACGCAGAATAGTAAATCTATAATTATTTAATATATTTACCGACAAGTACTTAAATTTTGCTAAAGATTTAAACGTAATCAATCCCTGGCACATAAAAAGATACAATAACAATTTTCTAAGAGGTCAAATGTAAGTACATAAATAACAAAATGTTAAAAATTATAGCAGACATGTTACACTACTAAATTTGGCTACTGAATTTAGTGTGTCCACCTAATTATTAAACTCATCATACTTCGTCAACTCATATTTTGAAGTCCTATGATCCTTCCAAAATTTGTTCAGTTCAGATTTCAAAATTTAGCATTAAAATTTTTGGGGGTTATTGAAATTACTGAAGAATAACAAGAATAAAAAAATAGAAAAAGAAACTGAAAGCTTTTAAGTGTTATACTATGCCCAAAGGGGTGTTTCTTAACATTTTGTGACGTAACACAAACCTTTAGTTATTAAATATCATGTTTTTCGCACTTAAACCATAGAATTCAATTCAACAGCAATATCACAAAATATTTAAAAGAAAATATCTTAAAAATTTCCAATACACAGTCTCGCATGCTGAGATAATCCCTCCCTCTTCTGTACTGTGTTGCCACTGCTCGCTTCGAAATCGTTCAATTTGTTAATAAAATATTCTTCAATGTTTGACAAAATATGAAATAGAGAATAAAACAAATTCCAAGTTTGTGCTTCTAAATACCAATATTCAAATGGAGGACTATGTTATTCAAAATTTGATCTCTCTAGGTACCGTTGTTTTTCCACAGTGCGAGAAACAAACATACATTCATGCAGATTCTTCATTATTTAATTTCTTTAAATATAATGCAGGGATCTAATATTTGGTGGCAAAAATTTGAAAAGTGAACTGACACTTATAGTGTACCGACGCAAAATCCAAAACAAAATTAAAAGCCCTTCTGGGCAAATTGCCCCTTTGGGCTAAAAACACCAGGCAATAGCTTTATATGAATAATTACTGGAAAACGTAATTATCTATCTATCTATTTATATAGATGTAATAAATGATAATAATTACTTGTGTAATTTTTTATCAACATGTGCTACTACTGAAAAATCTGATTATTCAATTAGTAATTCACATTTTCTAACCTTTTGAAAAGTGACATAAAACAATCCGCAAAACCATACTTTATCCAAAACAATGAAATTTCACTTCATCAATTAAAGATTAATAAAAAAACTATTTCAATATTTATGTTGATGAAAAAACATGAATTTTAATTTATAACAGATTTAAGCAAGAGTTGCATTTTACTTACAGATTTTAGTTCACTTTCAAGTTGGGATCTCACAGTAAGTAGTTCATTCACTAAACTGTCATTTTCATGCTCAAGCCTTAAGTTGTTAAGTTGGTATTTGCTATTTTCTCGCTGGAATGAGACACAAAATATAATGCAATTAAAAATAAAATTAAAGATTTTTAACATTCCACAGGTAATATCAGCTACACAAAATTTCCAACATCCTTGTAAAAAAAGATATACAAAATAAAATAAAAGTTTAGTAACAAAGTATTAATCACCATTTTATGTTTTTTACTTTCTGATGATTTAATGACACATTTGATACTCTTCTAAGACTCCTACTGAGGATGATGGGGGAAAAATATTTTATACAGTTTTTCTCTGTTTCTTGTTTTCAGCAATATACATACCACTGCTTCAAGTATAATTAACATATCATCTTACTTATCAGAATTTAATGCTAATACTAGCTGAATAAGAATTTGTGCTTCAGCATCAGTTCTAGAGCTACATTAAAAGGGGCTACAAGAAGTATTTTAAATATATTTTCAACAATTAAAAATTTTATTTTAATGAAATTTTTATAACAAAAAAAATTTCTATTTTAGTTTAACTCATAAATTTTAAATAGACAATTTTATTACACACATCTATTTAATGCAGCTTTACACATCATTTCGTGTAATTTTGGTATTTACATATCATCCTCTCAATCATGAAAGCTGGCTACCACTGAACCACAGAAATTGGTGGAGATTCCGCTATAAATGCACTAGTCATTCAGATGGAAGTCTCCTACCTGCAACTCTTAAAATAAAACAATTGTCAGTCTCTCTGACTTATCCTCCAAATAACCACTGTTGCCACTTAGATCCACTTCGTTTTTGTGCTTTGTAAAAAGGCTTTCATCAGTTCCTACTTTTATATTAGATGTTTTATATCAGATTGCCCTCATTTTACTATCCTAAGCTCCATTTAGAACACTATGAGTACGTACTTCCCACAGGTGATTGTTCTAATCTATTATTATTTTGTTGGCCATATTCAGCTGTTCTTTCACCATTCAAGTTGTTAATTCTCTTGACCAGCTGTAAATGCATTAAACTGCAATCACAAGTGTGATTCTACAGCACTGGGGCTCGTATTCTCCAAAATGAAAGAAATAAATACAGCAACAATAGTTAACTTACATCTCATTCATTAAAAAAACAGGTGGCTTACCGAGAATCATTTGGAGTTAGATCAACTGAAAGCGTGGATGTTATAGTGTGTTGTGATATTTTGCTTATTTGTAACACGCACTAAATCATGGTGCCTGTCCACAGTTTTATGTCAATGGGATAATACATTGACATTTTTTTTATTTTTAATTGAATTATATTAAGAAATGCAGAAAAAATATATAACTTTTTCTGCATTTCTTAATTCCTTAAACTTCTATTAAACAATGAGTCATGATATATAGCACTATTAAAAATAAGTCTCGATTTATTTATATTTCTGATAAAGAAAAAATATATACTAAGGTAAATACCTGCAATTTGGTCAGAGGATCTTCTTGATGCTTTTGAAGCTCTTTTTGGGTCATGTAATCTTTAGTATATTTTTTCAGTCTTTTGACCTATTATCACATAATCAGATGAAATTATTAAATTTAAAATAAAATACATTTAGTAAACTGCATCATTCCTAACAGTATATCAAAATAATAGCAACTAAGGGGGTAATCTTAACAACATTAAATAAAAGTTTACTTTAGATTTTATTTCATTAAATCACACCAATTTCACAATATTAAAATATAAAATAATACAGAAATATTTCTTTTGTAGAATACATTAATAAAGGTAGCAACTAATTTTATGGGTGAAGATGTTCTGGACATGATTTTAAATACATTATAAATGTATCATTTAAAGAACTTTACAAAATTAAAACAGTTTTGTTCCAGCCAAATTACCTTAATACTTGTAGCAACAGATAACAGCTCCCTAGCAGTCTTTTCACTTCTATACTTTTTTGGAAGAGTAACCCTGAAGTACTTCAAAATGCCCTCAAAATCTAAAGCTAACAAGTCCTTTTTTGACATCTAGGAAAAGAAAAGAAAATGACTTTTGTTAATAAAAAAACTATACTACATTAATGACATACATATAATAAATGTTACAATCATAACTAATGTTTCTCAATTAAGAATATAAATAAATCAGTATTGGTGAAAAATTGCATACACTTTTCCTACATATTTAAAAAAAATGAAACTCAAATTTATTTCTTACATTACACCTTTTATAAAACTTAGTTAACATAAATAGTTCAAAAATTAGACAGCATAGCTAACAAGTGTATTTTTAACTACACCAGAAAAATGTCTGAATTAGAAATGACATATCCCAATATAAATGTATAGATAGAAAGAGAGAGGATTATATAAATTTTGCACATTTTAACTTTAAAAAACTGCAAAAATTCTGAAATGGATATTAATGGGAAATTATTTCCATTGATAACATCCATATATGTTACAAGTAATATATCACTCGAAATTTCAGTTGTACTTAAGGTCTTAGCATTAAAATTGCTCGTTTGATCTTAGAATGGAGATGAATTTTCCCATGCAGAACAAATTTCTCCAAAATGAAAGAAATAAATACTGCATGTTTTTTGAAATGTTTACAGAAACCTTCATAAATGCTCGCAAAATCAATAAGACAATGTTTTCCTGTTTATTAACTTGATTTCACGAGAATGGAAGCCTTCACATAAAATGAAAAAGCTATGCAAACAAAGTCAGGAATAAAATGCAGTCATAAAATAAAAGTGTAACAAAAATGGCTTTAGAACCAAACTTATGCATTGTAAATTAACGTTCAATCATAACAATTCATTCTTCTTGGGAAAATCTCATCTCATTTTTCACTAAGCAAATGGTTTTCAAACCTAATGGCTGAAACTGTAACTGAAATTTCAAACAATATATTACTTATAACAGTATGGGAAGAGGTGTTATCCAATGAAAGAATTTGCCATTGACCTTCTATTCCCAGTTTGAGATCTCTTATTTCAGATTTCAGCATGACATAATCACAAAATGTTTTTCTCCTTTTACACAATGATGTATCATTTTCAAGCAGTCTTTTGTTCCTGCCATGAAAGTTGTAAAATCTACATGCTTGCCAGATAATATCTGTGATCTTGATTAGGTGCTATACCTGTGATTTTCTTGACATTTATTTTCTTCATTTCTCATATATATATATCATTATTATCAACTGCTTAATTAACTACATTTTCAGTACAAAAAAACAGAATAAGGACTCTTTTCCCCCAAACAGATTATAAAATTATTTTAAAATGGATTCAGATGAGATTTCTTTGGGATGTCTGTACGTATGTATGTCACATAACTCAAAAACGAGTAACTTCAGAATGTTGAAATTTTCTATATAGGACTGCTATAACATGTAGTAGTACATCTCCCTTTTTTGTTGCAATCAGCAACACCAAAAATCAACGAATTCAGTTTTTTTTTAATTCTTATATGTTGGTAATTTGTGCAATTTTTGCTTTAAAAATGATTGAATTATGTTGTTCTTATCTTTCCGTTATGGTTTTTATGCCTCTAGTTAATCTGCATGCAACAGATGTAGAATTATCAACAATTTGAAAGTTATTTAAATGAGCCTAATTTTTTTTTTTTACCATAGCAGTCACGTTTGTTTACATTTAAAACTTCGCACAACAGTGCATTAAGTCAGTTTCTGCACTTTCAGTGTCTTTTTGCGAGTGGGACCAAAAGTAAATTTTCATTTCTGTGCATCGAAAAATCTGCCTTCTTACCTGCTAGGCGAATTGCTTGTTTCCTCTCTTTCTCTCTCTCTCTTTCCCCCCCAATAGAAACGTAAAATTTTTAAAAATTTTTTTAACTGTATTTGGTGTTTTATATTTTTCTATATTTTTCAATATATTGCAGACAGATTTTTAATGAAGAGATTTTAGGTTTTATGCATTTTTGCCTTGCTGTGAAGTAAGAAGTGAATTAATTGAATGAGAAATCTATCTCTAATGAAATTTGGGGAAATAAGTTTAAATGAAATGCAGCAAAAAATGCGCATAATTTAATATTTCATACAAAAAGGTCATGTAAGGTCCACATCAGAATTTTTTCCCTCTTTTCTTTTCAGATATTATAAGTTTTGGGAAATAATCTAGTATTCTCAGTTTTTCCCCTCCCATAAACTGTACATTTCTGAAGATATAAATGTTATTTACCTAATACCAAGTTGAGACATTCTAAAGAAAAGTCATTTCCTTAAAAGTTTCAATTATGGTGTTTCCCCTCAGACTCAAACTTAAGATCAAGATCATTCTGCAAGTCCATATAAATGTAAAATGACATAGCCTATTTTAAAGGTAACCATTATCATTCCTTGTTGCATAAGGTTACTGTTAAAAAATTCTTTCAAAAAATTTTCGATTAAACTTTTCCTTTTACATGAAATTCATTTCGGTTTCCCTGTATAGGTTAGAGTCTTGTCAACTATAAGCTGTAAATATTTTTAGTAATACATTGACAGAGCTTTGTAGAGTTGGTTGATAGGCTAGGGCTGAAGAAGATGAAACAAATAACTTTTTTGTCATGACCAAGATGGCTGTGCACGAAATATAGCTTGAAGCTAGTGTGTGTGTAGTAAATGAAATGATGGAGTTGCAGACAGATGTGGTGAATTCAACATATGATTTTTTTTGGACACTCTTCTCAATTACATATTTCTGAAGACATATCCCTGATCAGTATGGCACAATGGAGGGAATCTGTACCCCACAATTTTAATTATGACATATTATACTTTTCAATGAGTGCAGTAATATATGTGTGGGGTGCATATTGCATTCATAATGATGTGAATCAGCTATGGGATCTAAAGATTTGCTTCATTAAGAAATAAAAATTTTGCATTGGATTTGGCCGTGTCTGCCTGTTATTGTCCTCCACTTATCTGTGCAGTAAAGAATATCCAAATTATTACAATGCAAAAACCACTGGCAACACATCACAGCTATTCCCAATTTATCACATTGCATATATATGGTATTAAAACTTTAATCGAGGAAAAAATTTGCATATAGAAATATTTTAATATTTCACCAATTTATGACTATACACATAAACACACAATATTTCAAGTCACTACAAATAAAATGATAAAAATTTACCCAGCAGGAAACATACCATTAAAAGAGCCAAAGCTACTTGAAACAAAGTATCAATACCCTGAAAGAATAACCAAGTTATTAGATACCACATAAATGAAACCAATTTAGCATACTTTACAAGGAATGACAATGATAAATTACCAAGCACTTTTACTGCTTTTACAAACACACACACACATTTAAATTTAAAACAGAGTTGGGTTCCTTTTAGGAGAGAGGAATAAACCAGAAGAAAAGGGATGAAATGAACACAGATGCATCCATGGGACTGTTAAAGGGGATAATTTACTAACAGCAAAACTTATTCAGAAAAAAGTTTTATTATTTCTGCAATAAAATATTTCTGCCAAAAATTGCAGTGAAAAGTGTGGTAGTTCTTATTAATTTATTGCTGAGTAAAGCAGAAAGACAGTAAAAACCAGTAGTGGATTTGATAATAAACTAAAAATAACAATATACCACTTTTTGTATTTTTTTTTTTTTTTTTTTTTTTTTTTAAATTTTTTTAATAAAGAGTGCACCATTTCCCAAAATCTTTCTTTACTGATGCCATTTAATGTCACAAAATTCTGCCATTCTCTTTTTGCTGCTTGATGCTCCTCTAAATTCTAAAATTTTTGCCACCTCAAAGTTCTGACCAGGTCTCGTACTGGTCCTGTATGATGTGAGGAAAAAATTTTTTATCTGACCTACACAATAAGTGAAGTTTGTAAACAATACACAAGCAAAATAATACGTTAAGTAAGTGTGTCTGTGACAAGCAACAAATAAAGACCCCAATGTTTCCATGTCTACATGGTGTCTTACTAGATTTAAACTGGTGACCTAAAATTTAGAAATTTCCAAAATCCAGAATTCTGGATTTCAAACTTTGTATTGCAAGGATATAAATAAGCTATTTAAATTATACAGAAAATAAAAATATTTAAACTAATAACATAACAGTATGATATATGAACAAAATATAGATCTAATAATATAAATAAATAGGAAATAAATTTAAAAATAGTTTCTTCTATTTAATTTCTTTCAGCTAGTTTGTTCCACTGTGGAAGAAACTTGCCAACCCTGCTTTAAAGCAAGAGATTTACAAACGTTTTTCTCTTCCTTCTGTCCTTATAACCTTTTTGACTTATAACAACAAACCTTATATTTAATAAAGTAATGTTTTTGATCTATTTTATAACATTATGAAAACTGTACAATCTTGCTAATTTATGTCCACGGAGGGAGAGGGAACTGTGAAATTAGATGATAATTTACATAATAGATAAAAATTTATACAAAAATTATAGCAAATTCATTTTTCAAGCTTTTTGCTAAAAACCAATACGTCAGTTTTACTTATTTAGATTTGAATACAAAACAAGTGTTAGCTAAAATTAGCAAAGTATATATAATGAAAATAATTCAAATAATCCAAATGAGTTTACTACAGTCGAAAGTCATTAATTCGAACTCGTCGGGACTTCGGCGATTCCGGATTATTGATTTTTCCGGATTATAGACCATCAGTTTAAATCTCGTAAGATGGCATGCAGAAATTCTAAAATTAAAAATATGAAACCGTAATTTATGAAATAAAGAACAATTATGATCTAAAGGGTATCAAAATTTGCAAAAAGAAAAAGCTTAATATTTATTTGTTTACTTTATTAAACATTTCTTTCAATGTAAGTTGTTTAAGTTTTGCTTCGTTTCATGTGATAATACTTTCTCTTTAATTCTATTAAACAGACATAATTCACATAAACAGACATAGTAGCAATAAAGTCAGTTACAAAGTTCCGCTGTTCAAGTCCTATAATTGCTGTGTCGAGAACACCGACTAATTTGTCAATCGAAATTTTTTCGTTTTCACTAACCTCTGTCACTTTCTTCGCTATCGGAAGCGAATTATAATGACGAGGAACTTGTTTTAAATCATATCAAAGACGGAGCACATCGAGATGAAATACTAATTTGGTAAGGAATTATAAGCCAAATAAAATAAAAACATCTGCCCTGAAGATAAGGATAGTGCTGACAGATCAACTTCCAATTCATTACGCGCCCGCTGCGGCGTTCCCCCCGCCGAGCAGCGTGAAATTGATAAACAGATTTTGGATTTCAAAACATACTTTCGCTTTAGATCCTTTACATATTAACAAATATATATCGGAAATTCTATTTGATATAATCGAAAGTTTAAGCTTACTTTTATAAAATTGCTCTTACAGTCTGCAATAAATAATAAGCTGGATCCAATTCGAAAATTAAGGAACAACGCAATCATCAACATTAACCGAAATAGATAATTAGATAATTTTAGCTTATACATCCATTATACATAAAACGTGCATGCGAAAACGTATTGTGCACTTGCGTACACTCATATGCGCAGTCGTAAAAGGTCTTACACGCACGCGTAAACGCCTATGCGCATGTGTCAACGCGGCGCATGCGGAGAAAGTTTTTAGTTTTGAGGTCCGGATTATAGATCATTCCGAATTATGGGTGTCCGAATTAACGACTTTTGACTGTATTAAAAAATTCTGATTAAAACTGCAGCATTTTGTTTAATCATCTGAAAGTTATAACATTGGACTGCACACATGTATTTATTCCTAAAAAAAAAAAAACCTTCCTTTGCATTACTTTGATACAGCATTCAGTAACTTTAAGAGCTAAATAACTACATATCTTAAAATGTGAAGATAACAAATAATAATTTCCTTTCCTATTTCTACCCCAAATTCACATGATCTAATTTACCACTTTATTTGCATTACATATATTTCAGACATCATGTAGAAAAGCATGCATTAGAATAGTCTGCCCCTTCAATCAATGCAGAATGCATTTTTTCTTTCCTTTCACTTACACATGCAAAGGAGGGTATCAGAAAAGAGCATACAGTTACTTTTCCAGATTCAATAAACAGCATAAAGTTTCCCTTTAATTATTATTTGGACTTTTGGAATAAATGCTCGTAAATTAAAATATTTCTCTACAAGCTTTCCTTTTATTGATATGCTTTAAACAATACAGGAAAAATAATTGCATAGTCTAGTTTTGATCAGTCCGGTTTCACTATAAATTCTTTTCCCCTTTATACAGTTATACAGTCAAGTTTGTTTTTTGAACTGTTTATTTTATATGATTTAGAAAGTTTTGTTATACGACACATAATACAGTTTTTTCTGAGGTTTCCCATTATAAATACATGTGACCAGGCTCAGGTCCAGCATTTTGAGTGCCCTTTATAGATTAAATTGATTGACACTTGTGAGAACTACATAGCTGACACCCTTCATAAATCAGTACCCTAGGCAACTGCTTATAGAGTTAGGGCCAAAATTGTGGACACTTTTGGAAATTTTTATGTTTTTGAACTTTGTATGCTTATAGAAAATGTTACGTTTTGCAAAATGCAAACTTGTATACATGATTTTAAAGAGAATTTTATTACTGAATTCAATACAAAACACAAAATTCAATTATTTGCAATACAAAAAAAGTTACATGTACTTTAATATAAATAAAAAACAGAGTTATGAAGTGGTTTGTAATGTCTAGCTTTCCTGGCCAATCACTGTTCTTGTTCTGAGAACCAATCAAATGTTAGTAACTGCCAGTAGAAGCTGACATCATGTTTACACTTGAAACAATTCATTATTTTGTTTTGTTCTGTAGAAGGAGGACCTGTTCTTACACACTGCAACTGCAAGTAGAAATTTTTGTAAAAATTTTTAATATTTAGTCAAGAAGCAATGATATCAAATAAAAGAGTAGATTGGACACCTAGAAAGAGATGTAATATTATTGTGTTATGAGAAAGCGGTCTTTCCTATGCTGAAATTGCAAGACAGGTGGGTGGTTCAGTGCTACATCTGGAGTCCGAAAGTTTTGTTTACGATATCAGGAGACAAATTCAATAAAAAACAAAGAAGGAAAAGGCCGAAAAAGGTGCACCACATCTATTGATGACAGAAGAATAAAAAGACTATTTCTCCAAGATAGAAAAATGTCATCATCGGCCATCAAAAGTGATCTGAATGATGCTGGTGTTTCTGTCAGTTCAAGAACAATCAGGAGAAGATTAACAGATGTTGGACTCAGAGGTAGAATTCCACGAAAAAAGCCTTATCTTAATTTTCAGCAACGAAAAAAAAAAAAAAAAAAAAAAAAAAAGACTACATTGGGCAAAGGAACACTTTAATTGGACAGATGATCAGTGGTCACAAGTTATATGGAGTGATGAAACTAAGATATCGTTATTCGGTAGTGATGGGCGAAAATATATAAGACGTAGAATGGGAGAAAAGAGCTACATCTTGACTACATTCAAGCAACTGTGAAGAACCCAGTTAGTGTTATGATTTGGTCATGCATGTCAGCAGATGGTATTGGTCGCCTTCATGTCATCGATGGGACACTGAATGCCAGAAAAAATATTGACACTATTCTAGAACCAAAAACTTCTACCTTCTATCAGAGATCTCTTTCCCAACAATGCTTCGTTTATTTTTCAGCAGGGTTCTGCTCCTTGCCACACGGCCAAAATATCGAAAGAGTGGTTTCGTACAAAGAGCGTTAAATTGTTGTCATGGCCAGGAAACAGCCCTGACCTCAATCCTATCGAAAATTTGTGGCACCGTTTGAAAACTCTTGTCCGAATGAGGCGCCCATCAAATAAAAGGGAACTAATTAAAGGCTATAATTGTTTTCTGGCATCATGTAATAACGAAAGAAGAGCTTAAAACTCTTGTCAGCTCAATGAAACGTCGACGTGAAGCTGTAATCAAAAATAAAGGGTACCCTACTAAGTACTGATAACTCACTGCAATCATCACTATCTAATGTATATCGATAACTATTTTTGTTTAACTTTTTTTGTATTGCAAATAATTGAATTTTGTGTTTTGTATTGAATTCAGTAATAAATTTTCTTTAAAATGATATATACAAGTTTGCATTTCATGAAACGTAACGTTTTCTATAAGCATACAAAGTTCAAAAACATAAAAATTTCCAAAAGTGTCCACAATTTTGGCCACCACTGTATATCCTATACTTGTTAATCCTGTACATATCTATTCCTGGATTCTCATTATTGAGCTCTGACAGCCATTGCTGGAGAAGGTGGAGAGTAAATTATCTATACATGCTTAACGAAGACTTTCGTCTCAGTTTGGGAACAGTGCTTACAATTGTCACAGCTGTAAATGCTTAGCATGAAGTCTGTGAAACATGATATTCTTACTGCAGTTCAGTGTGACCATGACTGTTGCCCTTAATGCGTAAGCAATGGGTGTTTGTGACTTTCATGTTGAATTAATTTCTGTTTGTAAGTTTCCAACACACAGATCTACAATAAAGGTCATTTATGATAATTAACTTAATAATTATTATTATCATTTATGATAATTAACTATTAATATCCATTTAAAATAATAATAGTACTGAGTGAAAAAAATTGTGAAAGTTGTTCTATCATTAAGAAATGCAAGCGGCTCATTTTAGAACAAAAGCTTCATGAAGAAGGTGTATCATTTGCTAAGGCAGGCTGCAAAAAAGAAATGCAGTGGTCATCAGTGTGAAACTATAGTACAAAGTCTGAAATCCAGACATCCAATATCCGGAATGATCTAAAATCTGGATCTCAAACCACCAACGTTTTTCTAGTAGGCTTTACGCATGTGCATTTGAATCCCTCCTCCACGCATAATAAAACATCTGGAGAGTCCCGATTCTTAATTTCCCTTCGACACTAAATACCTTGTTATTGAGGAAACAATCATTTTAGCATAAATTTGTACAATCAATAATTTGGAATTTGGCTCAGTTGCTGCATATCTGCTGGCACACATCTCAAACTGAAACATTCCACATAGATAAATCGTTGATTTGATGCCAACCTGGCAAATCATTATTTATTATACTTTCCTTTCATCACCGCATGTTTATCAAAACATGACAACTTGAGTAATGACTCATGTAGCGATGCCTAAACAATTTTTTTATGTTATTAATTGAATAATAAAGGAGTATGGTAACCTTTTATGTTGACATAATGCCTGGCAATGATTACAGATTTAAGTTAAATGCACTAAAAGATGTTGACGATGACAATGCTTCTCAATCATCAATCAATTAATGAATGACGAAATCTGTAGTATGGTTCTAGATCCAGAAAATACCGCTACCGATAGTGAAAAACATGACAAAGTTAGTTACTGAAAACGAGAAAATTTTGATTAATAAGTTAATCGGAATTCTCGAAACAGCATGATTTAAAGACTATTGATAACAGAGAAAACAAAAGTGAAAATTTCTGGAAAGTCACTTTTATTTTTTTAAAGCAATGAACTAATATTCATATTTGTTTTACTTGTGAATCTGTCAACACAAATAAAGAGACAATTTCAAGATATTTGAAAGAATTAAGTGAAATCATACAAAAAGGTAGTTACACAGATGACTAAAAATTCAATTAATAAAAAGGGCTTTTCTGTAAAAAGTTATTGTCATGAACATTTATAGGAACCAATTAAAAGTCACGACATAGTTATAAAATTTCCTAAATAAAAAAAAATAGTGTTGCGATATTCAAATAAGAAAGCAAGTGTCGCAAAGGTTTATTTAATGATTAGTTCATGAACTATTTTGGCTCTATAAACGTAATGTTATTGCAGAGAAAATGGATTAGATTTCAAGATTTTATGTAATAGACAAGGTCACCTAAATTGTCTCTGTGATTAAATGAAAATGCACAAATAATTCTGCTTTCACGAAATAAGATTTCAATGCTTTAAACAATGGATAAAGATATTATTGCAATATTTAAAGCCTGTTATTTGTACTGCACTTTCTTGTAAGATATAAGAGCTGCAATAGAAGAAAAGGCAATTTCTTCAACAGAACTCTGGAGCAGCTACATTATCACAAACATTATTGAAAACACTAGCAAACCATGGTATGACAAGCAATAAATGGGCACTAAAAAAACTCAATGTAGCACATCGTTCAAATGATTTCACTGGTTTTGAAATGAATTTTGCTAATGTCACTAATATTATCGTAAAAACTGGCAGCAACTTCATTTCAATGAGCTAACAGAGTGCATCAAATCAAATAAAAATAAACTAGATAATGAAACAACAACAACAAAAAAAAAAAAAAAAGATGAATAGCAAGCTTATCAAGTTCCGGAACTCAGCAAGAAACAAAGACTGTGTTCAAGTGCTTGCATAAGAATTAACAGCTGAACAACTATTTAAAATTATTACAAAGGCTGAAACCTTATCAGAGCATATTAGAGAAGTTGAATTGAAAATGAATGTAGTTTTAGAATTCACCTGATGACGAAAATGCAATTTGTTACTACAAAGAAATGTATGAAGAGAAAAGGTGAACAAAGAAAAGTGCATAGATATCGATATTATTATTTTTAGAGGAAAAAATATTAATTAAAATAACCTACCTTTTTTTAAATAATTTCTAACAAAGGTACTTTGATTCATAATTTATGTTTTATTCATTAAAAATAGGGGTACATTTAGTTCTTTGATTTGCCTGGGATATTGGTGGAAGCGACTTACCAGACTATGCAAGGTATTGCTGTATACATTTTTAAATATATTCAAACATCTTCATATAAATTAAAATAACTATTTCAGTATTCGTTTTCATGATTAATATGAAAAACTTAAATGAAAAGAATACACACTTATATTTAAGAAGAATTAGATTAAAAATGTAATATGTGAGATAATAAATGTAAATATGGTAATATTTAATCAATGACAATATGGTAATATTGCCATTGAAAAAAGGTAAATGTAGCATATTCAATAATCATATTAAAAAAATACTATCAACACTTACTAAGCTTTTGATCTGAAATCGTATTTGCCAAAGAAAATTAATATATACATATATATACACATACATATATAAATTATTAACAAAAAAGTATGAAATATCTGGACAAACTTACATCTAATAAAAATAAGTCCAATATATAGAAGACAACCACTAATGGAAATTTAGATGTGTACAAAGTAAGGAACCATTGAGAAGCAAACATATGCATTTCAATTCCTAAATCTGAGAAATGTGCATGCAACTCTGGTATATGCTCCTATAATTAAATGCATTAATTAATAAAAGTCAGAAAATGTTGAGTGATTATATCACATTACTAAAACTGTATATTAAATGAATTATCATAAAAGGTTATTAAGAAATAATAAATGCAATTTTGATAAAAAAGAGAAATATAGACTATATAAACAACTAAAACTATAAAAAGCAACAGCAAATTTATTGCTTACTTCAATCAATTTTTCAAGCTGATATAGTCGTAAATGAAGTTCTTCAAAGCTATTCTTAAAAAAATTTCTCAAGCCATACTCATACATTATTTTTACAAGGATACTAAAGGCTTGCTCTTCAGGCATCTGCAAAAAAAAAAAAAAAAAGTTTTATGGATATCACACCTAAGATAACTAACTGTATCAAATTACTGAAAATAAAAGTATTTCTCCTTGTCTTAAAATTTGGTAAAAAGTACAAAGATGAAACGTTTTGATCAAACTAATATGTGCCCTAAAATTTAAAGGTGGTGGTGGTGAATTTTTCGTTGCATAATCTAAAAGCCAAACATATGATGAAACAAACATATGGTGAAACCCTAAAAATAAAGGAAAATTATTCCAAAACTATAGTTGGCTGTAGTAGTAGGTTTTTGTAACCTTTAGATATACATATTCTATTGTGTCTACTTAGCTATAACAATTTAAGGAAAAGATTTATTTCTACCAGATTCCTTTTCTAGATTACTATGTTGTATGTAAAATTTTACATTTGTTTCAAAATATTTCTTAGAAATTTTTATGTTTATTTGTAAATGATTGAGAAAAGACACTTCTCATTAATTAAAAAAAAAGAGCCAATCAAAGCAATATGAAAACTTAGCATTGTTCTGGACTAAAGCAACTCATTAATTGCTTTATGTAATACACATGTGTTCTATGAAATTTTAATTTTTCTCAAAAAATAGATAAATAAATTTAGGAAAACAAAGCATAGCTTTCTGTCACATGGAAACATTTGCATTTGGAAAATGATTCATAATAAAAATTTCACTACTTCAAGACAATAAAAAGAAGAAGTGGCAGTACATATTTACTATGCTGATTTGATTTAGGGGGAAAAAAACCCTCCAACTGAAAATATTTAACTTCATTAGACAGAACAATATTCATATTACAGCTATTTAGCTAATCAATCAAATATAACAAAATCTAGATTAAGGCAAGAAAGAAAGTTTATATAAGGAAAAAATAATATCAACACTGTACAAATACGAAAGACACATATGCTTCTTCTGTAATTATATTTCCAAATATCAGCTAAGTGCAGAAAATACACAACATAACTAAACTTACTGAAGCTAATATATTGAAATGAATCATAAACACACAGAGAAACAGATGCATGTAATGATATAAATATTTAAAACACTCGGAAAAAAAGGGGGGATGGTGCCTTAAAGACAATATGGAGGAAAATGCATTATATATAAAACTGAAATACTCACTACAGCAACTTAGTACAAACATGCTAAAATGCTACAATAAAACAAATGGGGGGGGACAGATAACTAAAACACCTATTTAACTTGTTATTGTTAATAAGATTATTCTTGTCTGCAATAATGCCAGAAATACTAGTATAACAAAACTTCAAATTAAGTTTACACACACAGTTCCCACTAAATCATACTATCTATCTCCACTTCAGGTTTATCTATTTTGTAAAATATTTTGCTCTCATATTTTCTTGAATGCTTCAGAAATAATTTACGATACACATATTATATAGCAAACAATAAAACAAAGTCATAAATACTAAGAAAAGAAATTAATAACTGTCAGTAGAGCATATAGTTCTAAAATGTATCCAAACAAAAAACATACAAAATCTAATTATTTTGATAATCTGTGCATTAAAGAATCAAACAAATGTGAATTTTTTTTAAAAATGTAGTTGCAATTTACAAATGACAAATATAATATTATTCATATAAAAAATAGACATCCCCCATAAATAATTCTTACATGTAAAAGAAGAGCTGCTGCTAAAAATGACTGCCCTTGGCAATAACCAACTTCCGAATCATGAACAGAATAAGCCTGGGGAAAAAAAAAAAAAAAAAAAAAACTTTTTACATCAAATACAGATAAACGAGAAACTAAAATATTTATAAAATCTTAAATTAGAAATGTACTATACACAGATAAATGTAGAAAATATCCATCTACAAAATTCCAGTCATGGCTTACATCTAGCAAAAAGTAAAACAACAAAATTTTTTAATCAAGATTTAGGTAAGAAAATTATTTCAGTGTGAAGAAAATATTACTAAAGTAAAAACATAATTTGATTTTACTGAAACTATTTACTCCCTCCCTAAATATAAAAAGGATACATTTTTATGCTTGGAAAACTGGGTCATTAGGAAAGTTCTGCAATTTTCTTCGCATTATTTTATTACTGCTGATAACGAATAATTTGATCAAAGATGCTTAAATAAACAATCTTTTCTGCTCATGCTGCACAAATCTAGAATCTGTTTTGGAATAATTTTTGTTGCAGTGCAGTGCTAAAAATGGAGAACTCAAACGTTTATTTTCATCATATAATGCTCTTTTACTTATTTATTTATTTTCTAAAAAAGAAGAAAATGCTAGTCAGACTGCTCATAAAATTTGCAAAGTGCATGGACCAAGTGCTGTTTCTAATGGCAAATTTCAGAGGTAGACCAGAAGTTTAAGGGTGGAAATTTGGACTTAAAAATGACACCAGACCTGGAAAACTATCCTCTGTACATAACAACACATTAGAAGAAGTTATTGCTGGAAATCCATATTATAGAGTTCAGAAACTATCAAAGAAAGACAAAATATTCCAAAAAGTACAGCATATGATCATTTGAAGAAGGTAAGATATGTAAGCTGCAACAATGTATGGATACCACCAACATTACTACAAGAGAAAATGCTTGCATGAATTTTGGCCAGAGATTCTTTGCTGAAAATAAATAAAGAACCTCCTTTCTGAACAACCCAAATTATGCACAATAATTATACATTTATATACTAAAGTTAAGACAAAGCAATTAAAAAATTCCAAAACTCTTAAGTTTAAAAGGTCACACTTTTATTTTACCACTGATTTAATTTGTTTTAAATGTAAAGTATTAACCAATAAGCCTTACTATATGCCATGATCTGATTTATCAAAGGGATCCTCTCACAGATGATGAATCCTGGAAACCACTATGATGTTTGTCAATTACATATATATATTTTTTCCACTTTATTCAAGGCGTCGACAGGAACATTATTATTTATAGTATTGTTTCGTAGATCTTTCAGTTTCTAGCACACTTCTGTCACAGTAAACATCATTCTTGCATGAGACTCATGGCATATTGATCTTTTTCACCAATCACATGGTCAATGTGTTCAGTATTCTGCACTGTACATGGGCCCATTCACTTCTAACATCAGAACTTTCAAACGTTCTCCATTGTTAGAGAAAATAATATTTATAATAAAAGTTTGGAGATTTCTGAATAAAAAAAAAGAAACAAACAAATGCAGACAAAATTCAAATTTAATGTACATCCTCTTTCAACTACATCACAAATGCTCCAATAAATAATATTTTAATTCATGTCAAAACAAAAAATATACATTAATCTGACATGCTGAAAACTTTCACATAAAAGAAAAGAATACTTTAATCTCACTTTAAATGCAATTAATAGCACACATCGAACAGCAACACAAATAGCTGGAGAAGTAATACAGCACATAATGTAGTCAAAAGTCGTTAATTCGGACACCCATAATTCGGAATGATCTATAATCCGAACCTCAAAACTAAAAACTTTCTGCGCATGCGCCGCGTTGACACATGCGCATAGGCGTTTACGCGTGCGCGTAAGACCTTTTACGACTGCGCATAAGAGTGTGCGCAAGTGCAGAATACGTTTTCGCGTGCGCGTTTTATGTATAATGGACGTATAAGCTAAAATTATCTAATTATCTATTTCAGTTAATGTTGATGATTGCGTTGTTCCTTAATTTTCGAATTGGATCCAGCTTATTATTTATTGCAGACTGTAAGAGCAATTTTATAAAAGTAAGCTTAAACTGTCGATTATATCAAATAGAATTTCCGATATATATTTGTTAATATGTAAAGGATCTAAAGCGAAAGTATGTTTTGAAATCCGAAATCTGTTTATCAGTTTCACGCTGCTCGGCGGGGGGAACGCCGGGCGTGTAATGAATTGGAAGTTGATCTGTCAGCACTATCCTTATCTTCAGCGCAGATGTTTTTATTTTATTTGGCTTATAATTCCTTACCAAATGTAGTATTTCATCTCGATATGCTCCGTCTTTGATATGATTTAAATCAAGTTCCTCGTCATTATAATTCGCTTCCGATAGCGAAGAAAGTGACAGAGGTTATTGAAAACTAAAAAAATTTCGATTGACAAATTAGTCGGTGTTCTCGACACAGCAATTATAGGACTTGAAGAGCGGAACTTTGTAACTGAACAAGAAATTATGTCTGTTTAATAGAATTAAAGAGAAAGTATTATCACATGAAACGAAGCAAAACTTAAACAACTTACATTGAAAGAAATGTTTAATAAAGTAAACAAATAAATATTAAGCTTTTTCTTTTTGCAAATTTTGATACCCTTTAGATTATAATTGTTCTTTATTTCATAAATTACGGTTTCATATTTTTAATTTTAGAATTTCTGCATGCCATCTTACGAGATTTAAACTGATGATCTATAATCCGGAAAAATCGATAATCCGGAATCGCCGAAGTCCCGACGAGTCCGGATTAACGACTTTTGACTGTATTTATATAACTAGAAATAAAGTAACCTTGCATATTTTGAACAAGGAATCTTGTCCTATTCCACCACTTTCTTTAAAATATTCATGTGCAGGAAAAGTGCGATTTATATCTCTCTGAATAGTTCCACCACAACTAGATTCCTATATTAAGAAATAAATAGAACAAAATTATAAGAAGAAAAATAATTTAAATAACTAAAAGCATGACTGGATAATATATGGATATTTTTGACATTAAAAACCTCCTTAAGAGTCTTTCCAAAATTTTGAACTGCTATGTTACACTATTTTACTATGCATGTATCATAAAAATTTTTTGGCAAATGTTGTGCATCAACATCAAGTCTTTAACCACTTCCCAGTTTTGCGCTAATGCCGTTCGGGTATTTGGAAATGGCACTTTTTTGATTTTCCCGAGCGCAACATTTTTTCCTAGTCTAATACACTGATTTGCCCGAATTTTTTGCTTGTTTAATGTGTAATGTTTCTAACAGATGGTGCTAGTAATCCAGTAAAGTCAGAATTGCAAAACAACTGGTTTCAAGGATAGGTTTTACTGAATTCTTTTACGCAAGTAAAGGCGCAAAATGTCTTTTCAATAGCTAGGTGTTCCGGCTACTGCAAATACTATTTCTTTTAAATATGGAGCTAAAATAAAAGAAGAAATGAGTGATAATGAGCAGCTTAGACTCTCTAAGCTGTCAATATCAAGATAACTCTGATATTGACACAGCTAGTGAATCTGAAATTTCACTAAATGATTCTGAAGTAATGACAGTTTGTTGTTTGATTTCTCTAGTAATGAAGAAACGGAAAGTATAGATAATCTAACACAAATTCGGAACTTTTATGAACTTGATATTAATAATCCTTCTTTCTTGATATTAATAATTCTTCTTTGGAATCAAACATATATGTAATAACAATAAAACATCTTAAATTCTGACATCTATTTTTGTAAAGTGTTCTTTCCAGTTCCTTTTTGTTTGAAAAAAGCCAACTTTAAGGAAAAATGTGCTTTTTATGATGAAAATAAAATTAGCATAAATCAATAAATTCAACACTTGTAATAGTTCTCACTGCTGATTTGGGTTTATATAATGAATTTTTCATAAAAATGTTTATAAAAAATATGCTTATTTTTTGTCACAATATGATGGAAAAAAGAAACTGTTAAGTGGTTAAGTTATTTTGGACATAGAGATACCTAGGATTTACTAAAACTAGGATCTTTTAATTAATCTTTCATATTAAATCAGTCAGTAAGTATATAATAAACTGAGCACATTAAAAAGCAAAAAGCATAAATTTTAATGAGTTAAAGCTTTAGATTAACTGACACAATTTTAAACACATTTAATGCACATTATATATGAATAACAATTTTTATGGAAATTTGCAGCATGATAGCAATTAAAAGATTTTCAAACATCATACATTACATTGCAGCATGGAATTATTTGGCTGCTGTTCTTATTCTCGGCTAAATTTAAAAGTCAAAAACTACTTCACAAAATTTTAAAATTGAAACTAATATATACATGATACTTTCATTACTATTGCCTTCAAAAGAAGAGATAAAACAATAAATTAACTGATTTTTCATGGCATTGTTAAGATATTTATTTTTATAAATTCTTATTTCAATTTTCATTTATTTTATGTAGCAAAGCCAAAGCCTTTATATCAAAGTTACCAGTTACAAATTAATCATTCTATTGAATATTTTTCACCAAGTTATAAACACACAAAGTAAATCTATCACACTAATCTGCTGCATCTTCAAATAACAGAATGCTACATAATATAAATGTGATTATATTCATCACATTCAGAACTCTTTATTGTAAATGAATCATCCATGACTTTTGCCTACTACTTTACAATGATATATGTACTGATAATAAAATGCAAAAAGTTCTCAAGAACTTGTTTGTTAATCTTTCTGCATTCTTACCACTTAATAAGTATTCATATTTTGCATATGTGGAATAAGATGAACAACTGGAAAATATGAAATATTATTATTCAGAGATTACATGTATATCATCTTTCCGAGTTCTAATAGATAACCACAGCATGCTGTTTTCTTTGTAACAAAACAATGACATTCTTTTAAACATACACATGAAAAAATTCAATTTTAAAACTTTTTTAAGTTACAGACAGAGTTGGTTTTATTATTAGGTAATTCTACGTAACTGCTCAGCGGCATCAAAATTTCATTTTCCTACTTCTGGTACAATTTAATCATTTTAAACAGCAAAAAGTTAATTAATTGCATTAATTTCACAGAAAACTGTAGTTCTTTGTCAGAGAGCAGATTATGATAATTTCACATGATTAACTAGTTTTCTGATTTCAGGAAGAATAAAAAAAAATTTTGGAAACTTTAAAACATTCTTGAAGTTCAATAACTGAAAGCCAAAGTTTATTCCAAGAACAAATCTGCTCAAAAATTGTTAGAATAAACAGTTTAATTAGAAAATCCAGTATGAATAAATAAAAACAAAAGTTGGCAAATAATAGAGGGGGGAAAATCATTTCCAACAAAAAATGTATTTGAGCCGCACTTGAAACAAACAGAAAAAAAATGTTAATTAAAAATCATAAAAAATGTTAAAAACAAAACAATGTCAACATGGCATTTTGCTAGCCAAAGGATTTTGTGATACAATGTAAAAGCCTAAGAGACATGCAATCCATATGTTACTACAAATCTTCCTCATAACGATTGATGTTTACTTTTAATGCACATGATAATGTGAACAAGAAGTAGAGCTTAAATTCTGCAACTAAGATTTATAGTATATTAAAAATCTATTTTCATTATTACACTTATGATGTATCCATGAAATATTTTTTAATTTATGCATGCCAATTTACTGCCAGCAACAGTTATCAAAATAACAGTTGCTGCAAAATGTTGATGAGAATTCCACATTAAAATTACTTTTAAAAAGATTATATTCTACAACATACTTTTTTTTATTATCAAGGAAAAAGGTACAGAAAAGGTATTTTCTTAAAAGCTCTTTCTTCACTGCAAGGCTTTAACAATATTCAAAATTTACCCACTGCAGCTTGAGCAGTTTGCTAGTTTCGGTGATTAACAAGTATTCATAGTTGGCAAACTGAGTTTACTTGCCAAAATACTCATAATTCATCACCTTACATAAATAATCGAGTATGAGTATTTAGGTAGCAAATGCATGCAATATTTAGGTGTTTGGCATATAGGAAGGGGTTAAAATAATTCACCTAGCATACTGAAATAGACTGCATATTTCTCAAAATGTAGGTACAATAATTAAATATTTAAGATATAAAAACATATCTATTCATGACATATTTTGAAAATCACAATATATAAAAAATATATTTTTATTATATTATGTGTAACTATGAGTATACTAACATAAATTTATTTACTGCTAAAACTGATCTGTTATATCCATATTCAAATAATAAAACAAAAACCAATTTAAAAAGCATAAAAGTGCAGAGAGGATCTTGGCATGAGTCAACAGCTGTACCACATCAGTTTTGGCAGTGAATGTGTTAAGTAAGGTGGCTGTTTTATCAAGTGAAACAAAAGAACCTTTTTTATTGTTAACAAGCAATAATGTCTATTTATAAATAATAATATTTATAAATACACACAATTTATATAACATTATATAAATGATATATATATCATATTTTATCAGTAATATATATATATATATATATATATATATATATATATATATTTGATAATAGAATGTAAAGAAGCAGCTGGCTTGTTAATTCATTCCCATTTTAGAAACATTAATAATGGAGTCATGTGAAAAATCTTCCAACAAAATCTCACTTTCTGAATGCAATACAAGAAGTGTTGCTGCATTAACCAATTCATTGCAAGAAGGCTGTATTTTTTATAGAGTTTAAACATGTGATGCACAAAATTGCCCATTGGCAATTCCAAACAGAAGGTGGGAAGCAAAACTACAAGGACTATGTTTTCATTGTCTGAAACATAGGCATGTCAACAGACAGTGTTGGAGCTAAGACATATGTAACATATGCAACCAGCCACATAATTATTTGATTTTTAATAGAGTAGCTAAGAAGAATGAGATCATACCCAAATCTGAGAATACGTCAACTTCAGTCTCTAATTTAAATTATTCATGAAAGGAAAACATTTTGCTACAGACCAAAAGTGTTATTTAAGGACAGAAAGAAAACAACAATTAGTGAAAATTTTATTTGATTCTAGGTCTCAGTGTTGCTTTGTTAAAAAGGAAAATGTGGATGCTTTAGCACTAGAAGTAGTTACGAACGAAACTGTTAAAATACATGAATTTGTGAATGAAAGTTTGTCTTCGTCAATTTATGATGTAATTTGCTTGGGTCTACACAATGGACTTAATCCGGGTCGAATATGACAGTTCTTGTTCAAAGAAAATCACAAATGAGCTCATAGCAGTTTCAACTGAGTAGGCAAAATGGGTAACACTTGTCGAAGGATTTGATCTATCAGATACTGGAATGCATACTGATGTAGATGTTTTGATAGGAGCTGATTATTTGTGTGAGATTTTATATGCTAAGTCGGTAAAATTAAGCAGCAGATTAATTGATACTGATAGCATTTTCATATTCATAATTCAAGGAAGAACGTTCCTTGAGCCAAACTCTTCAATAGCATGTGTAAGTAATGTGACAATTGAATAAGAATGTATTTCTGAGCATTATGGGAGTTAGAAGCAACATGAATCAAATCTCAGGTGAAAAGTAAACAATGCTGTGAGGATATTAAGGATTTGTTTGAAAGTAACACAATGTATAAAAATAAAATGCATGAAACAAAACTTTGTGGAGAAAGAATCATCGGAATCTAGGTAATAATTATGAAGTTGCTGAGTTTAGGTTCATTAGGTTGGGGAATAAATTAAGAAACAAAAATTATTCCAGCACTATGAAGAAGTGTTATGCAAGCAGCTAAATAATGGGATTATTGAAAAATGCCAGTTTTAAGTACTGGGTAATTCGAATTATTACTTTTCTCAGTTGTTAGCAGTTGTTCGAGAAGAAAAATCCACCATTAAATTACATACTGTCTACGATGCATCCTCTAAAGATAAAAACAAAGTATCTCTTAATGACTGCCTAGATCTGGGAATTAACCTTCTACCAGATTTGCTTAAGATGATATTAAATTTAACCAGATTTAAGGTTTGATTTGTAGCAGATATTGAGAAAATGTTTTTGCAGGTAAGAATTAGTGCAGAAGATCAAATTTCCTCAGATTCCTTTGGTTTAGGAATAACCAAATAGAATGCCAAGAAAATAGCTTAAGATTATTTAGATTTGCAAGAGTTTCATTTAGGTTTCATATAGCCCTCCTTTCTGTAACTATTAGATTGCATTTAAAGAAAATACAGAAAGTAACAGTAAAGCTTGCGAAATGCTGCATACTCTTCATGTTGATGATTTGATTTACACAGCAGACTGTAGAAAAAGCTTCATCCTTGTCTTTGGATGCATGAGAAATAAAATGGAGTTAAAAATTTGCAACGAATTCTGAATAGCTGAAAACTATGTGGGCAAAGAAAAATATCTACCATCACATAGCCATTAACTTTATGAATATACCATTTAAAGGTTCTGGAACTTGTATGGAATTAACACAGAAAATATACATACTGAAGATAGATTTATCCAATGTTTTGAGGGAGGTTTGACACTTTGGGGAAATGAAAGCTACAAAACATACCATGTTAAGTAATTGTGGCAAGGTTTTCGACCCCTTGGTGTGATTGCACCTTTTATTATCAGAATGAACCTTTAACTATAGGCACTTTGGGGAAGAGAAATTGGTTGATATGAACCTTTACCTAAGGATTTACAGTCACAATTAAACTAGTAGTGTATAGAAATCAACTGCTTTTAATTATAATAACATCTAATCATAATGAGAACCTACAACAAAGATTTTAGAACTAAGGAAGTTTAAGTGCACCTATTTTTCAATGCTAATTTAAAAGCATATGGAGCAGTAGTGTACTTCAAAACTTAATTAAGAACAGGCTGGAATAAGAGTTTTATTTTAGCTGAGCCTCCACCCATACCAATTTAGTGACTTACACTGCCATGACTTGAGCTTCTGGGAGTTCTAACAGTGGCAAGATTAGGGAATTATATATAATGCCCACATTTACATTTCTTAATCTTAGTGTTAAATTTCTTTAGACTAATTCACAAGTATGCTGTATGCTTGTACTGGATTGAGGCTGTGTGCGAGACTGGAAACAATTTGCGTCCAATCACATTGTAGAAATAATAATAATAATAATAATTTTTAAAAAAATCGGACCTAAAAATTTTCTAACAAAATTCCTTAAACGAATTCTACCTCATTTAGCTAGATCTACCAAGGAAGTTAACTGCAACAGAAATGCCATGCAGAAAAGGTATTTCTGTTCCCAAGGTCTGCTGAAAAACTTTTGGTGCAAGTGGTTCAAGGAATATTTATTACAGCTAAGGGATGCTGATTACACAATGCCTACTGACGTGGCACATGAGTTCAAGATGGGTGATATTATGCGTAACTTAATTCAATAAGACAAGTTACCTTGCCATATGTGTAAACAGTCAATATGTGGGGCTTGTAGATATTCCTGCAAGAGGAGGAAAGGTGCGCAGTTGCATTTTGAAGATTTGAACATTAAGAGGAACAGGGCAATTACTCTATTATTTATAACTTTAGACATTTGTAAAGATATCTTAGTTAAATTTCATATGTTTAACTTATTTCTGATGACCTTCTTCATTCTAGGAGGAGAACATAACAGAAATTATACAACTACTCACTGCCAGCTTAGCACAGTGTGTATAGTACAGACTCAAAATTGGTTAATTATTTTCGACTATTTTGAGTTGTATCTACTGAGGGAGCTACTGTGATGCCTAAGGTCTGAAATATCTTTTATCTTGTTACCTTTGTTTCCATTGGAGAGTGGGCGATGCTTGTAAAGGTGGAGAAATGTGTTCATCTCAAATAAAGAAATACTTACTCACCAGTCATTTATTTGGAATCAGATAACATGAAATAAATTTCTACACCATACTTAAACATATCTAAGTATTGTTGTGACTCAAAAGAAAAAAAAATTAAACATAGTCTTAATTGAAAAGATTTTTAATCACTGCTTAATAAAAAGTATATGATACAATTATTTTTTTAAATGCTGATGATTTTTGTTTGGGACAATGAATGATGGAACTTTATATAAGTTTTGTATTAAGAAATACAAGTTTTTTCAGAAAGTGTCCTGCTATTCTTTCATTTAGGCCAATTTCCACTGAAAAATCGGACAGTTCCTATACCTTTTTTAACAATTCATTTCTATGCAAGTTGAAGGTGCTTTACCCTTTTCATTATCACTGTTCTCATTGTCGACTAGTGTTATATGATCATCTAGTTCTTTAGTCATCTTTTTTTGATTAACCGTTTAACTTCTCCTTCCATATCTGAAAATTCTTTGCTGCCAGCTGCTTTTGTAATTTGTATAATTTCTTTGATTTAATTTTTTGTTAATTTCCTTTAAAATTGTTGATAACTTTTGGGCAGAGCTAATGCAAGCAGGCATTCAGCGTTGATGAATGGATATGGAACTGCATGCGAATGAAGTTCTAGCACTAGACAAATTAAATAGAAAGAATTCAGATAATGTGTCTATGCAAAACTGTGTTGCACCAATCCATGCTTGGCAGGATATTTTTTTTTTTGTATTTTCTGACATGGATCAGAAAGCATGAGAGAAGTGGTAATATGGATTACTTCCCTGACAACAAACATTAGCCATGCGATTATCCTTCTGTATTTTTATACATTTTTTATTTCTTTATCTTGCAATTATATTTCCAGATGGCAGTAATTTGAAAATTTGGTATTTTATCGATTCATAAAAAAAAAAAAAAAAAAAAAAAAAAAAAAAATTCTAATTTTAAATAACACTATTGTGAATACACAATAAACTAAATAACATTAACTTTTCTGTTTTGTTTTTGTTTTATAATTTCATCATATTAGTAGGAAAAAAAACTTTTTTTTCTTATTTTCTATTGAGTAACTTTATGATTTTTTTGACTAAATAACACCTACAATTTTAACTCTAATTGTCATTGTTTTACTTATAGGCTACACTTACCTATACAAATGCAATCTTGTTAAACAAATCTATTAAGGAATCTCATTTTTTTTTTTGGATTGACCATTAACTACAGTTTATACTTGCATTTTCTTTTCTGTGCCATTTATCAACACATTACTGCAGCTTTTAGCCTAACTAGGCCAAAATTCATTATTTCAGTTAATAATTTGTCTCTTTTATTCTTGGTTTATACATTCATGTGACAAAGTTTCAATATATTGCTACAAATTAAAATATAAAGGAAATGTTTTACCTTAGAAATTAAATTTTTATATGTATCAACTATTTGTCGATCATCTGTACAACCAGCCAGAAGTTGCCAAACTTCACCACGTAAAGCTTCTGGAATACCCCTTTTAACTAAAGGTGCAAGATGCTTTGGTCTTTGATTCAAATTCTGCCTCCATTTTTGCAAAACTTCAGCCCATCCTTCCAGCTCTAACGATGTACATTCCTTGCTTACTTCACCAGTACCACTAGGCAGTGGTTCATCATTATCTGACAATTCAAAATATAATAAAATTAGTAAGAATCAAGAAACATACAGAAGGCAAAAATGAAAATTCACATAAACATTTCTGTATATAAATCTTCTAGAGAAAGTTACACTCAGCTCTATTAGAAGGTTTACATCGGTTTAAAATGAGATTTTATGGTTTTAAAAGCTTGACTTCAGATAAGTAAACTCAGACTGTGTAATACAAGGCTCACACATTTGATCTTAGAAGATTAAAAAAGTTAAATTTATGTATCTTTACGTGCAGTGAAAAACAATAAAAATGTCTCCTTATTCATAATTATGTATATGTATGGATGTAATAATAAGCATTTTCTACAGTACACTGAAAAAAGTTAAACATAACCATTTTTAAGTGCACTGAAAAACAATAAAAATGTCTCCTAATTCACAATTATACATGTAATGAAACAGACACTCATTGTAATGAAGTACTATACATCTAAGTATGCTTCATTACATATACACTCTTAGACAAACAAACAAACAAACAAAAAAAAAACAAAAAAAAAAGACCATGTACCAAGAAGGAGTTATCCGAATGGGACAAAAATCGGTAGAAGCAATGTACCGAAAAAAACGATTACAGTTTGAAAAAAATTGCATAATTTATTGAAGTGATAGAGTTTCACAAAGTGAAAAAGTCAGTAATACGTTTGTCAACCTCTGGCCCTTATGCAAGCAGTTATTCGGCTTGGCATCGATTGCTAGAGGTTGCAGATGTCCTCCTGAGGGTATCTTGCCAAATTCTGTCCAACTCGAGCGTTAGATAGTCAACATCCTATGCTGGTTGGAGGGCCCTGCCCATAATGCTCCAAACGTGCTCAATAGGAGAGAGATCTGGCGACCTTGCTGGTAATGTTCAGCAAGCACTAGAAACATGTGCAGTGTGGGGGCGGGCATTATCTTGCTGAAATGTAAGCTCAGGGTGGCGTGACATGAAGGGCAACACAATGGGTCTTGAAACTTCGTCGACGTACCGCTGTGCTGTAAGGTTGCGACGGATGACAACCAAAGGGGTCCTACTATGAAATGAAATGGCACCCCAGACCGTCACACCTGGTTGTAGGCCTGTCTGCCAGAAGACAGTCAAGTTGTGTTGAAAATATGACCTATTGTAACCCCTTTTTCTGCATCATTTCTCCTCCTTGAAATAATACTAACTTTAACATAAAGTTTAGTTCTTATTTTAAGGGATATAGCAATTACTTCTACTTTTTTTTCACTGCCACTGTTTGTATTAAGAACGGACTGTTCCAGCCTAATTAAGATGCAAAAACGAAATTCGATGTTACATCATCTGGAAAGCTGAGTCATGCCGACAGCTTATTGGCTGCCGTGAGATGACGTCATGTCTACTTCAGGTATAAGTATCTCGCATTGCTTTGGCTTAGCTCTTCTGGTTCCTGTTTCATTGCTCCTTGGTGTGCCGTTCCAGCGCTCATTGGAAGACGTTATTGCGATGCATGCCATCCAGCGATAAGTACCGTGGTTCTGGTCCATGATGATTTTTCCTGGATTCTGCAAAGTGACGACGACGTGAGCAACGACCATGGGTGGCAACCTGTTCTATGGTTCAGCGACGATAAATTCCAAGCTGTGATTTCTGGTGGTTAACTATCGTGGGCAGCATCCTGTTTCCAGAGTTAAGCAACATTAAATTCCAAGCTGTGATTTCTGGTGGTCGACTGCCGTAGGCGGCGTCCTGTTTCCAAAGTTAAGCAATGTCAAATTCCAAGCTGTGATTTCCAGTGAGCAACTGCCGTGGGCGGCATCCTGTTTCATGAAGGCGGCATCTTTAATACAAATGTTTTTCCAGGTTTAGCGGGGATGTTGTTCCAAGGTGTGATTTCTCGTGAGCAACTTTTTGCCAGCTCAAGTGCACTCACGGTTTAGTTTAATTTTTCAGGTGCCTTCTTGGCCAAAAGCATGGACCTATTTATAGTGAAGTGAAATTCATATTAATCACATAGTTTTTGTTCTATGATATGTTTTTCGCGTATTGAATGCCAGTATTCAAAGATCAGGTAATATATTTGTTATATCATTAATAGTGTAATATTCTTTAAAGGAAAAACCCTTGGGGGTTAATGAATAGTTAATTAAATATAAAGTTTCTCATACTGATTAAATTTATTTATTGTATTTTTATTTTTATATATATTGTTAATAAACTGATGATCTATAATCCGGAAAAACCGAAAATCCGGAATCGCCAAAGTCCCGACGAAAATGGATTAAGGACTTTTGACTGTATAACTAAAAATGCTCAAATAGCTTTTTAATTATAAGTTGATTTCTATCACATATGTACTACTCTTTTTATTTGCAAACCTATATGCACTGATAAAAATGACGGCACTAAATACTATTAAAAAGGAGATACCTGATTCAGAATCTTGATCATGTGATGCTAAAGAGTGTTCACTTCCTTGATAAGATCGGCTGCATGGAAACTTTTTTCTTGCAGAATTTTCCAAACTCACGACTTCATACATCGTATTTTTATCAGATTCATTCTCAATCTAATGAGTAAGAAAGAAAATAAAGATGAACAAGTCAGTTAAAGTAAAGTATTAAGGAATACAATAAAAATAAACAAATAAACTAGGGGTTTAATTTCAAAGATTAAATTACTTCCTAAAGTTTCCGAGATTAAATCATGTTGCAATTTTACATTATTAAAAATACCTCTTTGAGTCGTAAATAAAATTGATCGTGCAAAGCCCGTTTGGAGAAATACCAGAATCGTTCATTTGCTGCAAAAATCTTTGCTTTTGTTTCAATAACAAATCTAGTTGGCTCATCAATTCCAGCAAATACCAAGTCTACGGCAACACTCAAGTATACCTGACTATCTGAAACAGAAGAAATGTAAAATAAGAAAATAGAATGACATTTGACAAATTATACTTCTCCTGAATTTAGACAATTCCTGGGAAAACAGATAAAATTGTCAGTCAAAAATATGTGGAATTTATTGCATCAAATCAGGATTTTGAGTAATTTAAAGTCATTGGAAAAGTTCTTGGTAGTAGTAGTGATTTTTCTGCCAAGTTTAAGCTTCTTCACACATAATACGCTTTTCAAGTCTGATCCTATTGTATGAATTAAGAGTTATTTTTTTCTGATAGACCCCACAGTCCTCAGTTTGAAAATTTAAAGCAACATTAGCTAACACTGTACCAGAAATAATGCATAATTGAGTTATTTTTTAACACTTGCACAAAATTTTCAACTATGGGGCAACAACTTAATTTTTATAAGCAATGTTTAATTACTATATATATATGTGTGTGTAAGATAAAAAATATGAAAGCAAACTTCAAAATTTAATAATTGTCTATAACCTTTTTTTAGTTTTATTTAATTTCGGGAATTACTCTCTCAGTCTAAAAATTGGGCCATGAGTCTAAACTGCGTCATTCAAAGTAATCATGCGATCTTGCATAACGCTTAATGCAGATGTCTCTTGCCCAATCACATTAATTGTAAACCAAAACAAAACTTGAACTGAAACTTGACTTCCTCCCTTCTTCCTCTGAAGTACTGCGACTCTCTCTCTTCTGGCTTATGCTTTCACCCTGTTAAGATGCTCTGCAATGATCACTTATATCACAATAGTATCAACATTGTTCTGGAAATAAGCACGTTTGGAGTGCCAAGTGATGGTGGCCACAAAATGTGAATTTAAATAAAAAAGGAATTTAATTTGGCTGGACTGTGCTTCTTCAAAATGGATGGACGCTCTAAGCATCAAGTATCTACGCCATCAATATTACTACGAATTTACATCTCAGTATTCTTACTTCAATGCTTCCAAAATTGTGCTAATAATATTACATATGTATATATATATATATATATATAAAATTACAAAACAATTCTTTTGAAAACAAAACACAAACTTGCTTAGTATTTTTGCTGCAGAAAAATTATCATGTAAGACATAAAGCAAGGATGTCAAACTCGCGGCCCGCAACAAATATTTTTGCGGCGCGGCCAATATATCAGCAACTAATAATATATAATAATAAAATAACATATCGACGAAGAAAAAAATGAAATGTTTACTGCTAAGTAAGTAACGATAATTTATTCAGTGTTGTTAGATTACTCACAGCGAGCTGACACACACACTACTTAAATTACAAATGCGTGTGAGTAGCTTGCGTTCAGCCACCTTCGGGCTTTTGGGGGACACGTGCACTCAGAACTTGCACGCATCCCCCGATAGCCGAATGTGGACGAACTCATGGTCTCAGTTTTCCAATCATAATTTTGTACGATATATTGGTGCATGCATGTGCATGCACTTTGCTTTATTATTAATTTACTTAATTCATATTGTTACGGATTTCATAGTTATTTATTTAGTTAGTTTTTCTTATTAGAATTGTAATACATTGCTTCATGTTGCCTTAGCAACGCAGACGATTTTTGAAAAGACAGCTCCGTTGGAAGGTTAAAAATAGAACAGCACGTGCATTTAATACCTAATAATAAATATCTCGTAATTGCTGTTGCCATCCACAAAAATCCAGATATTTATAGATGTTTCCAGTATATTCGAGAATTAATTACAAGCTTATAAAAGCCGAGAACAAACAACTCATCTCAGTAGTAGCTGTAGTTCTAGCGAACTGTTTGTTTACTTAATGCTGTCATTGATTGTAGCGATTTCGCTGTGAGATAGAATTAGTTTTTTGTTTTGAATTGATTTTGCTAAAATGTTTGACATTTTGTGATACTGTTAGAATATTTTTGAAGAAATATTTCAGCATTTTGATTTATCTCTTGTGGAAAGAATAAATTTTTGTTAACTTTTAACGTTAACCATGTTTATTCCAGCCCTTTGCATTCAGTATGTCTATATCAAAACCAAGTGGTAGTAAAATTAAACGAAAAATCGCTGACTAACATAGAATATTCCAAGTAAAATGGGAATTAGAATATTTTTGCTGTGAAATAAAAGATAAAATAATCTGCTTAATATGTAATAATACTATTAATGTACCAAAGTTATATAATATTAAACGTCATTACGAACAATACAAATCGAAATATAACAATTACGAAGGATTAATGAGAGAAGAAAAGTTTAAAGAGCTCAAGTTAGGAGTGAAAAGCAACAGTCCATGTTTAGTAAAGTATTGCAAGAAAGTAAAGCGGCGGTACATGCAAGCTACGTCTTGTCCGAGTTGATAGCTAAACTTCGAAGCCTTTTACTGATGTGATTTCATCAAGGAAGCCTAATGAAAGCTGAGAAATTGTTCATCCTGGAAATGTGAATGCTTTTCAATCAATTTCATTGTCTCGAATACAGTTGCGGAAGAGTTACTGATTAGCCGCGAATTTAAGTGATCAGATCAAAGCAAATCATATAGTTTCGAAAGTTTTTCTCCATTGTCTGTGACGAGAGCACGGACATAGTAGCAAAGCTCAATTACAGCGTTTCTTTCGCTCTGTGACAAGAATTTTAACATTTTGAGAATTACTGAACTAATACCGATGCCTGGTACTACCACAGGAGAAGTATTTACTTGTTTTGGACTTATGCAGAAATACAATCTACTTTGGCAAAATTAAATTCTGTAGCTAAGATGGCGCTCCATTAATGACCGGAAAAACAAGGGCTTTGCAGCATTACTAAGAAAAAACTTAGTGAAATTCACGGTTCAAACATTCATCGTATCATTGTATTATACATCAAGAGTTCTATGCATGAAAGTAATAAATATGGAGAATGTTTTTGTCCATATAAAAAATTTATAAATTTTTAAGATCTTGAGGTTTTTAATCGCACAATTCATTGCTTTCTTAACTGATAGATAGTGAATATTCGGGTTTGTCCTACTATACCGATGTATGTTGGTTATCTTGCTCCAAGATTCTCACACAATTCCAGGATTTGAAAGAAGAAATATACCAGTTTTTAAAAACGAAAAATCAAGACGTAAGTTTGTTTTACGATCCAATTCGGATACAAGATTTATCTTTCTTGGTTGATATAACAAAACACTTAACGATTTAAATTTATCGTTACAAGGAGAAGATCATATCATTACGAACATGTTTGACATAAATTAAAGCATTCAAATGTCAACTAGTTCTTCGGGAAAAAGAACTTAAAAATGAAGATTTGACGCACTTCCCGACGTGCAGCTGAACAATCAAGTTTAGATGAACTTGTTCGTATCAAAAATACGCAGAAAAATTGCAAATTTAACAACTGAATTTGAAATGAGGTTTAATGATTTTAGTTCCTCAAGAAAATTTTTTTGTTTTCTTCGATTTCTCAATAAGTATTGACTCGCCCCGCCATGCAAATGGAGGTGATCGGTCATGCAATTCAAATTTGAAAGCAAAATTCATTGAAGTGGGCGTGCCTGAATTTTACAAATATTTACCAGCCAGGTTTGAAAATACCGAAAATTCGCATATGAAATTATTTTCATGTTGGTAGCACTTATTTTCAGTCATGAAAGGTAATAAGTCTCCATTAGAAACTGTATTAATGATGCTCACTTTGGGTCAGCGTTGAAAGTTATCACTGCAAAGAAATTTCTACCGAAATAGGAAAGAAATAGCAGAGAAGAGATGTCAAGTATCAGGACGTAAACAATAAATTTTTCTTGTTCTTTCTATATATAAATATATATATATATGTTTATTATTGTATTATTCGAAATAAATCTACGTTCTATGAATATTGATTTCCCCCCCCCCCCCCCGGCCCGCCTAAAGTTAAACCTTGTTTGTTTGGCCCAAGTGTACCTAAGAGTTTGACATCCCTGACATAAAGCATGAAATTTAGAACTAATTTTTCACAAAGACCAGAAATTGAAATTCACAATCAATAAATCTCAAATAATCATATAGATGCAACAAAGAATTCAAAATATGTAAAAACAAAAACATTTCAAGAAAGCAAAACCCCACTTCAAAAAATCAATGAAATTTAAAGAAAAATGAAGAAAAACAGAAGTGGAATTCAATCAACCTTAAAGTCATTTCACTAGGGGGGGGAGGAACTTTGAAATTAATTGAAATCTCTCTTCTACAAAAATCCTTGCTTTTCTATATCCAGAATTAGCCGATGAACCATTTCAATGTACAATTATAAGTTCAGCCGAAAATTCTGGACATTTTTGAATTCTTTGTTGCATTTATATGATTATTAGAGATTTATTAATTGTGAATTTCAATTTCTGGTCTTTGTGAAATATTAGTTCCAAATTTCTTGCTATATACTGCAAAGGCCCTTGTTTTCGTGAGGCTTTAACTTTCGCGATTTTCGCGAACCCGTTGTAATCGCGAAAATTGAAGCCTCGCTAAATACTTTTTTTTCGCCTCAAATAATAACAAAAAATCAGAAATTTTTCCCTAACTCAAAATTTAATGATTTATTTTCCTTGACAACTTTCTTTCTTATAACTATTTTTTGAATAATATACAACTATATTTCTCGAATATAAAACAATAAAATTGATAGAAGGCAGCTCATTCACTTAGAATAACTTCACTTCTTTGAAGCTATTCAAAATTATCTCATGTTTGGCTTCAATACCGTTAAATATGCGCACAAGCTAAGAAGCATGAATCGGTTTTAGTCGTGATATTCGCAAGTCCACAGATTCTTTTTCCTCTAGAAATTGAAGCTCATTAGAATACCACTCAATAAACTTTCTTGAGGAAACGCTTGAACTCCCCATTTAGACGGAAATGGGGGAGGGGGGACGAACTTTTAAGACAAAAGAAAGTTTCTTAAAATGCTTTATGCAAAAGATGTACTTTTGGAATTTTTCAACTTTCGGTTCTGTTCATATTAAATTCGCGAAATTTTCAACTCGCAAAATCACCGATATATTCATTTTCGTGAAAATAAGGGCTTTAACAGTATATTATTAAATACTCTTTTTGATGCAACACTATTTTTATATTTATCAATCTCATTTTCGCGAAAATTACGGCCCGCGAAAATAAGGGCCTTAACAGTATATTATTAAATACTCTTTTTGATGCAACACTATTTTTATATTTATCAATCTCTTTTTAAGTGCCTATTTTAATAATTTTCAGTCTCCCTCTTTTTTATTATTGTTGTTAATTTTTAGTGCAAAAATACTTAGGTTTTATTACTCAACAATGCACACAGATTCCAGTTGTTGTCCTTGAAGAATATATTCTAACACTTTCCGGCACACTACTTTTTAAAGTTGGAATTTCGCAAAAAAAAAAAAAAAAAAAAAAAAAAAAAAAAGACCTAGAGGTAAGTAAAATTTTGTAAAGATAGCACTTATCGTTTTAATTATGTGGAAGTGCCCGAACTGGGCATTGATTGAATAGAGTTTCGAAAAGAGTGCTGAAAACGAGCATTGCTGGGAAGTGCATAAAAGAGTAAGAGATTTTGCCTACGATTAAAAAAGACTAGATTCTGTATACCATAGCAGATTTAGCATTACTCAGGGTGTGCCACGGGAAGATCTGCTACTCTACACCCCCTAAAAAGCTCATTTTTGCTCATATGATGATTACATGCTTATGAATTAAAAAAAAAAAAAAGTAACTTGGGTATATGATATTTGCATTATTTACATATCATATTTAAGCTTTAGTCTATTTTTTCATCGTGGTACTTTTCAAAGAAAGTGATACTGCCTTTAAAAAAGCACAACCCAATATTGCATGTTTTGCACATGTGCTGGGATCTATATCAAATTCACTATCTGAAAGCAATTCGTGTAGCACTTTCAGTGCTTTAGAAATAGTCAGCCCTCTACGATCCGTTTGGAAAACAATTAAAAATCCAAAAAAATAAACTAATATTATATCTCAATTTGAAATTATAAACTATAAAATAAAAATATAAATGTCTAGTATTAACTATTAAACGTAGTGCTAAGAAAACTTCTTTGAACCAAAGTGAAAGAGAACTGCTCTAGTGAAAAACCAAGCAGCTAACTGATAAAATTATCCCTGACCTTCAGAAAATCACCCCAACAATTTTAGTTGATAATCAAGCCTCCCCTCCCCCCCCCCAAAAAAAAAAAGAAGAAAGAGAAAAACAGGAAATGAAACACACAGATGTGGCCCACCTTCTATGTTAATGAGGAATGACCCTTTCTATGTCATGAGCTGACTCGAGTGAGCCCAGTCTGGGAAACATCTCGTTCTTTAGGCCAGGGTGGTGGTAAGGGTAAAAATTTAAAACTAATATCAAATAAAAAGATTAGCATTCAGCCAAAAAAAAAAAAAAAAAAAACATAACATAGAAATTTGCTTTCAAACAATTCCTTTTTATACCCTAAAAAAATCTAGAAGATTTCTTTGAAAAATGAGGGCCTTAAAAAACTAACCATAGCTAAAATATATGGATTGATTAAAATAGGTTTGTGTTGAGCTGCCATCTACTATAAGTAAAGAAGGTTCAGAGTAACCTAAAGCTTTTATTAAAAAAAAAAAATAACTTCATATTAATTCCCATATATACCAGGTGATCAAAATGTCAGTATAAATTTGAAAACTTAATAAATCACGGAATAATGTAGACAGAGAGGTAAAAATTAACACACATACTTAGAATGACATGGGGTTTTATTAGAAAAAAAAAAAAAAAAAAAAGTTCAGAGGTACTGTTATTGGGCCTTTTTTTCTTCAAGGAAATGCGTGATTCTGGTTTTGTAACTGCTACTGTGACGGGTGAGAGGTACGCCGATATGTTACAGAATCGCACCCTGCTGGAACGTATGATTTTTATGCAGGATGGCGCTCCACCCCATATTGCTGGATGCATGAAAGATCTCTTGCGCGCGTCGTTTGGTGATGATCGTGTGCTCAGCCGCCACTTTCATCATGCTTGGCCTCCCAGGTCTCCAGACCTCAGTCCGTGCGATTATTGGCTTTGGGGTTACCTGAAGTCGCAAGCGTATCGTGATCGACCGACATCTCTAGGGATGCTGAAAGACAACATTTGATGCCAATGCCTCACCATAACTCCGGACATGCTTTACCGTGCTGTTCACATTATTCCTCGACTACAGCTATTGTTGAGGAATGATGGTGAACATATTGAGCATTTCCTGTAAAGAACATCATCTTTGCTTTGTCTTAATTTGTTATGCTAATTGTTGCTTTTCTGATCAGATTATTGCTTTTCTAATAAAACCCCACGTCATTCTAAGTATGTGTGTCAATTTTTACCTCTCTATCTACATTATTCGGTGATTTATTAAGTTTTCAAATTTATACTGACTTTTTGATCACCCGGTATATATATATATATATAAAGAGAAACCAATAACTAGTGAGTGTTGTGTTCCAACAGTTACTTTTTTGCACATGACAAGTAAGCCGATTTATTGTTTAGATGAACTTTCAGATTGTTATATAGATCATATGTGCCAATTTATATATGCATGGATAAACCCATCTGTGCCACAATACAATACTCAAGTTTGTATACAGATGAAAAATTTACTTTTATAAAAGAACTGCATATGAAATACACCATAATTATATAAATACGTGCAAAAGCTTCATAATTTAGCACGTTAACACTATATTCATTACTTTACATTTCTTTCAGTACTTACAAAAAAGTCATGACACATGTTACTTTAATGCAAAATATGCAAAAATCATATAATTCACATAAGAATGAAATATTTACCTCGAATGGTAGGTGTATTTAAAATCTCAAAAATGGGATCAGCAGGGTTCCAATTAGCAGAAATGTGATATATCGTTTTATCTTCATTCACAACTTTGTTCATCAAGACCTTAATAAAAAAATAGAAAAGAAAGTAATAATACAACAATGACAATATTTTTGGTCCTAAAAATGTTTTAACTGCTGCCATATCAACTAACTAAAATGAAAAAGCCACCACAACTGAATTATACATAAGAATACAATGTTATGATAAAATTATAAAACTAAAATATTTAAAATTATTTAGTGAAAACACAACTCTTTCATGATCAAAATGTAACTAACTGAAAATGAAAAACTATTTAATTACATCACCTGAGACAGAGATGTCTACAATGGAAATGATTTTTTTAAACCCTTATTGGTGTCTTTAATAATTCTCATAATTTTCTTAAAATCATATGCTTATCAAATTTTATTATATTATACCCAGAAAAAGATGCATTATAAATTGCTTTTCTTTATTACCAAGTGGGGGACCAAAAACTTTTATCAAATTAAAAAACAAAAACTTTCAAATATGCAGTTTCATTTATTTATTATTCTACTTTAAATACCACTGAGAACAAAAATTAACTAACTCAGATTTTTTTTATATAAAACTGTGATATCCATATTTATATATCTGTTCTAATACTACATTTCTATATAAATACCTATATATATATGTTAAATAGTCTTCCCTCTTCACAAATATTAAATCTACAAGAAACAAGAAAATTCTAAATTTCTGCTTTATGTGAAAAAAAGTAAGAATCAAAAAGTAATCAGCAGATTTTACTTATATCTGTTTCTTAATTTACAAGTATACACTATGTACCAGAAGTAGCCAGACCCCCCCCCAATAAAAAGAATCTGGCAAGTGAAGTAATTTGATGCCTAACTGAAAGCCATAAAAGTGTTGGTAGTAGTTTGTTAGGGCATATTTATGCATTTGTGAAATAATGAAGTCAAAGAAGCTTAATGACTTTAGTCATGGCAGTATAGCAGGATGCCACCTTTGTGGAAAATCAGTTTGTGAAATTTCAGTCATTCTACAGAAGACAAAATCCATTGTGAGTGATGCAACTGTGAAGTACTAAAGTCAAGGCAGTGAAACTGTAGAAAAATGAAGTGGCAAGCTCAAAAAAAATTAGCAAACACTGTCACAGAACTCTGCAAAGGATAAATCAACAAAATTGCAAGTCCTTGTTGGTTGAAATCAACGAGGAGTTCCAAAGTTCATCAGGCAATAGTGCCAGCAGCAGGACTCTGTCAAGAGTTAAAAACCCTGGAATTCCATGGTCGTGCATCTGCTCACAAGCCGAATATTATTCCTAAAAATATGAAACGTCTATTGCAGTGGTGTAAAACTCATTGTAATTAGACTGTGGGCACATGGAAAAATGTTGTTTGGAGTGATGAATCTAGCTTTACAATTGGGCAGTCTGAGAGACATGTCTGGGTTTGACATATTTCCTGCGAGTTCTTTTTAAGTGACTGCATTGTGCCAATGTAAAGTTTGGTAGTGTGGGGTATATTTTGTGGTTTGGTCTGGGTCCTTTAGTTATTGTGGTTGGAAACATGAACTCAGATTATGCGGATTCTGGACAATGTTTCTCTCCCAACTCTATGGCAATATTTTGAGTATGGGCCTTTTCTCTGCCAGCACGATAACTGCTCCATTCACACATTTAGACTTGCACAGGTTTGACAAACTGGGTGTTCAAAAACTGAACTGGCCTCAAAGTCACAATCTAAATCTCACAGAATACCTTTGGGACGAATTAGAGTGCAGATTATGTAGCCAGCTTAATTGACCACTCACTGCCAGCACTCACTTAAGCTTTGATGGATACCTGGAAATCAATTCTCATGGCCACCTACCAAAAACTGTTGGAAAGTCTCCTCAGACATGTGCAGGCTGCCACTGATGCAAAAGGAGAACCAACATCATATTAATATATGCCTCAAGACTTTCTGAGTCTATACCACTGGGTATCCGGATACTTTAAGCCAGATATTATGCATGTGTACATATATATGGAAGATTTAAACATAAATATAAAAGATAAATCTCACATAAATGTAGATTATTAGGAAATTTATTTAATATTATATTTGAATGAATACTTGAAAGATTCTCAGGTTAAAACTTACTTATGAATTAATTGCACAATAAAAGTTTACATAAAATTAAAAGTCTTAAATATGATGGAAATAATGTAAAACAGTAGAAAAATGTTTTCCTTTACCCCTTCTAAAGCATGCATTTCAGAATGATCCAGATTTCTTCCTGGTGTTATTAGCAATCCAAAACAGCTATTAAATATAAAAGTTAATATGCATAAATAATATCTTCTTATTTTAATTTTAAATATAAAAGTTTAAATTAGGAAATGAAATTCACATAATTTCATTTATATGTATAAAATGTTTTAAATTTTCTATGATGTATATATATTTTTATACAGATAATCACACAAAGAAACAATACTTAATATTTTACAATACTAAAAATATAAATTTTAACAAAAATATCAATTACAGATATGACACAATTATGGTCCTCACTGCAGTTGAATAAAACCTTCAGGTAGGTAAGTAGACTGGTTATTATTAATTAGGGAAAAAACACAAAAATGATGATTACTCAAAAAGTTACATGTAGAATTTATTGAAACTGGCCAACAGCATACAACACATATTAAGGTATAAAAAATTACAAAAAGAAATTATCAGACATGTATGATGTTATAGAAATTAGCATATGTATAAACTGAACTAATCGGATGTGTCAGTTTGGTACAGGAAAGCTATCTTCAATACGCACGGTCTTCCCTAGAAGCAATGCAGCCCGTACAATGAAAGTATCATGCTGTCAATTATGCGGTCTATCCGCTCCATAGGAAGTGACAGCTATTACTTTTCAAAACAGTTGCAAGCGTGGCAAGTGAGGAGGATTGAGAGCAGCTATTTGTCTTTCTAAAGAATTCCAAACATGCTCGATAGTATTCAGGTCTGGTGATTAAGCTGGCCACTCCATACGCTGAATTGTTTGCTCCTGAAGATAATCATCCACAATGTGACCTTTGTGTAGTGTAGCATTGCCATTCTTTAGCAGGAAATTATCACCTATTGCCTCATCATAAGGGCATACATAAGCATCAAGGATGTCATCACTATAGGCTTGAGCATTTATGGTTCCACATTGAGATCTGTGTGTCCACCCAAAGATATACCACCTCAAACACAGATGATACTTCCTCTGTATAGATCTCTTTCACACATGTTTAATGGATGGTAATAGGTTCCAGCTTCTCTCCAAATCAAAGAATGTCTACTATTGCTTTGGAGGCTAACTCTGGATTCGTACATAAAGAGAATAGCCCTCCATTGATCAGTTCTTCAATGGACATGTTGATCTGCCCATCTCAAATAGTCCCTTCTATGACGTGATGTAAGAGGCACACAAATGGCTGATCGACTCATATGCAGACCTCCTTCGCAAAGCCTTCGATGCATGATTATGTTGACACAAACTTTCCAGAGGCTACAGCAAGGAAGGATCTGAGTTGAGGTGGAGTTGAGGTTTTATTCCTTTGTGCGAATAACAATAAACATTGGTCATCAGCAATTGTCGTAGCAGTTAATCAGCCTTGGCTGAACCTTCTCAATACTGAATCTGTGGTACAAATTGTTGACAAAGTCTGTGATCCACAGAAGGACTCACATTTAAGTCCTCATTCAGTTGAAAGATTTAGCAATCATTAGTCATGATGCATTATCAGTTGAGATTGGTTTTGCTGTTTCGATATTCGATTAAAACACAATAATCACACCAAGCACACAATCAATCGTTGTTGTAGCAATCACTTCAAACCCATCACTCCGCAGTGAAAACGATCGAATCAATACAACAGCTGTGTTCTTTGTGCTTTCATAAATACAGAATTCAAACGTGTGAAGGTATTTCGGATTTAAGAGCAATCCTTTAGATCTACAAGATGGGCATCAATTTATATCAAACTATAGGGTGTGTAAGGCTCTTAGCAAAGGAAGCTGAATCATCATCTTGTTGTATCCAAATGAAGCCCACTTGTTGTTAGTGGGCATTGATTTAGCATTGTGTTGTTTACATTTGTGTTGATGGATTGCAACCTAATTCCGAGAAATATGGTGGATGCGCTGCATCAAATTATTCATAATATTCCAGAAATAACTAGCTTGTTCTATTTCTCGTGCAATGAAGAAATACGAAGAAAATGGGCAATTTATTCCCGTCGATTGAAATGGATTCCAAGCACAGGAACGTGCCCTTTTGAAGTAAGTTCTGCTTCGTATTTTTTCATATGTTGTTAAAAAAATAAGAATTCATATTTCAGTAAAATGTGTTATTTTCATTTAAATACTGCTAATGATAAATTGATTTTTAATATACAAAATAAACTGCAGAATGTGCCTAAGTAGTCAATACACAAATGCTACAAATGTTGATGTGATTTTTTTTTTATTGTTATTATTGCGAATGGATAAAGTTTAGAAAATTATATTTTACATTTGACTTAAACTTTATGCATAATTAGAACTATGAAGTGTGCTTTTTATTTAAATTTTAAAGCGAGATTCATGGTTTAAAATATGTTTTTTTTTTAGCCTCTTGTATTGTCACCAAATTTGTCAGTTGGCCCCAATAAAAAAAAAAAAAAAAAAAAGTAAATCCGATAGTATGATTAAAATTATGCATTATATGATGTTTCCTTTAAAGTAAAATAATTATATCATGTATTTATATTCATTTTGAAGAAGGTTAAGCAACAATTTAAGTATTTATTCAGAAGTCAAACAACAAACATCAGTGTTATATTTTCCAAAATTTGTATTTCAAACAGTATGTTTTAAAATGCTGTACACTCTTAGTCACTTATTTTGAATTTAGTTCAGTTTTCATACAAGAAATAAAATTTGTCAGACAATTTAATAAAATAATTTAATAATACATGTTATTGTAATTTAATACTTGTGATTTTTAATATTTTCAGAAATCTGATAAATGAAGTTTATTTTGTGTGACCTTGCATCAAAGGCGTCAATAATAAATCTGTTTTGGTTGCTAAAATTCCTAATGAAAAACTTAATACTGATGTAAAAGAATAATAAATGATATTTACTTGGTAATCAGTGTTTTATGATACTGCAATAAGTTAAAGAGCTTCTTGTTGTTTCTTAAGCTGCATAAATTGTTTTTATAACTTCCTATCATCTGTATGTTTTACTTCTCTGTGTTATTAAATAAATGTTAAAGGCATATTTTTAATCAAATACTCTTCCTTTCATAACAGTGTCACATATACTGATATGATGTGCGTTGGCATTTATTATATAGTTATAATCATTAATCATTATAGAGTTTTATATATTTATTATATATATTTAATTTATATCATTATGCATTATATAATTTTTCTTTTAGAATATATCACAACATATTTTTTGAGTTCTTAATAGCATTATAGTGTACATTTTTCTTTTCTTTTGCTTCAAAACATCTTTTGAACAACTTTTTTTTTTTTTTTTCCAATATGCATACAAACTTACTTGACCTATATTTTTCACATGTTAATGCAATTTATGTGAATAGAATGTGTCTTTTAGGTTAGCTAGTTTCATAAAAGGAATTAAAATAAAATGATACCCTTTGAAAACTTTTCATAGATAAAATTTTGAAATAATAGCACTGAAAAGCCAAAGAGGGTACAGCAAACCTGAATTGCAATCCTAAAAGTTACAACCTGGCTGATGTTATTAGCCTGCATCTGTAGGAGCTCCATTATTGGTTACTTCGAAAACAATGCAACTTCCAACCACGTGATAAACGGAATCATGCATCCCGTTAACTTCTGGCAACCTGAATTGAATATGAAATTCAATTTCAAATGAATATGAAAAATCACTCCTTTTTCAAAAGTGATCATTAATGCTAGATGCAAAGATCGCTATTTAAATGAATATCGGCATTTTGAGGCCTTTAGCCAACTGGCCGCTTCTGTCTGACTTTGTCCTGCCTCTAGTCTTCCCAATGGCTTTCCACCGCAGTTCTTTGGGCAAATGATGCCTGGAGGTGATTGTTACAAATTAACTATCCCATATTTCTTATCTCTGTATCACAGAGAAATTTCCAGGCTTGCTCTGAAACATGCAATTTTATGCTCCTTGCAGGTGACATATTTTGATTGCACCAGCACTAATTTGCAGACTCCAATTTTACTCACAAGTTCTTATTTGGCAACATATTCAAATTTTATATGGATTGGCTTATTTTTGAACAACTTTCCCTTAATTTTTGGATTTCATTTAAACATAATGAATCAATATAAAATAAACAGAAACATGGCAATATAAATTTTTTATTTAGGCTAGAAAAGGGAAATTTAGTTTAGTGATTCAAAACCTTTGCCAAACCAAGCTGCTGCTTTTTTTTTTGTAGGCGGGGATAAAAATGAAAGAATTTAAGCAATATGAATTCATATTAGTTTAACATATAATGAATAACTAAAATACCTTCACTTTTTCATGAAAAATTTCATTTACATATTCAAACTAACTTATTTACAAAATAAAATTACAGTTAATAAAGTATTAATTGTGATATTGCATTCTTCCCCCCCCCCAAAAACATTTACTTATGCACTAACACTGCAAAATATGTAATAAAAATAATGAATAACTTTTTTAAACTACACATTCTTCAATTTCCAGGTTACACATTCAAACATAATCTCTTTTATACTTATATAATAATTATATTTACCACTAACAATGAAAATAGAGTAAAATAATTTTAAGAACAATAAATTTAATCTTTGTGTATACTGTTTTTAAATTTATCAATAAAATTATATGACATGACACAAAAGCAATTACAACAGACCAAAAAATCCTTTTCCAATAAACAGATAAGGATAGTTGCTTTCACAAATATATACTTAAGCAGAGAATATTTCCTTTTACAATAAAAGAAGAAAAATCACACACATTTTTTAAAACAAACTGTTAAAAAGGAAATAACACAACAGTTAAATCATATGAAACTTTCGGGAAAGTCTTATCAAAATTTAACACCAAAACTTAGGACTTTACACAATAAAACCAAAAAGATTTATAACATTTAGCAAAGTTGCCTTAAAATTGAAAAATCAAAAGTCTCGGCTCCCACCAGCTTGCCTCCACTCTGTTTTCCGGCGTAACTACGTCCCTTCCTTTAACCGTCTTTCGCCCCTCGCGGATAAAATGTTCTGGAAACGTCTTTCGCTAAGGGAAGGAACATCACAATACCTAGCTGAATATCCTGAAAAAGCTTTTTTATCATTTTAAATTTTAGAGTATTTTACAGTATATTTTGTTACGCATAGTAAAATTTAGCACTGATTATAATCAAAAGCTCATTTCGGCAAATATTTGGAAGCGTAGTAAATAAGGTATAAAAATTTCAGATACCTGTGAGCAGTAGTTCTTGAGAACAGGTACTACATCGAGTATAAAAAATCACGTTCGGGGGAAAAACGCGATTTTATGTAAAAATTCTCAATTATCAAAGTATTCAATGACAAATTAAAGCTAGATTTTGTACAGTCCTATTTGAGGATTAAATTGTTTTAAAAGAAAATGAAATTAAATCAAAAAAAACTTAAAGTATTTCATTTTTTAATTTTAAATTTCATAAAATATCTTCATTTTTTTTTCATTTGAATCTCTTAAGGTAATTAAGTTTCATAATTAAGTACCATTTAAGTTTCATAAGGGCCACCTCACAATAATTTTATAATTAGCTAAAATAATGGGGTGGGAGAGAGTTAAAAGAATTTTACTTTCCTTAAATACTTTACATCACAAATACATCCCTTTTCCCATGCTTCAGACTAACATTTTTTAAACAATGGCTCCAGGCATTATATGTATTGGGGCTGTAAAATGCTTCCCTTGTAATTTTCTTTTTGTTTCCAAAGCATTTTGCAAGGAGAAATATTTTAGAGTGGGAATATTCTGAGGAGATGAATAAGTCAAAAATTCAGATCCACAATACCTAAATAAGACTTGTGTAGCAAATGTCAGATACATAGCCCCAGATTTTTAAACGTGGAAGTGTTCACGAATGATTTAAGAATTTTCAGACACCAAAACTTTCTAATTAGCATGACACAAAATACTGCACTTAAATAGTTAATGATGAATAAATAATAATAGAAGTCTCATTAATGTAATAAAAAATAGAAAAAGCCTACAGGAAAAGAAATTAAGTTTAACTTTATCAATAACTTACAGCTACTGTGTTAAAATGTTATTCTCTTTCTTTTCCCCTTCGAAATATTAGTTAGTGTTGAAACTAGTTTTAAGAAAAGACTTTAAGAAAAGAAAAGTTTTTATCTATTAAATTTGCATTTAGAACTATTTGGCAATTGTACATAGAATTGCTATTCACTGCATATAGAGGAATGTAAAATTATTAAGCTTTCATCTAATAAAACTCAATAATTTTACATTCCTCTTATTCTGAGAACAGCATACTTAGAAAGCAACAATAATTGAAAGGAAAATATATAATTTCAAAATTTGTCCTTACACTTAATCTTGTACATAGACACCAGATGTGAAGAATAATATCTTTAAACTATATGCTTTAAATCTTACTTTTAAGTGCAAGACACAAAGAATAAATATCTATACCTTGTTATCCTCTTCTTTAATATCAAGGACTGTTTCAAACACAAAGACTTGTTGATTGTTTTTGACTGATAAACCAATAGGCATACATTTTTCAGATGATATTGAACTTGCTCGACCTTGAGAAAGTTTAGGAATTCGGTGAAAAGCAGCTGCAAAACACTGCAACAGTTTCACAACCTACAGAAGAAAGACAAACTTAAATATATCAAAGCAGATGTTACTTCATTAACATGTATGAATAATTTATAAGTGCAATTTAGCAATCTAAAAAATAAGTGAAACACAAATTTTATTAAAAATGAAGGCAAACTATAGCTTAAAAAGAAAAGCCCCTTAAATCACACATTAAAAACTCTTTCAGTAAATTGAAAAGCACATATTTTTCATTGTTCAATTGATTCATATTTATTTAATTATGGAAACATTGAATACAAAGTAAAATACATTCTTGAGGATTTATAAAATTGAAATTTCAATTATAAGTCACAAAATTTTACTCATAGTGAAAGAAAATGAGTGACTTGACTAAATTCCAAAGTGATAATATTGTTGGTGCACAATTCTCATCAAAACACTCTCTGAAAATCATAATTGTGGACAGAATTACAAAATGTAAATGACTTGTTTATTTTTTAAATGAAGTTATGATTTAGTCACAAAGAGTAACAAAAACTTACAGTTTCTGGGCTATCACATTTAAAGACATGGCAATGAAAAATTGAAGTTTCTGCTGTCTCTCCGTGACTGCAGGCAAATGCAAAGCATTCTTTTTCAGTCGTTTCTGGTCTACCACGTGCACAAAACAAAATACAATGGATTAAGAAGCTGGCTATTTCATTTGAACCATCTGAATCTAATAAACTGAAATAAGAAAAAGAATATAATACAAATAAGTAATTAGTGTAAACATATATACCTCTAAAAAAGCTTTTAAATTCATATAAATATTTCAATTCTTTATGATATTAATACTAAAACTAACAAACTGCTAGATTTCAGATGTGCCAAAAATAAATGCTGAATTGAATACTAGTAAATTTTAATGCCAGTTTGAAATGTCTCAGCTGCATACAGAACACACTTCAAAGTAAAATAACATTACAACAGCTATCAGCATTAAATATGCATTTAAATGAAAGATACAAGGAAATTAGATTTGCCGCACCTAAAATCTGCAATCTAATTGGAATCTTAGGTTTAATTTTTAATTTCATAACAAAATATTTCATCTAATTTCAACTGTAATTATAAACAACATTCAAAATTAAGTGAAATTTTGGTCATTAAAATAAATGGATGGCACAAGCAATTCAGCTCTGTCACAACTATAACCAGTCATTTGGATGATGTGGTATATTTCATGGCAAATTTCATAATACAAAAATTCATTGTTTTTGGTTATTATTTTTAATGGCTTGCTCATTAAAAGTAGTATTGAAAACTTAGATATGAATAACTTAAATACTATAACCTTTATGGACAATTAAAAAAAATAGATATAGGGTGATTCTAAATTGTTTTTACAAATTAAGAGGGTTGATAGTACTCATCCAGAGGAGCAATAATTACCATAGAACGTAGGATCGCATTCCATTCTGAGAGGCAGAAAAGAGGAATATTAGAATTCCAACCCGAACTTACAACAGTATTGGGAGAGTGAATGCACGAGACCAAAAGTTGCACAATCAGTTTAGTGAAAACTCACAGAGAGTGCACAAAATAGATAAAACCAAAAACATGTCATTCGAGAGTTAATTCAAGCTAAGACTTTAATGGCAAACACTCAAACTCACATCTTTGGTTCATAAGGTCTCAACCTTGCAAATGATTGCAACAAGTTAATTATCTAATCAAGGGCTGAATATTATCAAATAACTCATCTTCTGCTGTATGACGAGATGAGAATGAAAAGTTTATATAGTTTTCCGGCTGTCAGAACTTCATATCCACAGAAGGGCTCTTCAAGTAGAATGAGTGTAGCAAAGTAAGTCCAGGAGGACAGGATAGAAGATGGAGAAAGAGAAAAAAATTGCTACCTTGATAGTATCCAACCTACCTCGAGTTGGACTTAGTTCTCTAACAACTTTTCCTCTTTTGAATTCTGTTAATTACTCATTTCTCACATTTTGCAAAGATTTATGCTTCCCAAGTAAAATCAATTCAATGTACAGGGCTAACAAGAAATAAGTTTTCCACTTCAGAGGGTATTGGTTTAAATGAGACAAAATTTGAACTACAGATAATTCAAATGATGCTCTTGACACTTATTAAATAAAAAATTTAGTATAAAAATCCACCGTTAGGTGGTGCTAATATAAATGATATTTATTTGCATAGATTGAAAATGTGAAACATCATTTGTGTTATGATGCATGCTTATTAAAATTATTCTTGGGATAAAAAAGAAGGCAGTTTCTCTACGAGCATTAGTTATTTCTCTGCACATCATGTCTAAGTTGCAAGAAAAAGTGCTACTGGTAAAATAGTTCTACCACAACCAGCAAAACTCCTGTGCAGCTGTAAAAGAATTCCATCCTATAAAGCACATATGGTGATAAAGAAAGTTGAAACACCTGGGTAACTTGCCATTTTTCCAGGAAGAGGACAAAAGCAAATCCTGTCTTCTTATGGTATAAAAATGTGGCTACTGCAGTCACTAAAGCCAGCAGTCAGTTATTGCATGGTAGTGTAATTATGGCAGTTGTTTCCCGTGTATTAGATATGCAGCCTTCCTCTATATGAAAAATCTTACGAAGGATTTTGAATTTTCATTCCTACAAAATCAAGCTTGTGCACCTATTGCAAGACAGGAACTTGGAGGTTCGTAGAACTTTTGCACTTTAGTTCCTTGCTCGAATGGCTCACTTGACCATGGAACATTCCACAGATTGATGAAGCTCACTTTTTCCTCAATGGGCAAAATAAGACCCACAAGTGGTAAGACCCATTCAGGCATACGAAAACCCTCATGCTATCTAGGAACAATGTTTGCATTCCTAGTGGTTCTACGGTTACTTTTACCATTGGACCGTATTTTTTTAAAGAGAAACTGGAAGTGGAATTCAAACCTGTTCCATAACAGGATGATATCATGATATGCTGATGGATTTTGTAATCCCACAATTTCAACAGTGTAGATAGATGCCTTCAAGACATCATTTTCATGCAGGATGACACATCTCCTCATTTTGATTATCTTGTAAGGTAATTGCTAAGATAGCATTTCTCAGAAGAACAGGTTAACATCCAGCATTTTCCACTAGCATGGCCTCCTCATTCACCAGATATCACCCCCATGACCTTAGGTTATAGGGTTACCTGAAAGAAAATATCTACCAAGAAATGACAGGCTTCCAGGACATGTTCTTGATATTTCGGCAGCTTCATTCCAGTCAGCTATGAAAAACATGGTTCTGCAATTAATGTGCATTGCTGAACATAAAAAGAAACACATTAAGCAATTATAATGCTACTTTTTTATATTAAACACATAAAGCACATTAAATGTTCTATATGCATTACAGTATCTGCTATCAGAAGATTTCTGGACTAAAAATTTTTATTTAATAAATGTCAAGCACATCATTTGAATAACCTGTAGTTCAAATTTTATCTCATTTGGACCATTAGAACACATTCTACAGCCCACTGAAGTGGAAATTTATTTCTTGCTAACCCTGTACTTATGCACTCTTTGTGACCTATTTTTCACTCTTTTATATTTATTGTTATCAATACTGCAAGCACTACTATCCGTCAATATTGCAAGCACTACCTATTCACATACTGCAACTAAATTTAATCATATTCTATGTGATAAAGAACCCAAAATCTGCCAAATTTCTGGTCAGTCCAGTAATTGTGGTTTCATCAAACTGCAGTACAGAATAATAACCTTTGGAATAATACACAAGTATTTAAAATTTTATTTACATATAGCACTTACATGACTGATCCCTCTGAATGACTAGGAACTGAGAGAGTTATTTCTATGGCCTGCTCCAATGCTTGTTCATTAAGAATAGCCATATTCCTCTGAATTTCTTTTTCACTTCTTGGAGCATTTATTACAGCACATCCTAAATATGTAATGTGTGGAAAAAGTGAACAATCTGTTTCAGCAAACTGGAGAGATGAAGATCGGGAAAGACTAACTAAAAAAAAAGAAATAGCAAACATATTTGCACATTCTATTATTCTATTTTACAGAAAATGAAGATAAATTTGAATTGCATTTGCACTAAAACTTTTAGTTATGTTGCATAAAACGATCCTAAAACTTTTAATAATGTTGGAAAAAATCCAGAAAAACATATTTCACTGAAATAAGTACTATTTAATACATGAATATTTTGAGTTAAACAGGGTTCGTACACATTTCTACACACGGAAATTAAGTACTTTTAAGGACTTTTAAGGACCATTAATGAAAAAAATTAAGGACCTATGAGCAAATGGGAACAGTAAATTCAATTAAAAATATTATATCTGTGCCTGAATGTGAATAGGATGCATTATTATTAAACATAACTTAATTGACACAATTATTAATACGTTTGAGAATAAAATTAATTTTATGAAATTTATCAAGTAGCATTTAATATTTTACACTCATAATAACTGGACATATTTGAAAGAAGATAAGTGATATTTTAGTTACGTTTTACTAACAGTTAGCTTTTTTTTTTTTTAATGTCTCATTTTGTCACATATTTGCTCAGTCTAGAGGTTTAGTAAATAGCAAGCAGATTTTATGTCAAGCATTATAGGTTAAAATGAGCATTAAAATCATAATCAGCATGATTCATTACAAAAGACTGGCTGTTGTCACCACTCCTGCTTGTCTATAGAGAAACCTGCTGATCAGAACAAACCTGAAAGGCCTGATGTAGGCACAGTTAAGCAAGTCTTGAAAGTTAACTGACCTCTGTCTGACGCTGTTAGTGTCGTAGCTTCATGTAGAGTTCCAGGGGTTGTAACTCAGTTAATATACTTTAAGGTTAAGCCACTAAAGCATTAGTGGTGATAAGTTGTTTTGCATTAAGTCTTACTAGATGCAAAGAATAAGTTTCACATGAAATTTGATATTTTTGTATTTTATCTTGTGACCACAGTAAAAGTTAACACGTTGAGCCCGGCGCCGAATTTGCTGTGCTTTCCGTTCAGCCGGCAGCGAGCGATCAAGTGGTGCAATATTGCTGACTTAAAAATTATTCATAAATTATACAAAAAGGAAGGAGATGCACATTAAGTCTAAAAGTATTGTTCGAAATGTTATGATGACTATTCAAAACTATTTGGATGCAAGATAGCCAAAAAATGTTACCAAAATAGTTGTTTCGTATTGTAATATATGTAAAGCTAAGCCGCATTTTTGTTTAGACTGATTCAATAAATTTCATTAAAACTACATTTGATCACATTTCATTGAGACTATACTTATTTGTTAACTTTAATACTGTCGTCCCGTGGACCGACGCCAGCCAAACGAAAATTCCATTACCTGTCCCCAGGGACCGATGCCAGGCTCAGTTTGTTAACGAAAGGCAGTAACTTCCTTTAATAGAGAGAGATAATTTTTAAGGGAATGCTTTTAGTTATAATTAAATTAGGTATTAGATAACCTTAGTCATTATGGATTTACATGGCCTCTATTAAATTAAATTTATTTTTTAATAATATTTGTAAAAAAAAAAACCCTATTAATATCACAATCTCATAAAATTTCACAGTTTAAAATACATGCAATTTATAACATTGATTTTTAAACAATATTAGGATAATTACACATTAAAAACTACAAAACATAAAACTCAACAAAATAATTATGCCTCTTTTTAATTTGAAGGCCTGCCCAGACATTTTGGCTAATTTATATAGATTTCATTCTCCTTAAGCATGTTTTCTAACAATTAGAAATTTGTCTCAATACGCAAAACAGTGTTCTTAGTTTCTGCGTGTTCTATCTCCTAACCGCCAACCTCTCCACAATGTGCTACCTACGAGAGTTTACTTGATCTGGTAAAAGTTAAATAGTCCTCCCCCCCTCTCCCTCCGACAGACGTGAAACAAATTATCACTATGCCTGAAAGTAACTATAAATCAGATAATAAATTTAAATAAAGGTTTAAATAAGCTTCTTATTCAAAAAGAACTCGGAACATATAGGCATGTTCTTATGCTAACAAAATAAAATACAGTTTGTGGTGATATAATTAAACAAGAAGAGTGAAATTCAAACTAAAAATATGGACTGGTGTTCAAAAATTGTACAATTTAATTTCAATTTAATCTGGTTCAGTAACTCTATGATCACAATAAACTCAAATGTCAGCAGCAGTAATGGAAAGACTAATAATTACAAATCATCAGAGCTAACAGGAACTAATGCAGGGAGCAAGTGGAGTTCAGAAACACTCGTCTTAAACTCCAAAAACCTCAGTTTAAAAACTGTCTAAGTGATTTGCATTCTGATAAGGAAATAGAAATAGGAAATTATAGTAAAGGCTGAAACTGTAAACAACTGGGTAATTTACATAATAATAACTGTACATATCTTTGAAGAATAATTTTCTTTCTCTTTACATATTTAGTTTCTTTTTTCAACATGTTTCCTTTTTCACTTTAAATTTTTTAGATTTAATTAGACTTCTGTTATTCTAAAAGACTAAATGCATTTAGAATGTATGGAAAAAGCTGCGAATTTTATTTCTTTAGTAATACAAACATTCAGAAGAAATATGAAATACATATGGTAAGGTCTGGTAACAGAGCTGGTGTGGCATAATTTTTAGAATTTTGGGACACACCGAGCAAAAACAATCTAGAAATGGCAAAACTGTTAGAATTTAGAGCAGGCATTGAAAGCAGAATTTACAAAGGCACCAGGCATCAGAATTTAGGATCCACAGAGACTGCATCAGGTGGCAAAATGCCTAGCGACAGCTCTGTGTATGACGCATTGAGACATTATAGATGAATCTTTTGAATTGTCAGTTTTCAATTTCTTTATTAATAAAAAAATTCCTTTCTATAATGCCTGTTCATATGATAAGATTAGAAGTACTTTTGATATTTTCCATTCTTGTATCTAGTGAAAAGTAGAGAAAATAAAAGGAAGATAAAAATCTTAAGCGATTCTAAAAATCAGAAGTAAAACATTAAACTATTATGTTTTCATTGTTCTTCTAGATGTTCTCCAAAATGTAAGAAACTGTGCGTTACTACCATGGAGACATTTTTCTGGAACTTTCAGAATCGTGGGTCTATAAATTTGCCTTGAAATCTTTGTAAACTTTCCAAGCTTCAATGTCTAAAATCCTAAAGAAAAATTACCCCTACCAATTCTGTAACAGCAAAATTCCAGAAATGTTTTTATAAAAAATCTGAGGAAAAAAGTGTGAAATTAATTTTATAGAGAAAACTGATGCATATTCTGAGAATTCTGATCATTCTGAGAAATGGGATAAATTCTTACCATGAAAAAATTAAAAAGACATTTTTAATTAATCACACAGCAATTTTGCTTTTGCTAAAAACTGTTTCGTAAACTTCATGCTTTATAGCATTATTACTTGCTTATTTTTCAGATTCAAAAAATTGTATAATATGTGGCCAAAATGGAACTTTATAATATGACAGTGAAAAATAAAAATGCTTTTTTTAATGTTATTTCTTAAATATAATTCCAATATATTACCATTATTTTAATGAAATTTATCAATGTTAGAATGTTCTAAAAATACTGTCAAAAAATTCCCAGATCTTGGAATTAAAAATTTTCGATAGAAACCGATCTTAAAATCGCCAAGTTTAGAACCATTTTAATAAAAGAACTCACATTCCCAAAAGCGGAAAGTTGTTTGAGAGCTCTTCATTACAAAAAATGAAATAATTTTGAAATGCTTATGTTTCACTTCTTGCTCAGAAACTCGAGTATTCCACCATTATTTATATTACAAATAGGAACAAATTATAACTCATGAACCCATTAAAAAAATAGCCATATTTGTGAGTGAATCACCAAAAATATTCCTGCAAAATGCTAATTCACACCCAAAATGGCAGTCGTAAAAACAGACAGAAATTTCAGATGATTAAAATTAAGGACCTTCTGCCGATTTTAGCCAAATTTAAGGACTTTTAAGGACAAAAAATCGATTCCAAAAAACTTAAGGACTTCTAAGGACTTTTAAGGACCGTACGAACCCTGGTTAAAGCAATGATATAGCTGTCTCATTTTAATATTTTAACTGCATAATGAATGACATTAAAAATTTTAAAAAGGCATTAAAAATTTATACATTCCAAGATTTACCAATACGTTTATTTTATAAACAAAGCACATAATATCTACACAGACCATAAATCAGTATTTGCAAAGTTTCAGATCTTGCTGTTTTAAGCAATCTTGGATTTCAAATTTCTAATTTAGCAAAATACAGGTAATAATTAACACGTTGACTGCTGTGGGGGGGTTACCGGTGGTCAGCACTCAACTTGGCTACAGCACTGTGAGGACCACCGGTGACCAACAAAGCGACCAATAGTAAAAAAACATGATTAGAGAAAATATCGGTAATGACAAATTTTTAAATAATACCATGTTACTATAGTGGTTTGAAGAATAATAAACTGCAAAAATTTAAATAATAAATCACAAAAATCGTCTACAGTGCCTTGGGAGTTACTGCCGATACCCACCACAAAAAATGTATTACCATCTTCCAGACATGCTTGATTGGTGAAAGGTCTGTTAAACTTGCTGGCCATGGAAGAGTATCAACCACACGGAGACAGTTTAGAAGTATGCAAGCAGCATGTGGCCTAGCATTATCTTGTTGGAAAATGGCCCAAGGATAACGTGCCATGAAGGGTAATGCAACCGGCTGCATCATCAACATATTGTTGAACTGTTAAAGATGTACGGAGGATGACTAAAGACGACCTGCTGTCATAGAAAATAGCGGCCCCACACCATCACACCAGGTTTATGTCTGTATGCCTTTGTAAAACAAATCTAGAAATGGCAAAACTTTTAGAATTTAGAGCAGGCATTGAAAGCAGAATTTACAAAGGCACCAGGCATCAGAATTTAGGATCCACAGAGACTGCATCAGGTGGCAAAATGCCTAGCGACAGCTCTGTGTATGACGCATTGAGACATTATAGATGAATCTTTTGAATTGTCAGTTTTCAATTTCTTTATTAATAAAAAAATTCCTTTCTATAATGCCTGTTCATATGATAAGATTAGAAGTACTTTTGATATTTTCCATTCTTGTATCTAGTGAAAAGTAGAGAAAATAAAAAGGAAGATAAAAATCTTAAGCGATTCTAAAAATCAGAAGTAAAACATTCAACTATTATGTTTTCATTGTTCTTCTAGATGTTCTCCAAAATGTAAGAAACTGTGCGTTACTACCATGGAGACATTTTTCTGGAACTTTCAGAATCGTGGGTCTATAAATTTGCCTTGAAATCTTTCTAAACTTTTGGGACTGATTGGGACTGCTGGCCCCCGTCCTCGCCAGACACAAACACGGTGGTCATCTGCTTCAAGATTGAAGCCGGAATCATCGCTGAACACTATACATTGATAGCAACCATGATGATCGTCTGCGACACCACTCTAGACAACATCGTGTGTTGTGGGGTCTGTAAGCATAACCCCAACTCAGACAAGCACTGTGAGATGTTGGACGGTACCACGGAAGGTGTAGACGTGGCTGTAGTGCGTTCAATAGTCGACAATGATACCGCTGGGGTGGTTCGGGCCTGGCGAACAATCATCCTATCTTGCCTCGCATTTTTGCACACTGGCCTTTCAGAGCCTTCATTTCGTTGGCAATTTCCTTATAGTAACCATTGCTGCCAACAACTCTGCACAGAAGTGTCTGACCGCTGCAGGTGGCAGCCTATTGCTCGGTATGGCAATTCAGCTTCACGCAACCCTACAATGCGATCACGATCAAAGTCATTTAGTTGTCCGTAAGGTTTTCGATATCATCCTAATGGCATCTTCATTTGCTTCTTTACGGAACTACAATGGCAGCAACAAAAAAAGATACATATTTCGCCTCTGTTACCTGTTTTATGCTTTGAAAATTGCACACTAGAAACACGCGCTGTGATCGCAATTCCTGAAACTTTGATCATTTGCCTGTTCAACCAAGATGTTTTTGCATACTGAATTTCATCATGATTGCAAAAGTCCTTCTTGGTGCTTCGATTTTTTTGCAAAAGAGTGTATTTCAACATAATATACATTGCATAATAAAAAATCTATGTTGGTGCCATGGGCAAACTATGTAAAATGCACCCAGCAGTCAATGTGTTAAAGAACCCTATTTCAAAGCTGCCTACAAGTGCAACCACTGATCAGAAACCTGTGAAATTTTGTGGTGGGCTTAATGAAGGGATGAGAATGCCTTTCAGGGGGGGGATAGTTACAAATAGTGTTACCAGAGGATGTTTTACTTTGAAAACCTGTAGTAGAATGTTATTCTTTTGCCGATGTCATGTAACGGTAGTTAAAAAAACTTAGAAACCTTCGTGGACACTTCATTTTCATTGTGCTTGTTGCTCACAATGACGGTAAGTTTATGAGATTGTGTTTGTGACCAACATTTAAAATTGAGAAGTAAATGCACCACACAGAATGTTTCCCCTCTAGAAGCCAGAGAAAAATTATTAGATATAAATCGATTTAGTAATTTAACTAAATTAAAGTAAATGCATCATACAGAATGTCTCCCCTCTAGAATCCAAAGAAAAGTTATTAGACATACATCAATTTAGTAATTTAACTAAATTATCTTACATTCTAAGATATGTATTCAATGCTAGAAATTCTGCTAAGCGAAAGGAAGCACTTCATGCCAAGGAATTCTTGGATTCGGGATGCCAAAGCACAATTTTAAGGTTCTGAAATACTGAATTTGACAAGTAATCTTGAAGCTGATTCCAGTATTTATACTTTAACACCCTTTTTGGACTCAACACAAAGTAAAAAATGAGAGAGTTAAGCATGGTTGCGTTACCATGACTTTAGCGTAAGTACGAAAAATACTGGATTCCTAAGGGTCAATAAATGATAAACAGAGTTATCAAAAAATATTTGATACGTAAAAAGTATGCTGTGAAACCAGTGGCCCAGATAACAGCTCCACTTCCCAAAGATCGATTTTCAGATATGTTTCCATTTATCATCTCCAGAGTTTATTTTGTGGGCCCTATTTACATAAAGGGTTCAAGAAACTGGAAAATCTTAATCACATTATTCACACGTGCAGTAACAAGGGCACTTCACTTAGAACCTATGACATAACTCTTGGCAGGGGGGATAAAAAATTAAATGGCCTTTAAAATATCTGTTGCCAAAAGAGGAAATTGCTATGTAATTTATTTTAATAATGTTAAAAAGTCATTTAAGAAAGCCAATTTAAGCTACAACACTTTTAGAAAATTTTAAAGCATTCTACATTTTAAAATTTCATTGCCACTCAAGGTATTCTTGGAAATTCATGGTTGAACGAGCCCCGCAGTGGGGAGGTTTCTATAAGCATCTCATAAATTCTGTAAAAGTTCTGCTGAGGAAAATACTTGGAACAGTACTCCTCACATTTGAAGAACTAACAACAGTATGGCAGAATAGAAATTATTTTGAATATGAGAACTTTGGTGTATGTAAACAATGACATAAATGAACCCAAACCACTAACAACATTCCACTTTCTTAATTTTGAGAAAAAGATCTAAAATATCACATGAAATGTCAATAGAATTTTATGTTTTTATTCTACTTGCATTTATGACCAAAAAACCACAGAACTTTCTAAATGACATAATAAGAGCCATTTCCACTGGGGTTTACCGGAGCTATTAGAGTCAGTTCCATGTGTTGACTAGCTTCCGCTATGCCTGCACAGTTCAGATTTTTCAACTTGCTGCCCTATGGGAAAAACTGGTTTTGAAGATGAGTTGGATATATCAGTTGTCTCTGTTAGCTCAGATAACTGTTAAACACCAGGCGTCTCCATCTTCCATCACCTGTTAGCTCAGATAAACCCCAGTGGGAATGGCCCTATAGATGTTGCATGTGACCATAATACTCTCCGACAGACACTGAAATTAAGACACAATAACACGCCGAATAAATACTGATTCAGAAGTCAAAACAACAAAAATCAGCGTTAATTCACAAAATTTTCACAGGACTAGTTTCGATGGTTTTACCGAACCATCATCTTCAGCTGCAAAACCGCAAATGATCACCGCAAACCGCAAATCATTTGCGGTTTTGCAGCTGAAGATGATGGTTCGGTAAACCATCGAAACTAGTCCTGTGAAAATTTTGTGAATTAACGCTGATTTTTGTTGTTTGACTTCTGAATCAGACACTGAAATGTTAGACCAACAGACACTGCACAGAAAGGACATGATTGTTGAAGCACATTTATCTACAAAACGGCAAAAATTTTAGGGGGAGTAAGGCACACAAAATCAGCCAATATGATGGCATAAATGAAAGATGGTGTTTTTTAAAGCACAGCAGAAGACAAAAGACAAAACTGACTGCTACGAATACACTGATATTGAAAGCATAGTGACCCAAATGCATAAGCAATCATTATCCAATATAACATCCAAAATGACTATTCATCTGCAGGATTCCATTTCAACCTAAAGTGTTAAAAGGTAATAACTATGAACATTTAAGGAACAATGGCTAATCTGTAAACTATTGGTAACATCATGTAATGTTTTTAAGTGAATTAATAAGAGCTTACAGAAGTGGGCCCCACAGCAAAGGGAAAAAAAAAATAATAATAATAATAATAATAATCTGGTCTGATGAATCAGCACCCTATTTAAAAACTACCAGATGGGTTTATGTCTGGAGATAGACTCAGAACTGTTTACATCTACTTGTCGGTTGCCCACTATGAAGCATGAAGGTAGCTCTTTGTAGAAATGGAGTGCAGTAGCTTGGCCTGGTCTTGGCCCACTTGTTAACACTGCACAGACAGATCAAAGACATTCAGTATCGTAGTAGATAATGTCCATTCTTTTGTCTACACTTTTTCCTGGAGAGTGGCTAGTTTTTCAAGATGACAACGCTCCTATCTGGAATGGCATGTTTAAACATGGTTCAAAGAGTATGATGATAAAATAGGACACAGAGCCTGGTCTCCTTACTTTTAGTATTTGGAATCAAACTTCATGCTTGAATTTCACTTTCAAATACATTTTTAGGATTAGAGACTGCGGTACAGGAGGAATAGCTTCATATTTCCTTAAATGTTATGCACTTAATATATTCTCCCACGTCATACAGAATGTCTACTTCAGCAAAAAAGTGGTCCAACCTCCTATTAATGAAGATTTTCCGTTATTTTATATGTATTTATAGTGTTTTCCATGGGTATATTTTTCATTTTAAGCTGTACATATTAAAAAAATATGGTTTCCTAAAGGGTATTTTAAGGAAGAAAATATTTCACAGAGTCAATATGGTAATACTTTTTTCCAATTAAAATTAATCCATTAAGTAAATGCAGAGTATGATTTCCTAAATGACAATTTGATGTTTATAAGCATGCATCATATGAAAGCAGAATAAAAAATTAATAGGATAGTCATAGAAGTAAATGTTAATAATAAAATTAACATTTACTTCTATGACACTACAGTGAAATTTTTATATAAATATTTTATGGTTAACAACATATGTAGTGCAAATGAAATACACAGATAAATACATACTTTCATCTAAAGAACTTAAAGATTGTGTGATTCCTATATTTGTGCTTGTGACTGCTGACTCTGGAGATTTTATACCTTCACTTCCAGATTTACAAATAGCAGAATCAACTTGAGTTGCTTGTTCAGGGGTTTGTGGAATGAGAAGAGCTAAAGGATGATCTGTAACTAGCTCTCCTTTTAACTGCTTTTCAATACGATTGCTCTTCTCAATGCCCTTTTGGTCCTTGTCAGGAATACTAACATTAGAATTCTAGAATAAAAATGCAAATTAAAAGAGTAAAACAAAACATCCTCATCACATAAGTAATAATCATATAAATAAATTTTTGCAAACAGATAATATATTGATTGTCACAACTCAATGTTTAATGAGCCTCTAATCCCCTAAAAAAACATGGAGAGAAGTAAATACAGGTGATGGTGAAAATATCTGATTTTAATAAAAGTTTCCCACAATATCGCCTGTGCAAACAGTTAGCATTAGCGTGTTTAATTATATTCTGTCAAACGATTTCTGGCATTTGAAAGAAAGAGACTTGCTTCAGAACACTGTTTCATGAAATTTGTAAAAAAAAAAAAAAAAAAAAAAATATCGTTAAGTACAAGGTATCTGAAATGGAACTGTCACGCTACCAGATTAGAACCATCATTTACTTCTAGTTCTGTTGCAAAAACCAGCTACAGAATGTCACCAAATCATATGCACAACTTTAGGTACTAATGTTGTATCATATGAAACTGTCAAGATTTTGTACTGAAAGTTAAAAAATAAGGACTATGGCATTCAAGAAACAGAGTGCTCTGGCTGGCTAGCTGATGCTGATGAGGTCCGCCTGTGAGAACTTGTGAAAGAAGATCAGTATGCAACCACTTGAGAGCTTGCTAAGGTTTTAGACATTAGTGCCATGTCAATTAGTTGCGCTATGCATCACATACACTTGACGTACAAGTTCATGAGCAGACTCAAGCAGATAGAGACAGACATGTTCAGGCCTGCACTAATCTATTAAAATATCAATGCACAGACAAAATTCTGAACCAAATTGTCACTTGTGATGAAAAGTGGATTTCAACAACGCAGGGCAAAAAGGGGGTTGGTTTACACCTGGTGAGCCCATAAGCAGTGTCTCAAAATGCAATTTGACTGACAAAAAGATCATGTTTCGTATCTGGTAGGATTACCATGGTATTATCCAGAAAGAGTATCTGGAAAAAGGTGACAGGTGAGAGCAGGGTCCGGACACCCAGGAGGCTTTCACTAAATGCAAAACTCTTGACAGTAAGGTGTACAGCGAAATGCTAGTCGGTGTTGATGCTGATATAATGAAAACATGGCAAATTGAGTTCCGGCACAAAAGGTAATGTCCCATCAAGATAATGCAAGACCACATGTGTCTGCATTCAGTGGTTGGACTCTGTACAGACTCAAATGGGATCTTTTGCCACACCTACCATATAGCCCCAACATCGCTTCTTTTTTGTGATACCTAAAAAGTTGCTAAAAAATGCGATATAAGATGACTGAAAAGTACATTTTCCCTCTCAGTTAAACAATTTTTTTTTTTTTTTTTTTTTTTTTTTAATTTCAGCACTTTCTGCCTAATTCCACCTACATTTTCCCCTCTTCTTTCTCATACATACATCTTGAATACAAATTTTTCATTCTGGGTTTTATTTGTCATATTCAGTACTTCTGGGAAAAATTTGTTCGATTTTATTCTTTGTGCTAACAGAAATTAAATCATGTAGCTGACACACCTGATACAGTTATCTCCAAACAAATTTCCTACTCGCATAATCACGATTTTTAGTTATTAACATTACATTTAAGAAATATACATTCTAAGCAATGCATAATTCCACTGTATGAAAATTAGCACATTCATAATTCTTCAATATGCCATTAAGAAATAAAAAGAAAGGCAATGACAGTCGTTAGAGTGATGAAATAAGCATACTTTTTGTTTCCCCAAATTACCTTACTAAAAGGATAGCTTTCGTTTCCCTGTTTCTCAAATCCCCAGATCTTTGACTAAATATGTGGGGAGAAGTGTGAGGAAGAAAGCTAAGAAACAAATCAATGGAGAACATGTGAAAACACACGAAAGAAGCAGCAGCTAAGAGACAAACGGTATGATTATACATGCAATATTACTACATAACCGCAGTAATATGACAGACATTTATAAACAACAGATAATATGACAGACATTTATAAGCAAACGAAAACCACTTATATCAGATAATATGACAGACATTTATGAGCAAATGAAAACCACTTATATCAGATAATATGTATGAACATTAACACCCAAATGTACAATATCTTTTTCAGGTACTAGTCCGTTTTGAGGATCGTAAAAAATCGCCACACTATTGTTGATGCCAGTGCTGCCAAAAATAATTACGGCAACCCTAAGGCAAGAAAGGAAGTATAATAGTAAATAACTATCTAAGATTATTGTTTTAATTTAGATGAAAGGTTAATTTCATATAATACTTTTTATTATTATAATTTATATAAAAAAGGCTAAACATAACTGAATGGAAGCATAAGAGTAAATAACTATTTCAGATCATTATTATAATTTATATAAAAAATTCTAAACATAATTGAATGGATTCCTGCATTGTTATTTCGCTACCGAGTTACTGCTAAAGAATAATTTCATCGTTCAAACATAATTTTATATAATGAATGATATCTTTTCTTTGAAAAAATTCTATTGCAGACTTTTCATCATAGGCAATTCCCAAATTGTTAAATCCATAGGATATCAAAAAAGGATTTAAATATTAAACTAGTATTTCAATGGCATCTTAAGAAATATAGAACTATCTAAATTTACGTAATTTGAAACGCTAGATTTGGTGCACTGTTGAATGGGCTTGTTTGCTAGATTTGGCACTTTTGAGCATACATTTTTGCTGCAATTTTTTTACGGTCCTCAAAACGGAATAGAACCCTTTTTCACATAGCCTATTATTGAAATCAAAACCTTAAACATTTAAATGCATTGGTAATACAGAATTTGCAATGCAGATAGATATATTATAAATTTAATGTACAAAATAGCATTGAGAATGACTAGTGAAGAAATTGGATATCTCTTCAAGATCATAAAAAGGGCATCTAATAAAGACGGCAATAAATGGTGTTACTGATGAAACATTACAGATATATATATATATTAAAAAATGATACATAAAAATGCAAAATGGTACTGTTTGATTATCTGCACTCCTAATTAAATATTGTCAATTCAGTGATATTGTAAATTGGCGGAAAATACTGGTTTGGTTAATTTTACGGTTCACAGATATTGCCCCATTCATAAAATAATAATAATAAATAGTATTTTAAAAGAAATAAGAAATTTTATAACAAAAAGAAATGTCTGCAAGGCTCATATTTACTTTCATATAACATGTGAATACTGCTTAGTGAAATGATATTTCTTAGAAAAATATTACTGTTATGAAAGAAGGAATTAATACCTTTGTTAATTACTTAATTAGCTGATGCCAACCCACATAAAAATTTCTGAACTTTGAATCTAGAATCTAAATCTGATGCCCGATCTTAGAAACTAATTTATTCCAAAAAAATTTTTAACTACACTAAAGTGTTCATGCTTTTCTAGTATCCTGGCATTATAATCAAAATATATTTTAAATAATAATTTATTTCTAGAATTCTCAAGTTTAAATTAAAGCTATCTTCTTAATTTGTTAATATGTCTACTTTGAAAATACACGATTTATATGAAAATATCTATACACATCATTTGCCAAATACTAAAGATAGCATATTTCTGCATAAATATTAAATCATATTCCTTGAAATACAAAACACAAATACCTTAACCCAGCAGACAAGAATTATTAACACATATACAACAATAATTTGTATTTCAAAACATGTCAGTTCATATTCCACAATTAAATCTGACATTCCCAAACTAATATGCTTACAGCCACATATAGATAGTTTGAAACTGGCTGATATTTAATATTTACCCAGGTTCTTTCATAAAGCCCACGGCTTCCCTAAGGATTATGGATGCTATAACATAGTAGACCACTAATAAAAACCAAAGTTTAACATTTAAACCACTAATAAAAATAAAAATTCAGCATTTAAACACATAGATTAATATAAAGTCTACAAGAAAGTTCTGTCTGATAATGTTATTTGAAGTTTTGACACATACGCAGGTGTTTGTATGGCTGTCTCTATCACTGCATTTATAAACATCTCTAAATTAACTGAAAGAACAGTGTCTCATGTCATTATTAAGTGAGTTGAAGCATGTAAACATGGCTATGGATTAGGTTCATTTATGACAATCTATTTTCTACTAGCCAGACTACCACACACAGGTAATTCTTTGATATTTAAGTCAGTCTAAATTCTTTTCACTATTTATGTCAAAAAAGGATTACAATCCTAAACATATATAAATTATCAAATTACTGTATGAAATTTCCCTTCCCTTAAAATATCACTTTACAAATTATTTTCAAAGCATTCCATTAGCTAGAATACATATTATAATTAATTATCAAATTACTATAAGACATTACAGTTACTGAATTCCCTTTTTATAAAATACTTGAATTCATTTGAGCATATACAAGTCTGATCACTTAGTTAACCATTAATTTCAATAGTTGGCTTAAAAATCTTTTTAGACATTAAATACATTTTCCATCAATATTTATACTTTTAACATTAAATTACAATTAAAATAAATTAATAATAAAATAGATGTGTAAACAACAATAAAAGAAACTCGTGATAGGAGTCCATGATTAATACAGGCTTAAATGTTCTTGGCCTGAAAGCATGCCTTAGGCCTGTCAGAAATCCCTGAATGTAAGAATGCAATTGCTCACTGCTATATTAAAATTTTGCACACAATATTAAATTCTTGTGCTAAATTTTTCCATCTCATACATAACTTTTGAAGAAAAGGCAATGTGGAGATACCAGAGTCAAAAGATGTGCCTAACAATTGAATCTTAAAGCATCGAGACCAGGTTGACTTATTTCTCTCTTTAGTGAGAGCCTTTCTCTTATTAACTACCCACTTAGCACTTTCCTTCCAAGCGACAAAGCAAACTGGGCTATTTTGAGTTTTTCTCCCAATTTAAGCTATGTTCCAATCACTTTCCACATTTTAAGCCATACCACCACAGCTTTTCTTAAAGCTTTTGGGTTGCAGAGAGCTTTCTCCATTTCTTATTTCAGAGCCAAAACCCAAAACAAATCTGATTCTTTCTGTCCTTGCAACTCTTGAAGAAAACTGTAACTTCACCTCTTATTAATAATTGGTTTCTTTTACAAAACTAAAATTCTCCCTTAAACAATAACATAGTTTTAACCAACCAAAGCAAGCAATAAAGGTACTTATCCTGGTCAACCGTAAAAGTTTGCTACTATTGAGTCATGAAAGTTAGCAGAGCTTCCATCACAGTTATGCTAATCATTCCTGTGCACTGAGCCATACATTTTTAATTTATTAATAAAACATTTGTCAGTCTCTCTGCACAATCCCCAAAATGGCCCACTGCTGTAGTAATGTTCAACCAGATTTGTTTTTCACTCTGCAAATAAGTTTTTCTGATTTCTACTAAATAAGGTTTTCTGATTTCTACCATTTTGTTAGGCTCTCTGACTTTACAGGAAGCTAAGAACACTAAGAGTAAAAATTTCTTGAAGGTGATTGTTTCAATCTATCACTGTTTTGCCAACCATATCCAGCTATTTTCCACCTTGAATGGAAGTTAATTCTCTCAAACAACTGTAAATAAACTGCACCATTCAGAAGCAAGAAGTCACAAATGTGATTCTACAAGCCTCGAAGTCATTTTTTTCAAACCGCAAGGGAAAAACACTCAGATAATAGCTAATTCATATCTGTGTCTTTAAAAACAAAAGGCAGCTTACTGAGAATCTATTGAAGCTACATCAAAGGAGAGTGCAGACATTATGAGTGTGCTGTGACATCACATTTATCCACATCTGGCACAAAATCGTGCTGCTTGGGGACAGTTTCACAGTCGATGGGATAATACCTTAAGCAGCACAATAAATTACCTGATATTCACATACAGTGGGAATCTAATTCTATGGAAAGTTTAAAACATCTTGTTAGCATAAAAAACTAAGAACTTTTATCAAAAGCCACTAGCTGGTACTTAATTGATGGAAAAATTCTTTTCTCACAGCTATAGTTAAGAAATGCATCACATTGAAACTTTCGTTCTGACCAGTTCAAATACCTACAGAAGCCTAAACCTTAACTCCCTAATTTAATTGCTCATCAAGGTGGAAAAATTGTTTTCTCAAACAGTTAAAACTACGACTGTCTTTTGCTTAAAGACACTGGCCAAAGAAAATGTATCACATTTCATTTCCCCAAACCAGTTATTTGTTTAGATGCTTTTCCTTGCCTTTTCTTTAACCTTCAAGTTAAATTCTTGAGCTTTAAGAGCATTACCATCAGGATTAAACAATTAAAGATTATTAGAAGTCTACATTTTAAAATTCTTAAATATCAGCGATATTAAAATTACAGTCATTAACATAACACTGATGGTTAATATACAACATGCAGTTTCACAGGTATTCAAACACATAGCATGCTAGTGTCATGAGTATACAAAAAGCAAATAAAAAACATGGGAATTCCATTGCATGTTGAAACAGAGAGTATGTATAATCAGTGAGTAACTGTCAAAAAATTCATTTGTCACTTAAAAAGCTGAGAGAATCCGCTTAAAAACAAATTGAAATTTAGAAAAAAAAAAAGAAAAAGAAAAAGAAAAAAAAAAAGAGAGAATTTTTAAACTAACTAAATGAATTCTTATAAAATATCTGTATACTACATACACATATGTACTTTTTTAAATCATATTTACAACCTATAAACACTATTTGGTACTGACGTAGTATGTGGTTTATCATTTTTGCGATCCTGCTGACAGCAATAATACTCAAATATCCAAATCGTGTGAGCAGATTTTGAAACTTAAGATTCTACATAACATGCAGAATATCACATCATAAATGCTTCCATGTTATCTCGCAGAAGCATGGTGGAGATGTATTAATGAAAGTGGTGACTATTTTTTGATAAAGCTGCATGATAAAGCTGCATTTGTAGTGTATATGTCTAAAAGACTCATAAAAACAGCCATTTTAAGAACACCTGGGTTTGTTTTGCAACAATGCAAGGAAGTTAAATTTAATGGAATTAAAAATTTAACAAGTTATTAAATTAATCATTTCCATTTAAGTATCCTTAATTTATTTTCATATTTAAAACAGCATTTTAATAATCCTCGAATAACTAACCAACTTAAACAAGTAGATCATATACTACACTAAGAATTACTATTTCATATGCATTTTTAGATTAACCAGCCTTTCATTTATCCAACTTGAGAAGCAATCCTATAAAGACTAATTAATCATCAAACTCAAAATTTGCCAATGCACTATGTACTAAAATCATAAACATTCCAATTTTTATTTATTTATTTTTTTCAGAGGGTGGAAGCAGAAATAGTTTGATGCTTCAGAAGAGACATGAAGAGTGAAAAGGACTGCTCTTTAACATATTTATCATGCATAATTTTTATACATTGAAAAAAGAATAATTCAGAGTTCATACTGAAGTCTTACCTAATTACAAAATTTTCAGCTTATTTACACAATATAATAATTAAATTCAATTACCAATACAGATGGCATAATATTAGAACTTTTAGTAGGCATTTCAAGCACTTTTCGGTTTTTCTCATCTACTTTTGTATTCCCAGTTTCTGAACCACATACTATTTCAAACTCTTCACTGGTAGACAAGGATTCTGAACTCTGCTCTGCATCATCAGCCATGACAACTATTTAATAATAATAATCAGCAGTTTAAAAGTATAATATTAAAAAGTAAAAAACAAAAAATTAAGATAATTTTCTAAAATATTTTTAATCACATGTACATAATATATATATATAAGAAAAACTTTTTCCAATTAAAAAAAATGAGCTTGTTCCTAAAATTCTTTAAATACAAAAGTGTAGGAAAAAACAATTCACTTTTAAATATAATTAAAACATTAATTACATATTAAATGTATATATAGCATCTGCGAAGTAAAATAAGCCTTCAGCACCATTTTTGTTCAAACCTGTTAGAAATATGAAAAATACTTACAACAGATACTTTGAACTCTGAGTGTAAAAGTGTACAAATACTTACACAAGCTCATTCTCAGAACATATTTTGAACAAACTATTTTTTTATACCAAACCTGTTTCAAATGACATGTTTAAAAACAAGCAAGTTTTAGAAAGATGGTCAATAATATGTCACAAAAAAACCAATTCATTTTACTAATATTTATTAAATAATATCTGCAAGTAAAACTGAAAAAAAAAAGTGTCCAAAAACAAATATGACCCACTACATACACAGTTTTTCATAATCAAAATGCTAAACACCCACAGGGTTAAAGCAGTAAATATACAGCAAAATCAAATCTTACTGATATGAAAGCAATGTTATTATTTATATTAAAAACATATTCAAGAGCCTAATATTTTTTGTTATATTTTATATGGATTATTACAAATGTTATATATGAAACTTCCAAATAAATATTGTTAGTTACAAATTCACAAATTTATTGCAAGATGAAAATAAAATTCCCACATACTAAAACATTATGAAATATATATTAAATAATTTTAACAGTGAAAAATGTATTTTTCATATATATACATAAAAGTTTATTACACATATGTAAAAATAATACAACAACAATCCATTGAAATTACCTTACTCCCATTTATTTTGCAATAACATTAAGCAACTTTTTTACAGTCGGTGAAAATTTTATAAAACTAACTGCATGACACACTAGTTAAAATTAAATAAAACATTTAGCTTGTAAATGATGAATTATTTTTCACAGTTGATGGAAATTTTATACATTTGACAACACACATTAAAAAAAAAAAAAAGAAGAGAGAGAGCTTATAAAATGATTTTTTTAAATACATTTATTGAGCACAAATTTTTTTTTAAAATTAAAACTGCATCCATGAAGATATGTGATTTAAGCAGCATGTAATTAGAGAATATTTCAGACAGTAGTATAGTAAATTTTTACTGTTACTTAAAGACTTGAACTGAATTGCAGTATGTCTGCTCCGAGATGCCCTATTATTAAATATGTTGATACAGCACTCATTTATGTCAAATGTGTTCGATTTTCAAAATACATCACAAAAATGATTAAATGTTACATTATTAAAGAATATAGAATGATTATAAATAAAAATATAAAATGATTAAATATTAACAAGTAGCTAGATGTCTATCTAAGCACTCGTTAAATAGTAGTGTAACTGTGAAGTTTTTATTTTACAAATGGCAAACATTAGCACATAAGGCATTAGTTCACGAGCTCTACTCTACTTTTTAACAATGTCCTAATACTGAGAAAGTGCAATACAACTACTTAAATGTTCAAAAATCATAGGCCGATTGGAGGCACACAAAATACTGTGAAGTAATTATGCTAAGAATCTAAGTGCTAAAAAGCAACAACAGAGTAAAAGCAAAAAATGTGTCGTCAGAAATATACATTTTCCAGTGCAAAATGATATAAAATACAACTGCACTTACAGATTACAAATGTTATGTAGTTGTCAAATACAAAGATTACAATTGATATGTAATTGTAATTACAATTACATAACAATTTTCAAATTAAAATCAGGAAACAAATTAGAAATATGCTTGAAAAGAGCACACATAAACAAGAAAACAGAGCTAAAAAACTTGATGCTTTGGCATGTTATGTTATTATCTCACAGTCTGATAGTCCATAAATGTTTGATTACCTATTTATTACTCTGTCAATTACTTAATTTATTTTTTGCTAAAATGAAGAAAAAACATAATATAGTAATTTCATTTAAAAGTGTCTATTAATGCCAATAACTGCAGTACATGTTACAAGGCAGTAAAATAACAGCAAAAGCATACTGTCTCAATTGTCATACTCGTGATTAAAAACAACATAAGAAAATTTTTGATAAAAGTGCCACATCACTGCACATGAGTATTTCAAATAATGAAGAACAGTATTATCTAAAGCAGTACTACTCAATCTGTAGTTCTTGAAGTCTGCCCTTATAATCATCCTAGATTTCAAAGCAGAAAAAAGTAAAATCCAAAGTGACTGTGTATTATAGAACATTATAGCTGAAAATCTCAAGATCTTGGAAATTACACATGGCAATCACCTAGCACTTTTTCCATAATACCCACATCTTATGAAATTTAATACTAGTTATCCTACTTAACACACTTCTTACCTTAGTTTTAGCAACAAAAAAGAGATTTAAACTACTAATCACCAGCATACTTCCCAATACAGATCAGCTATGCAAGAATCAACAGGCTCATCCATCTCATTAATTGTGAGTACCAACATTTATTTTATTTTTAGTTAATAAGGTTAAGATTATCAAAACTCTAAGAGCCTCGAGTTATTAAAAAAAATGCAAATTTTCTTCTACTGACTTAATCACCTAATAGTGATATAAAGTAAAAGAGTTTTAATCGTAATTTTAAAATGTAAATCGTGGTAGAAACATGCTAAATCGAATGAGACAAGAATAATGTTGTGCACAGAATATTGGAATTTTTTACGTGGGACTGTTAAGACATCTTGTTGTGTCCTTATTTCATGGCAATCAGCAACACCAAAATTATGTGAGTATGTGTCAGTACAGTGGAATCTCAAGTGTTTAATTTATTCCAGCATTGAGCTCGTATAGCAAATTTCTTGTATCTAGAAACAAAGTTCTCCATTGGAAATAATGGAAATCCAGTTAATCCATTCCGCACATTCCATAATTCCCTAAAAATATCAACATAAAAATAATTGGAACTACTCTTATATGCGCCCTCAGGTCGCTACAGAATCGCAGGTCCCCCGAGAGAAATTTGTCGCTACAGGTCGCTAAATGTAGCGACAAATTTCTCGCCAATCACACCGCCATATTACTACTTAAATTTGTTGTCTCATTTCGAACTTTTAGCCCAAAATACCTGCAAAAACCACGTTTTGAACACACAATTTAAGCTAAAAATCAAAAGAAAAAAAAAAAAGTTGATCGCAAAAACGTTCAGTTTCTAACCAAAAATATTCCACAAGAATCCATGTACGCAGTGATATGTTTTAACTTGAAGAAACTGCGTAATCTATGCAGCGAAAGAATCTTACGAACTACGCACACCTAGCTTAAAAAAAATTAACAACAATAAATTTCAAAGAATACCATGTACACAGCTTTCTGTTTAAACTTCACATCTATGAATTGCACAATCTAGACAACGAAGGAATCTACAAACTATGCACACCTTGCTTTAATAAATTAACATTACAACAATAAATTTCAAGAATACCCTGTACATAGCATTCTGTTTAAACTTTAAAAAACATCTACGAATTGCACAATCTAGGTATTTCGCACTAATCAACAAAATAAACTAAAATAAATTTCAAACAATTAAAAAAATAACAATAACGAGAGAAATTCATACTAAAAAAACAATGAAAATAACATTCTACTAAATAAGAACAAGAATAAAACAAGATGCACTTACCATAAATAAATGCTTCTTCGAACAGCAGAAATACCAATTTCAAACATCACCAAAACAATTTCACCACAAATTTGTTAAAAGCATCTTCCGTTTCAGAACAATGATGAAAAAATATATAAACCACCAAATAAAACTCTAAATCGCATTTCCGATTATAAGTCGGCAACATCGCTTTAACACGCCGCCACGTAATCTCTATTGTATTTATATGACAGCCAGACTCACTATCCACAAAATTGATACTATGTTTCACAAATAAATGTTCAAAACCTTCTTCTCCTAAATACTTGTATAATTTCCAACCACCCGAAAAAATAGTTGTACCAAGCACGAGACTAAAATTTTGCCAACACGTCATAAATCACTTAATTACCATACGAACCAATTAGCAAATTCAAGTTTCCACGTAAAAAGGGTTACACAAAAAACAACATCACCCCCAAAACCATTGCAGAACAGAACACGCAACTGCGCCAAAAACCAGTGCACAACACATATCGTTGCATTTGGCAACCTTAGGGCACATATACGAGTAGAGCCAAATAATTTCTTCTAATAAATAACACTGGTAAATAATATAACTGCAGTTTACCTTTATGACAGCTTCTGACACCGAATCGCCTTTTAACTGCTTCTCGTTAATCCACAGCAACAACACCTTCTCAACATGTTCTAAGAGTTTTGGACAGTACTTGGAAGTAACAGTAACTCGTTTGGTCACATCAAGTTTCTTAATTTCTTCCTCTTTCTTCAGAATAGTGCAGATCGTTGATGTTAAACATAAGTCTTTGCCAATTCCGTCACTCTTACACCACACACAACTATTTATCCATGATTTATTTTTTAATTTCCACGGCCATGGCTTTCTTCCTTTTATTTGCAGCACTATCTGAGGCAAAAATCCTCTTGGGAGGCTCCAAAATAATTATTTTCACATTAAATGTAAAAATGTTCTCCCCGAGTTGAGCCACATCAGGATATAGCACCATACATACCAACAGCCTGCCTCACTGCTTATTACTCGAGTCAATGCTCGTATTTAGAGATGAATTTTTCGCTCAGACTTTTCTTGTATCTCAAATTTCTTGTATATAGAGGTGCTCGTATCTCGAGGTTCCACTGTATATATATATGTAAGATATAACAAAATATGATAGCTGCTTTAAGAAATAATTAGCGACCTCAAAATTCACTATTCTAAATTTTATGTTCTCCGTCCTAAATTCATCTGTTCTCCCAAATATGAGATCTTTCTATGTTACATAGCCCTGCTTGAAAAAGGTAACTAAAACTAAAATTAACCAATCACAGCATAGAGTACTTTCTGCATATACTCTGCACAAATATTGCTAGCAAGTAACTACGTCATCTTCTTTTCCTAGCTTTTGCCACTGCCGAAAATCTCCCTGCTGCTCTATTTGATGTCACCCCATTTTACATGTGTATATGAGAATTTATCGCAATTGTTTATGATCAAAAAGTATATTGTCTATGAAGAATGATTCTAATGTGCCTAACAATAAAGATGGTAATTAGCTGAACTTGAATTGTGTCAACATCTTCTTCCTGCCTTTCCACTCGACAATCAGAAGCTGCTAAAGTATCAGATTCCTCCTACGCACCAAAAACACTACATACACACATACATTTGCAATTTTTATGTCATTTGCGACTTGTCTTCAGGGATCTGGTAATAAAGTTAGAGTAACAAGTTTAAATGAAATGCAACAAAAAATGTATATAATTTAATAGGCTATACAAGGAAGTCATGTGGTGTTCATATCAGATTTTTTTACAACTTTTTAAATTACTTTAATTTTTACCATTAATACTGCATTCATTTAAAAATGATATCTGTAACAGTTCTACTTTATTTAAATACTGTCACATAGTTACTTCTATAGCATGTAACGATTAAATATGATTTATGAACTATTCAGGCAATTTTCTTTTAAAGCATCAATTTTTCTAATCCATTTATTTTAAGTACAAATACAGTTTTGTCTCCAATTATTTCAACTAGAAACAAAAGCATCTACTAATATTTGAATTACACTATTTCCCTAAGCAAAATTTATAACATACAAGTTAAAAAAAAGATCAGCATTTTAGTCAATTTTAGAGATAAAAAAAACTAGCATATTTTCCTTCACACTAAGTAAGTCAAAGCGACATTTTTGTCTCAATTATTAATATATATTTCAAAACAAAGAAATTCTTTCTAAACTAAATTTGAATAAACAATGTAACTTTGCCATCATGGCCGAAATCATGCTTGAAGATTCATAAAAAAAAACCTCGGGATAAGTCATACAGAGGTTATTTAAGAATGCAAACTAAACGAAATATGATGAAAGTTAAAATATTTCTAGAATGATGAAGTTGATATTTGTGAAATGCAAACAATAACGCTGTGAGAAAAATACTTCACTGATTATATAGCAGTAAGAATTTTAGTATTAACACAATTACAATTAAATGAGCAACACAAAATCACCAATTAAAGAAAAAGCAAACATTACTTTTTCCTATTCTTTGAAGAAATACTGGTAAGATCAAAACATTAGAAGTTCTTCAATGAATAACACTATAAAACTTCAATTCGAAACAAAACGGACTATAGCGGAGTAGTTCTGATCTTAAATTATCAGGAATTCTTGTTCGCTGAAGTTGAAAACCTGATGTAGAAATTTCATAACTTCTTAAGCAAAACGAAACTACAAAGTTAAAGTACTATAAAAAGCCATAAAAGTAGTGAGATTTCGATTAGCATCAGAAAAAAACTTATTGAAAGATATCTCACTTAATATTTTTAAATAGTGCAATCCTTTATAACTGTATTATTTAACGCTAATATACCGTCAAGATACATTTTTCGAACACAATCACAACTGAACGAGACTTAGCGAAAACATAACAATCCAAGACTGTTGCCAACAACTCTAGCATAACGGCCGCTGTATTTCTCCGGTCGACACACTACTAGAGTCAATACTACATTAAGGCTCCTATATACCTTACCCCCGATCATTGTATTAGACTTATTGCTTACTATCTCCAAGACAGAATCTTTGCAGTGAAAATTGGCACCCTTATCATGGGAAGAAGCACGGACTAAGTCTGTATTTAACGTCGCGTGGCACAGATGACTTGAAGCCGTTCACGGACCGAAAGTGGAATCCCGGGAAAGAAAGTTCAGGAACGTAAAGGAACTCAATGAATACGATGTAATTTAATATGTTTATTATAATGTAGATTATTGTAGAAACAGTTTTGTTTTTGTTCCGTAATATACTTTGTCTTGATGTAACGTACTGGGTGGATATGTGTAAATGCTAAATAAAATCATCGTTGTTAATTAAAAGGTTTCTATTCGTTCTCTACTATTGAAACAAACTAAGAATCTAAGCGAATTTTCAAATAACTGTCGTTCATGACAAGACTGAACGGCTGTTTGAAGAAAATGAAACAAGGCCGCCCAGTCGGATGGTGGTCAGAGAAGCTGACTGCGATGCCGAAGGGCCTGGGTTCGAATCCCGGAGAAAACATGGTTGTAACTGTCCATCCCTTTTACAGGAAAGGCGATGGTGGCCCACCTATTAGGTGCCTCCATAACAAAGAGACCACCTCATCCAGCCTTGTATAGACTAATGGACTGGGTTACATTTGTAATTGTTCACAATCTGCCATTGGGAAAAAAGAAAAGAAAATGAAACAACGATTTGAAACCGAAACGTCAATTTCATATTGAAATTTATCAAGTAAACTTTATAATTTATTTTATCCTTGAACATATTTATTTTGAAGTGATGGAAGTTTTATTAAGGAAGCGTTAGTCTTTTAGACTGTCTATCATGTAACCATAACAACACACATCGGATATTTATAACTTTATGAGTAAAATTTGAAAGTTTTCTACTTGATTTAACACAGTATTAATTAACTTCATTTAAAAAATTATTTGCACTACTTTTTAAAATCTCATGAATCATTTAGAATAATAAATCTCAATACTGTAAAAATGAATACATAAAAGGTTAGAGTAGAGAGAAGGGTACCCTTTTTATTATCGCGAAGTTGCTGGATCCCCAGCGAGAGAAACCATAGTTATCCATATTCAGGTGCGCAATATAAAGAAGCTATCAAACAGCTAAAATACAGATCTGCATTCGACGATTTACTGGTAGAAATCTATGTTCGCATTGGCTCAAGCTGGCAAAGAACGAATTATGACTCTTAGACAGAGTTAACTTATCACATAAGTTAGACAAAGTACGTATATGATAAGTTAGAGACACAGAGCTTCGATGACGTTGGGAGTAAAAAGTGAGATTTATGCATCTAATGCTATATCCCCTTGTACAATCTTGATTGCCGAAAGAATTCCTGAGGGCATGGGAAAGATTCCTTGCCGGCTAAGGAGCATCATCTGAGCTTTAAACGTCATGCCCCTAATTTAACTCACCAATTCGAAAAGGCCAAAATATCACTGACATCTGATGCCTCCGACACTGCCATTGCAGCTGCTTTATATCAGATTGTGAACAATGAGAAACAACATTTTTTCTTTTCTCAAACTTTGATACCAACACAACGAAAATGAAATATAGCACCTATGACAGAGAACTATTAGCCATGTAGACAGAAGTGATACATTTCAAATAATAGGGGGACCGGAAAGTAATGTCATTTCTGTGCATGTCGACAACAACATGCTCAGGGCAGAAGTGGAAGCAAATCCACGTTAAGCACTCTTAACCAACTTTGGTCGACCATCCAAGAACATTTAAAGCAGAATGGAAAAATAAGCAAAGCAGGTGTTTGAGTCCCCCATAATCTGTCCGAAGAGAACAAAGCGAACCGATCCATCACATGCAACGTATTGCTTCAACAGCACCATACAGAACTGTTTTTTGATCATTTGATTACTGGAGAAGAAAAATGGGTCCTATATGATAATCCAAAACGCAAAAGGCAGTATTAATAGGGGTTACAAAGGGTTTACATCCCAAAAAGGCGCTTCTGTGTGTTTGGTGGAGTATTCGCGGAATTGTTCATTTTGAGTTGCTGAAACCTGGACAAACTGTTAATGCAGATCTTTATTGTGAACAATTGGATCGAGTGAACCAATCTTTAATGGAAAAATATCCGGCGATTGTCAATAGAAAAGGCATCATTCTGCAACACGACAGTGCAAGACCGCACTGTGCAAGACGGACACTGGAAAAAATGAATGAATTGGGATGGGAGGTGCTGCATCACTCGCCATACTCGCCCTATATCGTACACTCGGATTTTCATTCATTCCGATCCCTACAACATTTTCTTAGTGCCAAAAAATTTGAAAATTTGAATGATGTCCAAAATGCCATCTTGATATATTTTACTCAAAAACCGATTTATATCGGTCCGGGGATTGAAAATCTGGAAAAAGGTTGTTGATAATGAGGGTGATTACATTATTGATTAAAAATAAAAACGTGTTAAAAATTTATTCGTGTGAATTTAATGTAAGAAAGCGACATTACTTTCCGGTCCCCTATTACATCTTAGGAGGCTGATCGTGTACAATATACACTGATCACACACCAATAACATTTCCTTTCCAGCAAAATTTGAAAAATGCCTCGGCATTTCAAATTAGACAATTGTCATACATTTTTACGGTTCTCGCGAATGTGGGTTACCTCGTGCTCGTTTCTCGTGAGGATTATTTCTCTTGCCAATGTTGTGCTCTTCTATTTTAATGCGTGTTCAAGGATTCTACGATTATTAGCTCACTGAGTTATGAATTATGGAAGGAGAAAATTCCCCCCCCCCGCTGACCAAAATAGATACTTCTAGTGTTGCTCCTAACCAAGTGGCTGGCTTATCCGACGAAGTATGTGCGTTCGTTGATCCTATTTTGGATACTCATAAATAAATCTACCTATACTTTAGATGATTATATGGGTGAGTTGCACCATACTGGAAAAATTAAGTTAATTAGTGTCATAAGTGAATCGGTGTTTACCGGATTAATCAACGACGCGGATATGAAACAAGTTAAACAGCATCTGCGTATGAAATTACAAAGACAACGCGGCATTGCCAAAGGACTGTTGCAGCTTTACAAAGGTACGGGCGAGTCCTCTGACGCTTTAGGCCCACCAGCGGCCGAGAGTTAAAAGACGTTAAACATTAGTAATTGGGTCCGAGGTTCAAATCCCGCGAACGGGCTGGCTGCGTGGGCCTTTTCGTGGTTTTCCCCATGTGTAACATGTATACGAGCCAGTTTCCCTTAGAAAGTCTTCCACGAAGGCATCCCTCCCTTTAGGCAGGTAGCCCTCGTGTGCTTTGCCATAATTAAATAATCCAATCCAATCCTCTGACGCTTTAAATCCCAGTTATGAAAATATTTCTCTTAATGATTTTGTTCTTGATAATATTTATAAGCGTGTTGAAGAAAATTCTAGTGGTTGTCGTGCTAGTAATAATGTTAGGAATGGCAATGTTAATAATGGTAATAGTAATTACTGTTATTAATGCTCCTGTTAAACCTAGAAAATTGCCTAAAAAGAATGAAAAATGCTTTAACGAACTGCAGGATGTTGAAGGTTTTAAGCAACCTAAAAGTGCAGCAAGACCTTCAAAGATAGTTAAATGTAACACTGATATACCAGTGCAGAACAAATTTGAAAATTTAACTATTCACTCGGAAAAAAAAATGATAATAAAAATGTTAACGCAGAAACTGAACCTGATATTGATAGTGTAATTGTTGAAACCCCACGGGTGAAACTTATAATAATAAACCTAAGAGCAACGTGTACTTAGAACTCAACAATCAGAATGTAAGGGAATTACTACCCTCATAGATTCAGAAAAGTGACTCCCTTTGCTTAGGAGATAAAACGTTTTCAAAATCAATACGGGATTAATGCACTTATTTCGGAGACTGAATAAAATACAATGTTTGGCTTCTAAGTTAATATATAGTTCAGTATTATTGCTCTGCTAGTATGATATGAGGTTTCTTCAATTTGACGCTGCAAAGTTGCAGTTTTTTTTAAAGTAACTTCATAGGATAAGAATGCAGAGTTTAATTTAAAAAACCCATATTAAGGCTTGGATATGTATACTATAAATTCTCCTTTTCATTAGCCTACGACTATTTAAAGTCGAAATTATGGAAGTATTAGATACAGAACTTTGGCAGCGACGCTCGCCAGTTGTATTATCTTTGCCCATCACTGCTACGTAATCCAGCATCAGCCAATTTGCTAGCCGAAATTAAATCGCGCAGTTATAAGTGTGACGGAATGCTTAGTTAAACCAGTTATAATATAGCCTCCGGTTAGCATTCTACTTTAATTTGTTAATTAAAGTTTTTGTTTTCTATTACCTACAAATGGAGTTTAATTTTTACACACGAGATGTGCATTTTGTAAGTTCAAGCTTTAAATAAAAAGGTTATTTCAGACCTTCTTAGGACTTGATAGTATTTTCACAGACGAATCGATAACTCGCTTGTTAGTCAAAATAGGCTAAAAGAAATCAGATTAATTTACGCGATAGAACCCTATAAAGTTATTTATAGAAATTTAACTAGAAGCTAATTCAAGCATAATACTTGCTGCAATGAAGAATCATTTCCCATACCCATGTTTCGTGGGGAGTTTAATATTAGATTAATATTAGATAGGTCTAATATTAGACTATCTGTATTTTATATACAGCAACACTTATGGCAAACTTTCATAAACATCTCATTCTTAATATTTTTTATTAATGTTTTAATACCAGAGCATGCGATTAGTCTCGAAACTCACTTTTTGTCCGTGTCACTTTTATGTCCAAATCACTTTTCAAATGTTTGGTACAAAATACACTGCTGGCCATTAAACTGCAACATCAATAAG